ACGCGCGCAATGGCGCTCGACACTGTACTAGTACGAGGAAAGGACGAATAGAGCACACGCGATGTTCAGACGAAAGAGAAGGGTAAATACATCGTTTGGGGCGGGTTGAGAGCTACAGTATTCGCATCATGGATCAACATCGTCCTCATATTCGCGGTGCCTGCCGGGTTTGCCGTGAAAAACACGGGTCAAAGTCCTGTCATCACCTTTGCTGTCAGATTCGTCGCTATCATACCTCTAGGCCAGGTACTTGACGCGGTTACGGAAGAGCTAGTGTTAAGGAGAGGAGGCCATGAAAGAATGCTGAATGTGAGTACCCTGGGGTATGTACAGTCCACGATCGTGAGGATGCATGCTAAATACACGGTTTGAAGTAATGCTGCCCAGCTGGTCATCCTCATCATCGCTCTGATCAAACATTAAACAGCGATAGTGCAAACCTCCATAATCAGCGCGGTCATCTCCAACAGTGTGCTTATGGTGGGCATTGGATTCTTATTCGGAGGCATGAATCCGATCGAGCATTGCTTCAACCCATTCTTCGTCAGCGATTCTTTGGTCGCATTCAGCGTCGCAGCACTCCTATTACTCACCGCCATGGAGACTTTCGCACGCTCGGCAACAGCCAGGATGTCATCGCAAAATTCTCCCGAGGGGAAGCCAAACTCCTACTGCTGTCTTATCTCTGCCTCTGCTTTCCCTGCTACAAAACGCATTCGTTAATATTCAGCGCACAGCATCTGAGGGTAGAGCTACGGAGAGTTAAAGCCCACTATGGCGACGCAGAGAAAGGCATAGCACAAATCGGCGCGATGATGGCAGCGTCCGCAGGAGGTGCGACTGGAGAGAACGTGCTTATAAGACGTGCTCAAGAGAACCCTCTACCAAAGATATCGCAGCCAGCTCTGGCGTCCACACTCATTATTATCACAGTCTGCCTGGGATTCAATACCACCTTCGCCGTGGACAGTATTGATGGGCTTACCCCAAAGACAGTCTTAACGCAAGACTTTATTCGTCTTATCCTCTTACCGTTACTAGACTACAACTCTCACTCCTTATCCTCGCCGCTAAGGATTAGATACCAACTAGCTTTGCCATTACATTAACAGCAGCATACAATTACTGCTAGGGATCCTGCCGCTTGCTGTTATTATCTGCTGGATTCGACACGATGATAAGATGACTCTACTCTTTGATAGATTCCAGGTCGTCAGCCTTGCCATCTCAAATTTGGTCTTGAAGTATATGAGATGTACAGGGAAGTCCAATTGGTAGCCTCTTAGTGTTCTTGTTTGCGCTCGTCCGGACTGACACCAAGTTAGGCTCGATGGAGTTGTTTTGATCGCTCTGTACGCTATCATCGCTCTTAATGCATAGTGCACATCTAATCCAGTGCTGGGCCGCGGCTGAAAGCTCAGAGTCACGCCGAGAAAATTCACACCGTGCGAAGCTCACCCACGCCCAGTACGTTACTTGGGTCCCACTATTACGACATAACAACCTAGATGGCAAGTGCAGAAGGCGAACTAGCCGTGACGAAGATCAAGAGCGACATGGCCCTTAAGTCTCCAGCCACGCGCTCTTTGGAACCCTGATGGCGTCTACTCTGTGTCACCTTACGAGAGGCCCGAAAGCTGACGTAGTGGACGTAACAAGTATCAGAAGCTTCAGGTTCATTGTGACGGGGGGATTTTGGACCCTTGTGATGGCCAATGATATGCTGACTAGAAGTCATATAAGCGCCCAGTGTCCAGTTCGGCGTCTGGTGGGCTGAGATTGCGCGGCCGATGTATTCGATCCATTCGACTGCAATGCTGGTCAGCCTTCCTACTGTGCAATTGATTTGTTGGGTATATACAGAGGCCTCCTATGAGCAGAGGAATCATGATTCAAGTTCGTGTCCGTACGATTTGATGGAGGTGGACCATGGTGGTGGAGAAGAATAGGATCTTAAAAAATATGGCTGCGGCTACGGAGGGGTCGTAGCGGTAGTACTTGAGTACTTGTACGTTGGGGCCATTGGCCGTGATGTTCGCCATGGTAATAGAGAGTGTCTTAAGACAATGAGTGAGAGTAGAATACCTCCCATTCAAAGAGTTTGCTCTGACTGATGGAACGAGTGTACTAAAGCGTTGCGGAGTGAAAGTGCTTATTGTGGAGGGCAGGTGGATTGTAAGGAGCAGCCTGGTGAAGAAGAAGGTTGCCTCGGTGAGTGAAAGTACTTAGATATATCTGGAGGAGCGATCGGGTTAGCATCTCTCGTACACCATACTCGAAGGAGATTATGGTTTCGGCTCTCAACCCTCCCCAAAATTCGGAATCCTCTTGTCGTACATCAAAAATTTTGATTGGAAATTGAGCGAATTGTATGTTCATCTATTTTTGGCTATTATTGCTATGCAGTACTAGGTAGTCATGCACGGTAACCTCTTAGGCCCGCAAGGGCCCGAACTGATGTTCTTCCCTACTTCTCCTTTCCCGAATGACACAACAAACACTTTTCCACTCCAATTCCCCGTACACCCACCCCATATCTACTTACCGCCCACCAATGGACTACCTACTCGAGCGGTCAGACCTACTCGCTAAGCAGCTCCCATCTCTTCACTTGAGACTTCCCAGTCTATCTTCCTGAGCACAACATCCGCGTCAACTGGTCGTCTGACGCGCGTATCTTGACTTGACGTACTAGTACGATTGCTCGGATGATTCGCTCATGATGCCATCGCGGCGTCTACATAATAAGATTCGACATGGCTGCGCCTGGTGCAAAGCGAGATGAGTGAAGGTACGTCGCTGCTGTATTTCATAGACTGCTCTCGTCTCTGCATTGTTGCATCTGAATGTCTTTCAACTCAGGACAAAGGCTGGTAAGAGGATGGATCAAAAGTCATGAACTGGGGTACTCTTGGCACGCCACTGTTTTCGAGTCTCGTTGTTCAACCGGCAATCAAATATTCGGAGAACACTTGCGATCTGAAGGGCTGGGTATTTATATTTTCACTTCGACTTTGGGCTTCATCCCTCACAAGGACTTTGCTAATGAAGAATGATTTACTACAATTTGAGCGTTCGATAGCACAGAGAAACCGTTGATTTGAACTTGTCAATGTTTGAGGGTTCGATGCCTCTTTGACTGTTCCCTTTTTGGATACTCCGCCTGTCCGCAAAAGAGGAGTTTTTGGAGTTTCTCTCTGTTCATGACTTTTGGTCCCATCTCTTGCTAAAGCCAACTGACTATTGATATGCGTTCGATCGATGACTGATTGGTTTCGTCTAGTGCGACGAGAAGCTGCCCGCCTGTGGTAAATGTGTGCGCCTACATTTGCGATGTAGGTTTCTTGACTCAAAGCCCGTTAACACGCCGTCTGAACTTGGCTCTATATCAGCCTCAGCTCCGAGCGACGATGTAGTTTTTCCTCATCCTATTGAGTCAGTCCTTACGTCCTCGCGCCCGTCACCGGGCCCGTCTTTGACCAGTTTCTGTGCTCCGTTTGGTGGGATCAATGGCCAAATTACTCCGAAGCCCGTATCTGTTCCCGGCCTCCTTGACCTGGAACTGTTGCATCACTATACGACTAGTACGTGCTTCCCTCTATCCAGTATACCATCGAATCGGCAGATCTGGCAAATCGCCGTTCCAAGAGAAGCCAAGTCCCACGGATGTCTTTTGCACGCTTTGCTTGCCATATCAACGGTGAACCTCTGGTATGTTAATCCTACAAAGCGCCACCTGTACGAGAGAGCAGCGCTCCACCATTGGAATCTTGCCCTCGCAACGTCAATACCCGCTCTCAACGAGGTCACCCGACACAACTGTCGAGCACAATTTGCAATGTCCGGCATAGTTTCAGTGCTATCTTTCGTATCACCCCACAGTGGGAAATTTGGAATGCCCTCCGACCCGGTGAATGACATATTGAGTGTCTTTACACTCATACGTGGTGTGACGACCGTCGTTCAAAGCGCCCAAGAATGGATCGCGCAGGGGAGTTTGGGAGCACTCATCGATTGCGGTTGGAACCCTACGACATCCCCGCTCTCCGAAGACGCGAGTGTTGCTTTTGAAAAGCTGTTCGACACGAATGAGAAAGAGACGCTTGATCCAAGCACCAGAGACATTTACCGGTCAACGATTCAAAGCCTTAAAAAGATCTTTGACATACACACGGTCGTAAGGGACCAACCCGGCCTCGTGTTCACTTGGCTGGTCGTGGTTCAAGCGTCGTATATCACCCAGCTAGAAAAGAAAAAGCCTATGGCGGTGACGATTCTCGCTCACTACGCCGTCCTTCTTCATACCAGCAACGGGCAGTGGTGGTTAGAAGGTCGAGGCGCTCATCTGGTCGAATTCATACGTCAAATTCTCCCACCTGAATGGCTTCCAGCGATACTGTGGCCAAGAAAGGCTGTCAAAATGGGCTGGAAGTGGAATGCCGAACTAGACCCCGCTGCATCTGGGCACGCGCGATAGATGTGATCGAGCGTGGAAGGTGCGAAGTCTGAGAAGCCGAGAAGTAAATTCGAGGCTTTACTAGGTGATTGGTACGAGGGATTCAAGAGACTCGGCACATGACGACAAAGCCGCTACCACCGCGAATAGTATTACAGGTTGGGAAGTTGTTATCCTGGAGTGCCTCAGTGGGTCTAGGTCTCTACCCGATGGGATTAGTCCCAGACATGTGCTATGAATTGAGACATTGTGCTCACAGAAGCTGAACAACTGTCTTTGTTGTGAACAACGGGGACTTTTCATCCCTGCTCGGCTCTCTTTCTGACATCGACCATCAAGCCAAAGAATTTTTTCCGCTGCTTTGTGTTTCGCTGACACTGTCATTGTCTTCTTCGTGCTACATGTCTCCCTTATGCTTAAACAACCTCACCAACCATCTTCAGCCGCTCACAGAGGCACTCCCTCCCACTGACAACCAATCGCGCCCTCGACCGTCGCTGCACTCACAATCTCCACCACTACCACAATCACAATCGCAGCGACCATGCCCGCCTTCCACGATACATGGCTCTCGCCAAACATCAGCATCCCCCCAATCTCTACCGGAGCCGATCACAATCACCACGACCGGTCGACTTCAGGTTTGCAAATCTGCCGCCTCTGCAGCGACGGCTTCCACACCGAGAACAACCTCTCACACACTCGGGCTCGATCCCCATGCGCCGACCTTTCCTGCACCGGCTGCACGTGGCTGTGGCGCAACGGCGACGCCGCCTGTCACAAATGCGTCGCGCGCTTCACTTGCCCGTCTCAGGAGCAAGAGTCTTCGTCCTCAGGGGTTGACGGTCTGCCGAACTCAAGCTACCGCGTCCTGGTGCCGGATGAGGCATATGAGGGCGACGATGAACGGGGCGTCTTCTCCAAGGTTGGAAACGTTCCATCTGCCAGCCCAAGATTGTCGATGAGGAAGAAAGAAAGATGGGCGCAACGTAACCGGGACTTCTTTTTCGTGAGCGACAAGCAACGCCTCGGCGATCTCGACACGACGAGTGGCAAAGCGAGGAAAAGGCCGCTGCGCCTACGCCGCAGTTGCGGGAGGGAGGCGTTGAGTCAGCGAGCGGAGAATACGTGGCATGATGGCGTCTATGGGGATGTAGCAGGATAGATGTTTCGGCAAAGCGGAGGCTCCAGGATCCGAGAGAAGCTGAGAGCGGAGCGATGCAGCAGCGGAGGGCGGAGCGATGCAGCAGCAGTAGTAGGAGGAGGAGCACGGTGTCGAATGAAGCGGCAGATAGGGTGCTTTGGGTCGCGAGTGGTTTTAATTGTCGGCGGGAGATCTGTGTATAGATTAGTACCCGGGTCTGGTGAGGGCGCGGAGAGAGAGAGGGAGAGAGAGAGAGGGAGAGAGAGGGAGAGAGAGGGGAGAGGGAGAGAGAGAGAGGGAGAGAGGAATTCCGTTCACTGGACCGGTTCGTGCGATTGAGATGAGCGTGGTAGATATGAATCAATCTCATCACATCTCAATAGGTACCGCATTCGCCATCTCCTTCCCCCCCTCCCCCCCTATTTCTTTCTTCCACTCTCTTTTCAATTCCATTATCTACCTAGGTATTACCCTCTCAACACCGTACGCACCCCCGCCCCACCTCCCAGCGCTCAGACTTTCTTCCCCTTCCCCTTCTTTTCCGAGTTGAATATATATCGCACGAGTATCGTTCGTTCGTTCGTTCGTTCGTTCGTTCGTTCGTTCGTTCGTTCGTTCGTTCGTTCGTTCGTTCGTTCGTTCGTTCGTTCGTTCGTTCGTTCGTATATACGTACATACGTTACGTTCCTATAAGCGTCCAAGCCAACCCATCGCGGCCGTTTGCCGCAAGCCCGGCGATTGAACATGCGCGCCCCTGCCTTGCCCTTGCGTCGCCTGTCGTTCGTCCGGACTCGGTCGTGTCTACATACATATTTACGTACATACATATATACATACATACATACATACGGGATGCAAGGATCTTGATCCGTGTGTGCGAACAACTGCGTACGATGCCAACGCGGGGTTTGTAATCCCTGGATCTGGCGTTGCTTGGTAGATGGTTGGCTATTCACTTACGGCGTAGGGCGTATGTATGTACGTATGTAGACACTGAGGTGGGGCTTTGCGTCGTTAGTACGGATCGGGATGGGGAGGTGGGGAAGAGTTGGGGTGGGTGCGGGGAAGGAGATGGGAGTGGTTGGTTGGTTGGTTGGTTGTGTGGTTGGGGATGCTCTTCTTTCCTTTGTTCTTTCTCGCGACGCTTATGGTCGGCGGTTGATCGAGACACGAGCCCGAGTGCCGTGGCGAAGAGTTGATGTGGGTAGATGTGTATCTATAGTGGGAGAAATTGGTAGAACTGGTCCGCTAACTCCGTTCTGTTGCTCTCCTGATTGGTCGCTTGGTAGGTTGGTGAGACGGTAGGCGGTAAGATGGTCGATGGGCATGCAATACTTGATATCGTGATCGGCTCACTTTGTGACGCGATGATGCACTCGTAGGTGCGGAGAAGGGCTCCTGCAAGTCATATGAGATCGAGACAGATCCGGGCACTCGTACGTAATACTGATACAGTCCATCCGCCTAAGCGACGCTCTGCATGCATGTGCCAGAGACGCATCCAACGTACGGTGTGTCAGACGCTCGGTGCGCATTGCGGCTAATGCCAGTCTGGAGCCTCTATTGTGCATAATGCACTTGACGCTTGGACGTATGACGGGTTCCTGCAGGCCACGGCGATCCGAGCCTTCTTGGACGTTGTTTTAGGCGCTCTTGCGGAAATGAATAATAGGATCAAAGTGGCCTCCTACCCTGTGATGACTACTCTGTCGCGACCGACGATCTCCTTTTCTTGGACAGAAAGATCAAGTCCGTATTTTCTTTTTTTCTTTCGATTAACTTGGACGAGGATAGCAAGAGGCGAAAACGGTTGCGATTGTTTGTGGAAGACATGTCGCTTTTTCCCAGTAGCAAAGATGGATCCAGCGATGGTGATGTTTCGCACATCTCAACAACCAGCCCGTGTGCCGGAGGTGACTGCTGCAGCGAGCAACAAAGACAAGACGAGGGGACGTGCCATACCGGCATCATCGAGAAGCCGTTGGATTCACACCACGTTACCGGCCATGAATCAAATAGACCCATCCGCGCAGCTCACAGATCAGGGACACTGCGGAAATATGTGCTTGACGATGTCGAAGAAGGTTCCGCGTACACGGAGCACGTGATCCTCAAGTTCCAAGGATCCAACTGTCCAGGCTGCACAAGCAAGATTTCCAAAGCGTTCGAGTCATTGCCGGCGGTGCACAATCTGCAAATGAACACTATCCTTCTGCAGGCGGAATTCGACCTCGATCTCGCCAAGTCTTCGGTTCGCGATGTCATCGATTCCGTGAAAAGTGCAAGCGGGCGTGCCTGCCAGAGGACCGGAGATGGGTGGCAGGAGCTGGATGTTGTGGTATCGGGCATTTGCGGGGCCTTTGGAGCAGATGCTATGCTGCCTGTTGGGGTCAAGGATGTGACGCAAGTGAATAGACATACCTTTTCTATAAAGTATGACGCAGAAATTATAGGTGCCCGACAGCTTCTGAAGGCCTTGAACACAGATTTGGATGGTCCGGTCAGCTTAGCTCTTCCAAAATCTCATGATGAGGTACCCACAGAAATTCGAGCAACAGCTTTCACCACGGCCTTGTCCTGGATCTTCACTATCCCAATACTGGTCCTCGCATGGGCGCCGCTCCCAAAGCACGTGATTGCATACGGGGCAGTGTGCCTTGCATTAGCGACTGTCGTTCAGGTCGTCGTTGCCGGGCCCTTCTATCCGAGAGCTCTTCGAAGCTTGATCGTGAACCGAGTTGTCGATCTCGATTTGTTGGTCGTCTTGAGCACGTCTATTACGTATGGATTCTCCGTAGCGTCTTTCATATGCGAGGTAAAGGGCACTCGTCTTGTGTCCGGCATCTACTTCGAAACCAGCGCCCTGCTAATAACCTTCATAATGATGGGACGATTGATGAGTGACTTCGCTTGCCATAGAGCGTTCAGAATCGGCTCTATAAAATCATTGCAGACACGGTCCGCTCTTCTCGTCGATATCTCCGACTCCTCTATTGACAAGGAATTGGATGTTGATGTCCGTCTGCTGCAACTTGGCGATACGTTCAGAGTAAAGCCTAGCTGTCCCGTTGCGACGGACGGTACAGTTGTCTCTGGAGTATCCGAATTCGACGAATCCGTGCTGACTGGAGAGGCAAGCTTGATGGGAAAAAACAGCTGGTTCGTCCGTCATCGCAGGGTCCGTCAATCTTGGTGATGCTGTCCTGGTCCGGGTCACTCGACTACCGGGAAGCAACACAATTGACGAGATTGCGGGCATGGTTGAGGAGGTGACACATTCAAAGACCAAAGCTCAGCACACGGCCGATGAGGTTGCGAGGTGGATAGTGCCGGCCAGTGCGACGCTTGCCATGTTGACTCTAGTTGTTTGGTTCGCGGTAGGTATAACAATACAAGAAGAGTCAGCCGGTTCGGCCATCTTGAAGGCCATACCCTATGCCATCTCGGTACTTGTCGTGTGCTGTCCATGCGCCGTGGCCTTCGCTGTGCCCATGGTCCTCGTCATTGCGAGTGGGGTTGGAGCAAAGCATGGTGTGGTCTTCAGATCGGCGGAAGTGATGAGGGCGGCTAGAGGCGTGACCCATGTTGTATTTGATAAGACCGGCACTCTGACGCAAGGTTGCTTATCGGTAGTGAGCGATGAATATTGCTCCGAGACTCAAAACTTGGGGGCTGCTATCGTGGTCGCTCTGACGAACCAGTCAGATCATCCAGTATCGTTGGCGGTGTCCAAGCACCTCAAAGCCGCAGGCGTTGAGCCTGCTACTGTCACTCATGTCACACCAGTAGTCGGTAAAGGCATTGAAGGTACGTATGACGGACGTATTGTGCGCATTGGGAATGCTCGATGGCTGGGGGTAGAAGACCAATTGCCTGTACGGTCCCTTCTCTCCCAAAATCTCACAGTCTTGTGTGCTACTCAAGGAGATCGGCTTGTCGCCGTTTTCGGACTGGAAGCTACTCTCCGCGAGGAAGCGAGTACTGTCGTTGCTAGCTTGGTCGAGCGCGGCATAGCCGTGTCAATCATAAGCGGCGATGAGATTGGTGCAGTGCAAAAGGTGGCCCTCAAGCTGGGGATTTCTCATGAAGTCATCAGGGCCAAGTGTACGCCCCGAGAGAAGCAGCAGTACGTCAAGGAGCTCATGCAAGCTGACAATAACACCGTTCTTTTCTGTGGCGACGGAGTCAATGACGCGGCCGCTCTTTCTCAGGCCAGTGTTGGCGTGCATATGAAAAGTGGACCCGGTACTGCGTGGATCGCAGGGGACGCTGTCCTCATCCGACCTTCTCTGTTGGGGATTCTCGTGCTTATAGACCTCTCCCGAGACTCTTGTCGCCAGATGGTCTTCAACTTCACTTGGGCCGCAGTCTATAATGTCGTTGCCATATTATTTGCTGCTGGCGCCTTTATCCATATCCGTTTGTCTCCTCAGTATGCTGGGCTTGGAGAGGCTGTGAGTGTTTTACCCGTGATACTCGTCCCGCTACAGCTGCGGTGGAGGAAATATCTGTAGTCTGTGGCGTTCGATGGATCGCATACACGCCAATTGTGAAGCTGTAGTCTTCATCTACACGCTCGGGATGGAAACGTAGCAAAAGCAATCAAATAAGGCAGGCAATAGTACAGGATTGACGGATTGAAATCAGATAAGCCGTGCTAAAGCAACCTTGCCGCATAGCGAGTCGTTACCGCGAGGACTTCTGCACCACCGACGTGGACTGCGAAAGCATGGTTGGTTATGTAGGGGAAGAGGTGTTTCGAGAGATCAGTCAGCCCCCGTGCTAAAGCTGAGGCTCTCAAAGAAATGCGTTGCCAGGGACGCGCATGTATCCTCGAAGAGCCTCGTGAATGATGAAAGGACAGGATCGATCAGGTGTTCGCTGGGTGGTTAGCCTACGCCCTACGCCCTTGAAGGCCCATCAAGTCACGTTCCGCATATTCGTGTCTGGATCTTAGACCAACAGAGGTAGCCCGGGTTTATTTCGTGGCTCAAATTGATGCAAGCGAGGTTCCAGAAGGCGGCTAGAACCCCCAGATACGTGGATGGCGCCCTTTTAGGCTTACCGGGTGGGAATAACAGCACATGGTTGGGTCTCACGCATAGATATTCCCTGGTGTCGAATGATGGCTGCATAAAATAGTTCTACTCGTATTGTGATCACCGTTACTGTGTTATTACACCCTATCAGGTCGTCGCAGCGAGTTGAAAGTACACGAGCGGTCGCTAGGTGGCCAGCGTGGCTAGAGTAATGTTTGCCGAGGAGGATACCTACTTTATTTCTTACTGGCGTCTGGCGCGTTCCGTTGCTGTTATTCAGGTCAGCACTGTCGCAATCGATCCTTAAATGAGATGGCGTTAGGTCCTAGATGGCGTTGGTAACTTGATTGAAGTGAAGAAAGCCAGGTGTTAGATTAATTAGGCACTGCGGTTTCATCGCATAGTGAAACCGCCACGCGAGTCAGAGTACGTGGAGAATTGCCGGAAAGTTTAGATTATCGTTAATGTAAAAAGCCTTTCCTGCCCAATGCCTTGTTCCACGCATCTTGTAATCGTATGGGAAGTTGGGAACACGCTACACTACTCGTACAATCCAGAAGTGAATTCTTTGATAGAGCGAGAACACCAATAAATCCTTCCATTTAGCCGAATATCGGTTAATCTATTAGTGTCCTCACTCTATCAAAAGAACTCACTTCTGGATATAAAGTACTGGGACTAGATGTGCATAGGATGACCGTACATTCATCAGCGCGATGATGTTTTCTTTTCTTTCTCTTTTTCTCTATTTCCAGTCACAGGCTAAAGTCTCGAATGGTCAATGTATGTAGAAGGAGTGAACTGGTGGCGGGTAGAAGCAAGGACCCCTAATTTTTACTTTATTCCCTGCACGCTTCTGTACTTTACCCTTTTCTATCATTGACTTTACCCTTCCCCAGACTTTCTCCTCAGATTTCACGCTCAGTCTCAGGGCCTCGACCTACAGTATGGGCACTTACCTTATTCTCGCTAGTCGCTAGGGGATTTTGGAGCCGCTCTTTGGCCCGTGCGCCAACCGCCAGCCACTTCTACCACTTTACCCAGTTGCCACTTGGCAGTTGGGATACGAGATTTGTTGTGTTGTGTTGTGTTGTTTCGCACGGAAACGGTTTTCATTAAGACACATGACAGACATTATGACAGAACATGTGAGACAATGGTCGCTTGCGGTCAACGTTCAAGTAAGGACGACAATGCTACAGTCCCCAAGGTAGTCATGTGCTTCGGATACGCCGAGGTTGAGAGATGCGGAGAAGGCTGAGGAACAGTGACGGCTAATAAGGTATTCGGCTGGGCAAGGCTAGGCTATACAAGTGGATCTGATAAAATCACATGATTGTTCACGCCTTTCAAAAGAGATCCACTCAAACAATGCTCCGTGCCACATGGCTCGTGAACAGTGTTCGCTGGGACCCAATAAAACTGTGGGGATTGGAGAAGAGAGCTGGAGTGAAGTCTCACAACTTCCCCTCTTTTACCGGATCTGTTCGTTCCAGGCGTCGATTGAGTGAGGACTGCATGTAGGAATATCGGTAGCATGCAGGTCGCACCCCTCTTGCCTTTCCCAGTGAAGATCCACTTGCGAGCTGCGTCCTGCATCTCTTGGCATGCAGGCAGACGGGCCAGGAGAATACCTACCTACCTTCAGGCGTCTTGCTTGACGGTGCGTACGAGTTTATATTGCAACGGTGCAATTCTCTCAACGGGCGTTGACAACGTGTTCGAGACAGGCAAAAATAAACTCTGACTTCCCCAGAAAAAAGGGTTCAAAAGGACCTTCGTCGGCGAATTTGCCGGCACAATCGCCAACAGTTGCTCTAACCAATTGTCGACAAGCTTATGCAACCACCCTTTAATAATCCTGGGCGAAAAGTGCCTAATGCTTGCAAGATCAACATTAGCCTTTGACCCTGTCACTCCTTCTGCGCGATTAGAACATTGGGTGTGGTGAATGGCAAGGTTGTCTTGTAAAATGGCTATGGCGATAATGGGCTCAAGCATTCCAGAAGTCACCCGGCGTAACGACCCGTTTGCATACATATCTAACTCAGCCCCCGGCCCTTCCCCGTCGTTTTCTTTCTTCACTCCAGTCCATCGGCACTAAGGTCATCTCCATCTTCCTTCCTTCCTCCCTTCCTCTTCCTTCCTCACATCTTTGTGTCGTCTCTGAAGTCAATCGTACCGGCTTGATCGTCATTACACCATGGCGGAGTACAACGAGAAGGGCGACTTGGCGCACCTCGACCAAAGGTAAATTCACCCCAATGATCCCAGGATGAGGCTATCAAACGCTGACTTGATAGTAGCCCTGATCAATATGAAGAAAAAAATGTCGGTGGACACGGCTCTCGTCAACACTCCGTGAGCTTGAATCGCAACGTTACTGCTAGGTTAGTTTCCTTCCCCGCTTTCAAAACAACGCACCCCCACCTCCTCCCCAAATTGAACTCAGCCTGATCTTCAATCACACAGAATTCAGAACCCTCTGGCTGGCATTCCTCGAGATACTCTGTTTTACAATGTCGAGCAATTTGCCCAAGAGGCGGGCATGCAAGACATGATCCCTCTCTTGAAGAAAGGTGCTTTAGTGGCACAGGATCCCCCCGCTTTCGAGCAAATTCCCGAGCTGGACGACGTCGAACGCGACGCCCTTCGCAACGAAGTCCTTCACAAATGGCGCCAACCGGGCGCGCTTTACTTTACCGTCATCCTTTGCTCTATTGGTGCCGCTGTACAGGGTTGGGATCAGACTGGTTCGAACGGCGCCAACCTGTCGTGGCCCGTCGACTTCAATGTTCCCAATACCGTCCCCGCGACTGGCGCTGTATCTGGTGTCGATTACGCTAGAAATTCCTGGATTGTCGGTGTTGTAAATTCGGGTCCCTACATTGGCTCTGCTTTCATGTAAGCATACGATCTACAGGCGTGGTGGAGTGATGTTTTCACAAGCTGATTTGGAATCCTAGCGGCTGCTGGGCCTCTGACCCTCTCAATGCCTTCTTCGGTCGTCGGGGAACCATCTTCTTCGCTGCCATCTTCTGCTTCCTTTCCGTTATCGGCTCCGCTTTCACGCAAACATGGCCTCAACTCTTCGTCACTCGTCTCCTCCTCGGTGTCGGTATGGGTGCCAAGGCTTCGACAGTCCCAATCTACGCTGCGGAGAACTGTCCAGCGGCGATTCGAGGTGGATTGGTCATGAGTTGGCAAATGTGGACCGCTTTCGGTATCTTCCTCGGTTTCTGCGCCAATTTGGCAGTCTACAACGTCGGGGCCATCGCATGGCGTCTACAGTTGGGATCTGCCATGCTTCCCGCACTTCCTCTACTCGTCGGTGTATACTTCTGCCCAGAGTCACCTCGATGGTACATCAAGAAGGGCCGCTACTCCAACGCTTTCCGATCGCTCTGCCGTCTCCGAAACACTCCTCTCCAGGCGGCTCGTGATCTTTACTACATCCACGCTCAAATTCAAGAGGAGGCTGATATCATCGGCAAGAGCAACTACATCACCCGCTTCATCGAACTCTTCACAATTCCCCGTGTCAGACGTGCAACTGGCGCATCCTTCACCGTCATGTTGGCTCAACAGATGTGCGGTATCAACATTATCGCTTTCTACTCGTCGACTGTCTTCGTGAACGCTGGTGCCGACAACCTGACTGCCCTACTCGCCTCCTTCGGATTCGGTCTCGTCAACTTCGTCTTTGCTTGGCCCGCTGTCTGGACCATTGATACCTGGGGTCGCCGCGCTCTCCTTCTTTTCACCTTTCCCAACATGGCGTGGACTTTGCTTGCGGCCGGACTGTGCTTCATCATCCCAGAACAAGAACGGGCCCATCTTGGCCTCATCGCCTTCTTCATCTTCCTCTTCGCCGCCTTCTACTCCCCAGGTGAAGGTCCCGTGCCATTCACATACTCCGCTGAGGTCTTTCCACTCTCTCACCGTGAAGTCGGCATGTCCTGGGCTGTCGCTACTTGCCTCTTCTGGGCCGCCGTTCTCTCCATCTCATTCCCACGTATCCTCCAGGTGTTCCACCCCGTCGGTGCTTTCGCCTTCTACGCCGGCCTCAATCTTACCGCTTTGGTCCTTATCTTCCTATTCGTGCCAGAGACGAAGCAGCGCACGCTTGAAGAATTAGATTACGTCTTCGCCGTGCCCACTCGGGTCCACGCCAAGTACCAGCTCACCAAAGCTCTGCCATGGTGGTTCAAGCGTTACATTCTCATGAAGAAGGGCGCCAGACTAGAGCCTCTGTACCACTTTGACGGTGCCGTTGCTGCTGACCAGAAGATTGCTGTTGCGGCGCACTAGATATCTATTTGACATTGACGCGGATTAACTTCTCATGAGCGTATCACCACCGGGGCCGTGCACTCGTGTGATTCTTGTGATACCTCGGCTTGAGATGAGCAGAGGTCTCTCGAGGTCTCTCGATCATGCATAGATTCGATGTATTTATCTGCAGCATCCACCGGTTGTATCAAATCAAACAGCAGACCTGTTTAGCCTCACTTTGTTGCCCAGCTTGCAGTGACATTCTTGACCATGAATAGAGGAAGGTTCTGTAGTTCTAGTCTCATATGTCACTATGACTGACATTTGCACCCCCCCAAGGATTGCAGCGTCTTTGAAATGCGACCCTTGCTTCTGGTGGATAGCTAATGATTTGAGCCGCATGGGAGCCTGCTCGTAGGATTCTGTAGACGTAATCGGCTGGCTGGGCCTGTCTAAACTACATGTAGGTAGACAGAGTAAATCCAACCCCACCTGAAGATAAGTAACATCATTCAATTGCGCAAACCACGGCCAGTCTACCAGTGATGATGCCTTCAAACCTCCAATCATAGTCAATTGTCAATTCCAAGACCCAAAGAAGTCTGCCCTAGTGTTAAGATCTCCCGCTACCAGATTCACGCACGAAAATGTCTACAATATCGGCATCATCAATCCTCACCAGATCAGATGTCCTCTCACGCAGACTGCAACATAATTGCACTGCGCTGCTAAGGACCATCAGCGCAGTTCAGGATACTTCCACTCCAGGTGAATTAAATCTCTCATTTTTAATCCTCCGGCACCGGCGCCCGCCGATTCGAGGGGCGTGTGGTTGGAAAAGAAATATGTATTTCTTTTATATGACGAACCTACTAACGAAAAGCAATGATAATAGTCCACCCTGCCACGTCTCCACGATTGCAACGACCTTCCCACCGCACCATGTCTACCTCTACCCCCCTCCGCAGTCTCAACATCAACAACATCAATCCCCATGTACGCGAAGCTCAATACGCCGTCCGTGGCGAACTCGCTACGCGAGCAGAATCATACAGAGCCAAACTAAAGAAAGGACACCCTCCTACTCCCCCCGATGAATCCCTTCCCTTCGACACAGTCATCTCAGCCAATATTGGCAACCCGCAACAACTCGACCAGAAACCAATCACTTTCTTCCGCCAAGTGCTGAGCATTCTCGAATACCCACCCCTCCTAGAAAATGAGGATGTATTGTTAACGAGTCTGGGCTACAAGCAAGATGTCATTGACCGCGCGCGCTGGCTTCTGAGTGAGGTCAACAGCGTTGGCGCTTATAGCCAGAGCCAAGGCGTGCCGGGGATTCGCAACAGCGTTGCTACATACATTGAGCGAAGAGATGGATACCCTTCGGATCCAGGCAACGTCTTCTTAAGTGCCGGTGCCTCGTCGGGCGTGAATACCCTCATGAACGTCATCTGCGCGAAACCGGAAACCGGCATCCTAGTACCCATACCGCAATATCCTCTTTACACCGCCACGCTCGCCGTGCTGAACGCCCGCTGCGTGCCGTACTACCTCGACGAGAGCAGAGCGTGGGGTACAGACCTCTCTGCTATCAAATCCGCATACCAAAAGGCGAAGGAGGAAGGCACAGATGTTCGTGCTATCGTCGTGATCAACCCCGGCAACCCAACCGGCGCCAGTCTATCTCCTGAAGACGTCCGTAGCGTGATAGAGTTCGCGGCAGAAGAGAAGCTGGTGGTGCTGGCGGACGAGGTATACCAAACCAACATCTTCATCGGCAAATTCACCTCTTTCAAAAAGGGGCTCCGTGACCTACAGAAGGAACAACCGAAGAGGTTCGACAACGTGGAGCTCGCATCCTTGAACAGCATATCGAAAGGCATGGTGGGCGAATGTGGGCACCGGGGTGGCTATTTCGAGCTCGTCGGTTTCGACGACGAGGTCCAGGCGCAGATTTACAAATTCGTCTCCATCATGCTGTGCGCGCCCGTCGTGGGCCAGTGCCTCGTGGAGATGCAGGTGAATCCGCCAAGGGAGGGCGATCCGAGCTATCCACTGTACAAGCAGGAGTGGGACGGCATCGCCCAAGGGCTGCAGAAGCGCGCGACGGCGCTCTTTGAAGCGTTCAAGGACATGGAGGGCGTCGTCTGTCAGGAACCCCAGGTCCGTTCCCTCCCCATCCATCCATCCATCCATCATCCTCAACTCCCCACCCCATCCCTTTCCCCCTTGTCCCCACCCCCCCCCAAAAAAAAACTTTGCTAACACCCCCCCTCGGCGGGACCCAGGGCTCCATGTACCTCTACCCGACCATCACCCTCCCCCCCCGCGCCCTCGCCCAGGCCGAGCGCGACCGCCGCGCCCCGGACGCCTTCTACTGCTTCCGCCTCCTCGACGCCACGGGCGTCTGCGTCGTCCCCGGTTCCGGCTTCGGGCAAAGGGAGGGCACGTTGCATTTCCGGACGACGTTTTTGGCGCCGGGCACGGAGTGGGTGGGCCGGATCCGCGCGTTCCATGAGGGGTTTATGGATGAGTTTCGGGGGTGAGGGGGAGGGGGGTGGATGGATGGTTGGGGTTGGGTGGATGGATGATGGGGTTGGGAAATGCTGCTCTGTCGTTGAAGATTTTGTGTCAAATCACAACTCATTTTGAAATGTCTTCGACTGGTGGATCCTCTTGGTGGCTTCATTCTGTTGTCGATCAAGCCAGCAGAAGCGCCGTCTATGCTACAAATACAACCACATCTCCTTTCTATCATCTCCTCCCTTGCTGGCTGCCTCCTGCTCATCATCCCCTCTCGCTTCCCCTCAATCTCACGGCCTGTCCGTATTTCTGCAGCTTCGTAATCAGCCCGTCTCCCTGCTTGACCACGTCCGCGTATTGCTTGTTCTTGTCGTCTGGCCTGTTGGTTTCTATGATCTTGTTGACGCGGTCGATGGTGCAGGGTATGCGGTCTGCCGCGATGAACTTTGCTAAGTCTCTGTGAACGATGGGATTAGCTCCAAGTCACGAAAGGAGAAGAAGCGGCGGGTTGGACCGTAGGGAAGAAGAGGCTAGCATACCGATCGAGGAAATCAACGGAAACACCAAAGTCATGAGCCATACTGCCTAGGCCTACGACTCTATAGCTCTGCAGTAGCTGCTGGTATCCTCGCAGCCGCATCTCTCGTACGAACCATCCCTTGTGCTCGTATAGATAGCGATCTTGACTGAGGAAGTTCTCTTCGACGGCTGCGAGGGCGAGAAAGAAGGACTGGTAGTTGCCATCGTATAGACTTCGCTTCAGACCTGCTAACGGCGTGAAATCGACCGGCGCTTCGGCTTCTTGTGGCGCTGTTGATGAACCTAGGGCTGTCAGATTGACGGCGGTGGATGCTTGCTTCGGTGTAGCGGATGATGCGTCTTTCATTTCTTCATCGCCTGCGCCGGGGCCAGCTGCTGCTGCGCCAGAGAGAGCCGAGAGTTTCTCTTCGCCATCGCCGAGGATAGCGCGGATTTCTGGAGCATCAACGACCTTGGTCTTGAAGTCCACGCGCTTTAGCGATACCGAGCCTGCGAGGACGGAGTAGACGACCAGTGAGGAGTAGGAGCAGAGTTCGTAGCTTGTAAAGGTGGACAGGGAGTCGAGAAGCAGAGGGGCGGCAAGGGTATATGAGCGTGTGGTGAGTAAGTGTAAGCCTTGATATGCCTTCAGGCGATTTCGACGATCCCAGTCGCCGCCGCTTTCGACAAGGCTTTTCGCTCTGTCAACGTTCTTCTTTACCCCTAGTCTGTCACCGAAAAAGATGCCAATGCGGATAATGGCAAGGACGAGGTCGATTTTTGTGCCGAGGATGCCAGTTTTCTCGAAGACGGCTTCGTATGAGGCGAGGGCTTTTTCCTTTGAAGACAAGTATTGTCAGCATCTGGGTCAGAAGCACAGCCGAGCACCTCAAGAACTCACCTTATCACCCACTCTGGCCCAGAACTCCGCTCTCTTTCCCTTTGCCGCTTGGACCTCTGTTTCACCCGCTTTCTCCTCAGCATCTTCCTCCTCTTTCTGGAAAGTTTCTAGCTCCTCCTCGTTCTCGGCCTTGAGCTTCTCGTAGAGCGCATCATCCCACGGGAAGTTGAAAGTTCCGCTGCTCCTTCGTCGTGCCACCATACTTGCGGCTCCATTTGGTTTCCGCGAAGCAGGTACGGCGGTCTTTCGTGCAGTTCCTTCGCCTGAGGCGTTCAGGATACCATCCGCTGGATGTGCGAGGTACCGGTATAGGGGCGCCATTTTGTGCTCGGAGATAGCATTTTGAAGCTTTTGGAGTGAGGTCTGCCGTAATGATTGTGTCGACGAGGGGTTGGTGAGGGTGAAGATGTCTTGGGCGAGGGAGAGGTTGGGATATTTGGCGTATTGAGGGTCGGAACCCATGGTGGCTGCTTGTGAGGGAGTATGTCGGATTGGAAATGGTGCTCGAAATCTGCCGGAGGACCTAAAGCGTTTCAATAGAGGAAAGTATGAAGTGGATGTCCAGATGTAATGGTCATGTTGATGCTGGTGAGCAAAATGATGGAGCTTAGACGCGCGGAAGCAGCTGCCTTCCTTTTTAGCGCGCCTTCACTATTCGGAATTCGCGATCACCCAAAGCAATTCTCCTATGCTATAATCAAATTGAGAGGAAAGAACTTTGGTGAAGATTCACGCTCTGTCTCTGTTGGCAATCTATGGTCTCGACCAAATCTCAATTGGTACTACCGAATTTCTCACATTACCCTGGACCCTCTTGCCTTTGCTACCCTCAATCCTCTCACACTGCAATCGGCCAGTGCTAGACATGTCTTCACAAGGTACGAAACGTCCTAGAGAAGAGGACCACCCTCCCGAAGCTTCACGCCCTCGCAAGCGTCCTGGAGGAGCTGCTCGTATTTCAAAAGCAGACTCAGAAGCCGTTCTACAGAGACAGCAGCAACGAGCAGAAGAAGACAGGCACGCGGCTGCTACTAGGGGAGTCGAAGAAGTCGTGAGGCAGCATTACAATGCCGTACCTCAGCGGGGGAGGGAATGGCGGAAGACGGACAGCCGAATCAAGGGACTACGAAGCTTCAATAACTGGATCAAGAGCACTATCATACACAAATTCTCGCCGTGTGAGTCTGGGAGAGAACCTTTGCCGTTACGAGTATTGGATATTGGTTGTGGCAAAGGTGGTGATCTTGGCAAATGGCAACAGGCGCCGCAACCAGTCGAGCTCTATGTGGGGGTTGATCCGGCAGAAGTGTCGATTGATCAGGCAAAAGAGCGGTTTTCACAAATGCGATCAGGTGGAGGCAGGGCCAGCAGAGGCGGCAGAGGAGGTCGAGGAGGCTACCAAGGAGGGAGACCACAAAGGACATTCGATGCCGAATTCTTTGCAGAGGATGCCTTTACCTACTCTCTGGGAGACATACCCATTATACGCGAAGTTGGATTTGGGCCTGGCTCTCGCTGGGGTCCTGGTGGCGGCTTCGACGTCGTTTCAATGATGTTCTGCATGCATTACGCCTTTGAAAACGAAGCAAAAGCCAAAGGAATGTTGGCAAATGTGGCTGGTAGCCTTAAAAAGGGGGGAAGATTCCTTGGGGTCGCACCAAACTCGGATGCCATACGCTTAGGGGTAGAGACCTTTCACGAGCGTCAAGCTAAAGCTGCTGCTAGCAATTTGAATGGGAAGCCCAGAGGCACGGTAGATGGCAAAAGCAACGCTGCACTCAGCTCAACGGCGTCTCGAGTTCCAGCAAGTGCTAGTCAAGAAACACAAGCTCCATCATGGAAACGTAAAGCCGTTGATGAGGTGGACGGTGAACCAACCGCGAAGAAGGTCGAGCGGTCTGATGAATCGAACTCCAAGACGGAAATTGCAGCTGCTATCAACGTCCTCACCGAGCCGCCATCGGATCCACCATTCAATGGCGAGAATTTCGAGCCGGAGCATAAGAAGTTAAACGACCAAAAAATTGACGCCGCTGCTGATAAGAAAGACAGTCGCACCGAATCTGATCCAGAGTCCAATGTACCCGAGGGTGATCAGCAACCACTTGTCGCGGAATGGGGCAATGGCATATATCGAGTCCGTTTTCCTGGCAATACGCCCACCGATGGTATCTTCCGACCCCCGTACGGATGGAAGTATAGCTATTTTCTGGAGGAGGCGGTGGAAGAGGTCCCAGAATACGTAGTTCCCTGGGAGGCCTTCCGAGCGTACGAAAACACCTTTCCAAGATGATATAGTTTCGTACTGACTTGAATTCGGCTACTAGTATAGCAGAAGACTACAACCTTGAACTGCAATACCGAAAGCCTTTCACCGAAGTCTGGAACGAGGAAAAAGACTCTCCGGTCTTTGGACCTTTGAGCGAACGTATGGGTGTGAGGGGCAGGGATGCGGGACCGCTGCTAGTCAGTGATGAGGAAATGGAGGCTGCAAGTATGCATTCTGGTCATCGCGGATGGGGATCGTTGTACTGACCACATGCACAGGCTTTTATCATGCATTTTGCTTCTACAAAATCTGAAAGCAGCAAGGTTCCGCAGCTTCGATAATCCGGATTCCTACCTGTATTGCATGAGTACTGAGCCACGTTACAAAGCAAGTAGACCTAGTTTTCTTCTCCGAAGTCTGCATCGAACCTCCGGATAAGACCCATTGGCGACGATCTTATGGCTCGGCAAATTCCTGGAGAAATAAACAAGATCTGTATCCCGCCGTTGATATGTCATACTGAGACGCTGGAGGCCCCTAGCCCTTTTGCACGCTTGCCACTCGATCAAAGGGTGCTGCAGTAGCATTTGAGGATGCTCATGAATCGAACTTGCCTTGTGGTCGCTACAAAACCGAGGGAAACAGAGCCTGTTGGTCTTAAGACCTCCGGCAGGTCTTCATTCAACCCCGCCAGAACTGCGATTCTGGACTTCGAAACTCCTTACTCTTCGAGAACCATACCGCTGGGCTCAGTCGAGGGTCCCGAGCGAGTAACATTATCTAGATCTCATTCCAGCTCCTCGCTGACGATGCCGAAACATACGCTAGTGCTTTGACTTGATTTCTCGAATCATTGCTCTGGTGTTCATGACATAAAATCGCTCAAGCAACCTTCAGTATCCTTCTCGTTTCAGAAGAGTCGGCGCCTATTAAGGCCCCCCTCAAAAGGGTATCGGCAATTAGCCGGAAGGATGCATGCATGCTAAACCCCCGGCCAAAAATGACAGTGTGGCAATATTGCATGAAGTTAGTTGCCATTGGTCCAGAATTAGGCTTCACAGCCCGGTTCTACCGCCTTGACATAATGTCATTTAACATCAAGGAGACCTATTCAACATCAACGTACTCGAAACGATCAAGTTCTACTTAACCTTCATCAGACGCCCAATCTCAGTACACGAGAAGCATTTCTGAGCACCAAGCAACAGCGCTCTTTCATTGTACCACGTCAACATACCCACTTCAACAATGACACCAACGGAAACCCTCCACAGCGCCTTCACTGACGAAAAGGGGTCCCGCGGAACTCCGCCTCTCATGAGCTACGGCTTACCTTTCCTCGAAGCCTGCAGCAGGCACGTCGCCTCGACCTTCAGGAAATTAAAAGTCTACATCATCTGCTCTAGCTCCGTGGCGAAGAACACTTCCAGTCTCGAAGACCTGCAACATGCTCTGGGCAACAAAGTAGTAGGCGTCAGGATTGGCTTGAGACCGCACACCTTCATGAGCGAAGTGCTGGAGGTTATTGAGGACGCGAGGATAGAGCATGCCGATTTGATAATTACCCTCGTTGGGGGAGCTTGATTGATGCCGCGAAGGTGGTAGCTCTCGTAAATTTTACTCCATCCATGGCCTAGATACATTCAGGGTTATCTAATTGGGGAAAACGCAGGCCCTAAGCAACGACGTCCGCACCGAAGACGACCTAACGGCACTCCCCCATCTCTCCAACCCCACAGCCAAAGCGCATCCCGTACATGACATGTCCTAAAGTTCCAAAATCCCTAATGGACAAGCAATACTAAAACCTCGAACTCCATCCGGCCCAAGTGCCCTATCATCTCCATCCCCAGCACGCCCTCCGGTGGCGAATTCTCAGACTACGCCGGCGTAACCCGCGACAGCGACAGCCTGAAATTAGTGTTCTCCTCCCCGACTATCGGCCCTGCTCTCATTATTTTAGACGCCAACCTCGCTGTGACGACTCCATTGAATGTATGGATTCAGACTGGTGTCCGCGCCATCGATCACTGTGTCGAATCGTTCTGCAATCTGAAGCGTGTCGCTGGATTCGATGAGGCTTGTGTCAAGGGATTGCAACGTCTCATCCCTGCTCTCTTGCTCTGCAAAGCCGATCCGTCAAATGCTAAAAACGCGACAAGATTGTCAACTCGGCATCCCGGACGCCATGATGCCTTTACACAAAGGCGTCGTCCACGGTGCCAGTCACGAAGTGGGCACCGGCTCGGACCTCTGGGTGTTGGACACGGAATAACGAGTTGTATCCTGCTACCGGCTGTGTGTAAATGGAACGCTAAGCAGAAGGCTAACGTCGAAAGGCAGAAGTTGATGGAGAAGATATTGTGGGACATCGATGCTGCGAGAGAGTTTTTTGAGGCAAGGGGACTCAAGAAGGGAGAGGCAGACTTGGAAGACCTGATAGATGCGATTGTGAGGGAGAAGTTTGAGGATCTGGCGGTCAATGCCCTGGAGGATAATTGCACGCAGGCTAATCCGGCAAGAATCTACAAGCAAGAGCAGGTGCTGGAGATTCTGGAGATGTGTGCTTGAGATAGGGGTTGAAGTGAACAGGGTTGATGGAGAGGTAGTAGCTTGCAAATGTGTATGTACTCCGACAGCAATTTCATGCAAACCATTCTGCATGTCAGATTAAGCATTAGAATCGCTAGACTTTGTGGGAACATTCTAGTGCTGACTAGACAGAAGATTAAGTCCAAGGTGCATACAACAACACTTGGACCCAATAGTCTATAGCCCGGACTTTTCCACGTCAATCGAGGCTTATCTGATATTCCTTTTCTTGCTCCCTGCCGGCTGGAGAATGTACCTTGGAGGTGTCATATTCCGTGTTCGCAACTCCGCCTTTAGGGCGAGCGTGAGAAGTAACAACACTATATCTCGCGTTCAAATACAGTGTCGTCCAGCTGGCAGATCAAACTTTCAGCATTCAACAAAGTGGACGATGAGGAGACTAAGGTACCGAGGAGATGTGAAAGTCGACGGTCCCCCGCTTCAAGCGGAACGCAGCCATGACACATGACGAGAAGCAAACGCTCACGTTTCTGAAGCTAGAAGTTGACCGCCAAATGGCCTCGCTAGATCCGCACGAGGGATCAGGAAACCAGCAACACTATAGAGTCTATACTCTCGCTTGGTCCATACTTTAGGCCCACCAGGCGGCACTAAGTAATGACAGCAGCTTTCTTCGGGGGAGGCTCTCTCTTATCGATATTTTTGTCCCTAAACGGTGCATCTTCTTCTGATGGTAGGACGAGAGGAGCATGCAGTGTTCCGCCGATCGATAGACTGTTTGGAGAAGCGTATTCCACAACATCCAAGGCTTGTATTTGAGCAGATCATCTACATCCTAGAGTTGTATATCAGGAACTGTGTGCGAAGATTGGAAAAACCGCTCTCGATTTCTTCTAGCGGGCCAATAGGCTTGCCTTTGTGGCTTGGGGCGTTGTGTGTGATTTGAGGTGAGAGGAGCGATCGAGGTCATGATACAAATCCGGTTGCGCGTCTTTGTTCTCTAGACTATATTTGCGGGAGTCTCTGGTGACAGCATATCCATCGATCTCCCTCATGGTAATTCTTTGGTTTCGATCTTAAGACCACACAGTGAGATGCTGTTCCTGGAACCCCTCAGGGGTTTGGAATTCAGGGCTACCGAGTCTCGAACATGTCCACGCAGAGATATAGGCGAAATCGAGACTCAGTCAAGACGGCGCCACAAGAGGCAAGGAAGCGAGGAAGAAGTCAATTCATTCACAGCTAGTGCATCCAATGAGGCGAGAGATGTCCTCAGCTTGTCGAGATCGACGAAATATGCGTCCGAGTATAGTACCTCTACCGAGAAAAATCTCAGCCAGCCACCTAGGGCCTTAGAATAGTCTAGATGCAGGCGTGTCCACGTCAGCGAAAGGTGTTCCCACGGCCTTCCACGTCCCATTGCTGACACATCACCAGGTGCATGGCCATTGATGCCAAGGTGGTCGCCTACTTCTTTTATATAGTCTTTTGAGCTGCCGACGTGCTTCCATCCGACATCTGACCATTGCCACACTAGTAATGTACCCGAGTGGTGGGACGGCGGGTCGGGGGAGAAGGGGCCGCGGTGGGTTTTGTGGGAGGTCGATGGGTTGGGGTTGGTCTTGGTGGCGTGTTCAAGGGTATAGTGCGGCTTCATTTTTTCCTTTTCTGTGATCTGTTGTATAGCTGGGGGTGGACTTGATGCTTGGAATCGTTTTCTTGTACGAAGTGCCTGAGAAAGAGATGCTACGACCATTTAGTCATCGATCTTACGTGGCTAAGGCGAAGGACAGGAGTGGTGCTGCAAGGGTTGATGTCTACTGGTGTGGTAAAGGGATGAACTGCACTTATCCGGACAATTGTGCAAAAGAAGGGTATGATGCCAAAAGAAGTGGGACGGCATCAAAGACTCAGCGCCAATCATTTCCAGGCTTGGAAGACCCATTAGTGTTTTCTTCTCCATACAACATATTTCGTACATATCAACATCTCAAATCGTCAGACTACCAGCAAAAGTATAACTCCCGGCACTCAACAGCCCCGCACTCGTCTGCGCATTCACCGCGTTCAAAAGCGCCTGCCACATAGCAGAGCCCCTCGTCTTCGGCGTGATTTGCGTCACTGCCGCTGCGACCTGCGCGCTCTTCCACCCTTGCCAGCTCGCGTCGATCTGCTGCAGATACTGCGCTTGCCACGTCTGATAGCTACTTTGCCACTGCACGTTCGCGGCACACGGACCCCTGGCGCCGCGTCCGCAGGCTCGGTCCAGTTTCGCGTAAAAGGTCTTGACGCGGTCGGAGACGGCTTTGAAAATGGCGGACACGTTGGGGTCTTGGAGGTAGAGGTACAGCGCGGAGGATTCGCCGACGAGGGCCAGTTGGGCGGCGGCCATGGTCATGGTGGAGGGGGTGTTGCCGCCGAAGAGTTGCGCTTTGAGGCCGTTCAGGTGGGTTTCTAGGTAGACGAGTTCGCTGGTGCGAGTCCCGCCGGACATTTGACTCATGAGCTCGTCGATGGGTCGGCTGCCGGCGGTTTTGATGCTGCCTCCGGCGCCAAAGGTGGTGACGGTCCATTGCTGGCCTTGGCCGAAGAGGATTTGGTTGATGAAGTTGGCGCAAATGTTCCTGTTGTTGACGGCGAGGTAGGCTTGCAGGCCTGCGTTGTTGGCTGCTAACCATCGGAGGAAGATGGCGATGAGTTGGAGCTCGTAGATGTGTTCGGTTGCATAGCTTGCGCTGTCTGGGGCCGTGGGTCCTTGGGTCAGAGCCCAATTGTAGGTAGAACATCGGGGAAGTTGGAACATGTAGCTGTAGTAGGGACTGTAAGAGTTGCCGTTGCCTGTTGTGCTGTAGGAGTTGTAAGATGGAGCGGAGAAATCTTGGCCGCATATTGTGACGTCCCTGGTTGCGGAGTTCGCCCTTGCCTCTATCTCGACAAAGTCGGCGCTATGAAATCTTTTCCTGGGTTTGGTGGTGGTGCTGTTGTCAGTTATGGAGCCTGCGTACTGGGCAAAAGGATCGACTGGACCTGGCGTTGGGATTGGAGCAATTGTAGAATCAGCACAAGCGACACAGGCATCACAGGTCGAGGCTGACGCAGTTGCCGAGGACGTAATGGTAGAAGAGGCGCTTGCAGACATGACGGACGATGCCGTTACAGCGGAAGAGCTACTCGCGACTGGAGCACTTGATGGAGCGATGGAAGAGCCAGCAGCCGAGCTCGCGGAGATTGTTGGAGACGCCTGTGTCCCGGACGGCTGGTTGGCCGATTGTTGCTGGGCAGTTGGCTCGGGACTATCAGGGCCTGCGTTTTCGATTGCTTGAGCGGTAGCTGCAGCGGCTTCAGCGGCGGCGAGCTCAGGAGCGACGGCCGCAGCGATGTCAGCGAGGGCCTCTGCGGATGCGAGAGTTGCTGCAGCCTCACTCAACGAACTGAGGACTGTTGCCAACTCAGCGCTAAGAGCTGTGAAGGCTGCTGCATCTGCAAGGGCCTTTGCCGTTGTGGCAGCTGGATATGTCTGATTAGCGAGTATTCCGTAAAAAGTTCAATATGCCATTCGGAAAAACAATTATACAAACTACATAGGGCATATCCAGGGGTGCTTACCATCTTGAGCGGCAGAGACTGCCTGTTTTAAAGCATTTTCGGTGTCAGTGGTCGGGTTTTGGGAGAATGCTTGTGCTGCACTACTCGCACTTGCAGCACCCGTTACTACACCACCTACTATACCCGGCAAAGCGGAGCTTTGCACAGCGCTTGAGCTCGCTATTGATGAACTTGGAGTCACCGAGCTCGTTGCTGTGAGGATAGGAGGCACTGATGCGGATGAAAGTGCGGAGAACGGAGTCGTGGTTGGTGGTGCCCCAGCAGACGATAGCGCAGAAGATGCAGAACTCGATGCCATGGTTGTTGCACTGCTTGATGGGAGGACCTGCGCACTTGGCGTAGATGACGGTGGAACTGCACTTGACGAAGGCACGATGGGGGAAGAAACTACGCTGCTGGACGTAATTTGCATAATCGACAGGGTGCTGGAGGCCACGATGCTACTGGGAGTAGCCGTCGCGGTGCAATACAGCTGCGGTACGACATTGTAGCCAGAAGGCACAACGTAACAGCCTGCGGGTATAGTTATACAGGAATCGCCACCTTCTCCAGGGCCATAGCCTTGGCAGAATTGGCCTGTTGTATAATGTCAGCACGGGTGGGATAAGAATCAGTCTCCCTATGAAATTGGATGTCTGACCTGGACCCCAAGAGGTAGTGAGTGTCGGCGCTACCTGAGGAGCACTTGAAGAAGTCGGAGTCGGGGGCAATATATGGCACCCAATCTCTGCTAGTTGTTGTTGATATGAGGAACACTGGCTCCAGCACGACGCCGATAGGTCCTGATTCCCATTTTTGCAGCAAATCTGTGCAGCACTGTCGATATCGTGGATTAGCGCTCCTCTCTTCACAATGCGTCTGAACTGAGAGGCTAATCAATGGCGCAAATGGAAAGAAGGCAACGTTTCTACGAGTAAATTGATACGAAATAGCAGGACTTGCTCCAATATATACGTACCATTGTTCCTCACTCGCTTGGGCATTGACAAAGGGGGATAAAAGTGCAGCCAGCAGAGCGAATTCTACAATGGTCTTCATGGTCCTGAGAGCTGGCAATGAGGGCCGAATCCAGTGCCTGTCGGGCTGTGAATCCAGGAGCGACAGATTCTAAATGGAGAGGTGCTCATATATCAAATGCCTCGCTTTAGATCTTGTAGATCAAATGCGTAGTGCCTTGAATTCACCCAATTGTCATTCATGTGCGGATCATAAGAGTAAGACTGTAGATCAAACGACGGCACTTGTCATCATATAGGAAACAACATGATGTGAGCTGAGCGGCCAACTAGAAAGGTTCTCACCTCTCCTTAGCGGAAAGCCTAATAAAGTGAGGGTCTTGGACGGAGAGTTCTCTCGCGGCTCAAGCAAGTCCTTCATGCTTTCGGCCCCATGGCATGAAGGACGCCTCGACTGCATTGTCCTCCATCTGGATCCCCAGCACCAATCACATTGCAAAGACGAAAAAGGCTGTTGTTGTTTTGGGGGCGACGAGCCGAAAATAGCGGGCCGCAAAGGCGCCGGCCTGTTTCATCTTTCCAGCTTCACTATACCTATCGCTTCAATGATGTCGACGCCTCTCGCTGATGCCATCATTGCAGTGGAGCAGTCGTCTCAGTGATAATGCTTCACACAGGTCCGACCGTGTAGTTGCTCGAAGCAGTGACTTCGTACCTCGAAAGTCCTCGCTTCCGGTCGCCGACAACTCGCCGACCAGAAATTTCAGCCCCCACTTCGGTCGCAACCGTGCCACTGTTTGCTGAAACCGCGCTGCTGAAGCGGACCGAATCGCATGACTTCGCCAAGACGATACCCGGTATCTGACATTCTGACGTGATGACGGTGGCACAACGACCATAAGAGAATGGGTGGAAGACTGGGCAGCAGACGGTACATGCAGGTGGGAAATGCTGAGAGAATGTCTTACTAGTCCAAAGTAGTACTAGCCTTGGTCTGCTGAGCGAAAAAGGGGTTGTTGGTCTTGGTTATATGAATTGCCCCTCGGGCGGTTCATTTCGCTACTCACTTCGCTCCCTAGCGAGACGGCCAGTACACCATAGGTAGCCCCCGTGGAAACCGAGAACAGGCATCAACACGCCAAGCCGGAGCCCAGTCGGAGACGGGTTTCAAGCCCGCACATCTAGCCCGAATCGTCCGTGGAAAGGGTGACTTGGCAGTTATCAATGGCGCAGTAACTGAGAAATTGGCATCAAAGAATGACTTCGAAAGCAAGACTGGTTGTTGATGCAATATGAGATGAATTGCTTTTTCATTCTGGAAAGTGGATGAGTGCTGAAGCCGGAAAGAATTTGACGAAATCAGCTTATCACCGCTGAGGCTCTTCGTAGTAGTGAAACCTGGCTTCGAGGGACTGTCTATTATCGAATCTTACGCTAAAGCTGCTTACGTTGCGCGAGGCCTTTGTGCTTCGGAGAGTTTCAGATATCGGTGTACCTGTATTGCGAGTGAAAGCGCAGCGGTAAATAGTTTGAAATCAATTTTCCGTCTATATTCAACATCAAGGCATCACTCACTCACTCACCAACTCACCAACTCACTCATGCACTCATCCACTGTGCACATGGATCTTGCTTCTCCTCTTGAAATGAGTCCCTTTGCTTTGTGCGAGCAGCGCATCTCGCCCACTCGAAATGGATTTTGCTTCGTGGGACCAGCCGAGCATGCTTGCTTCTCTACCAAAAGAAGCCAAGAAGCCAAGAAACCGAGAAGCGTCTCCAGACATCTCAGTATCCGACTCTCCTCAGAAACTGCAACGTCTCATCAGCAATCGCCTCCACCTTCGTCTCCAGCGCAAAATGTCCCGTATCCACAAATTTCACCTCTGCCCTCGGCAAGTCCCTCTTGAAAGCCTCCGCACCCGCTGGTACGAATGCAGGGTCGTTCTTGCCCCATACAGCCAGCAGCGGTACCTGTGATTCGCGGAAATAAGCTTGGAATGCAGGATACATTGCTACGTTGTTACGGTAGTCATAAAACAGAGCTAGTTGGCGATCTTGATCAGCTGGTGTCTGGACGTTCTTGAGGTAATCGTATGTATATGCGGCCGGGTTGACGAGAGGCAGGCCATCAGATGGGACGCCGGACGTGTATTGGTACACTGTCGCTTCGAGGGTCAAGACGCCATTGCGGACGATTTCGTAGTTGTGAGGCGAAGGGTCGGCCCAGAGCGCTTCGATCGGGTCCCAGAATGGATGGCCGAGTCCTTCGACGTACGCGTTGCCATTTTGAGAAATTATCGCTTTGATGGATGATGGATTGCTGAGAGCGAGGCGCAGGCCGACTGGGGCACCGTAGTCGAAGATGTACATGGCGTAGGTGCCGATGTTGAGGGCGGTGAGGAACGCGCTGATTGTGAGAGCTAGGTGGTCGAAGGTGAAGTCATATTCTGGGGGGAAGGTTGTTAACCCGAAGCCGGGGAGGTCGGGCGCAAGGACGTGGTAGGTGGTGGATAAGAGGGGGATGTGGTTGCGAAATTGGTTTGAGGATGAGGGAAAGCCGTGGAGGAGGAGCAGGGTGGGGAGAGTGGGAGAGCCGGCGGAAATGTAGGAGACTGTGGTGTTAGGAGTGATGGCGATGTTGTTGTAGGTGGACGGGTAGGAGAAGGGGTTTGTGGGAGCCATTGTGTCTTTGCCTTTCTTGTGTATGGGAGCGTCTTAGATATGATTAATGTTGGAAGCAACAGCAGGGGACTGAGTATATGTACTACTAATCATGTTTTACTAAGCTTCTGACGTCTTGTTGTTCTGATGAGATTCCAATGTTTCCTAATCATGACGGGCTCTTGTTCCACTTGATGTCAGAGTTGCGGTGGACCGTATCCACAGCTATTCCCAATTGCCCAGTAATAGTTATGATTCTTTTTGCATTAAGAATGAAAACCGACATGGCCCCAGATCTTCTAGGCATTGCAGACTAATGCAATGTCAAAGGATGACGGCAGAGACTGTTTTGTCAGCAGACTATCTCTTCCTGGCAGGAACTTCCGATATCCTTTGAACACAGGCTAAGTGCCGCCAGAAGTGGCGGTGCAAGTCCTTAAACAACATGGACAATAGCAACGTTGTCGAAGAGATCGAAGCATTTGATCTAATATTACCCCCGAAATCTCATCACATTCAAGACGGGTTCTTCCCGGCTGACTCCCAAGATCAATCTGACCAAGGAGGCGCTGACTGGCCATGGGATGTCCCGGTCCAAGAGTGACCATGTACAGCTGCATATCTTTGTATGATCTGTAGGGAGGCAAATGTATGAGCTCCACAAGTAAGTCATTAAGAGATCGAGACTCCCAAAGGCGGAAAGTAATCTAGTCCAACGGTTCAGTACGCCTGTGTCCCTGCGGCTGAGTGACTGAGGCAACAGTCCTTTTTCGATCGACCCGAGTAGGAAATCCTACTCAGACTGCGCTTCCTCTCATATTGCAGAATCTTCCAGGAAAGAATAGTGATGTCGTCGTCCGTGTTCCCTCCCTCGCGGCCCGAAACATCGACGTATAATCATAATCTCCAACCCCACATCTGCGTCGCTGCCTCCCTCTCCCCTTCCAAAATCTCTTTCTCAGAGCCCTCCCTTGCCACACTCTCCTTTACTCTCACTCTCACCCTGCAGCTTTCTGATTGCCCTTCCCCCATCACAGTCTACACAGGGGATCGTTTCCTTTTGTCCGCCGCGCAATCCACCTACCGGAGCGATTACCGTCTCCGTTGCCTTCGGACCGGAACCGTATGTCCAGCGCAAGTGATACAGGAATTCCGCAGGGGGATCTTGCAAATCGAGAACCTGTAACACGACCTCTCCGAATTGAAACTGGGAGCAGTAGTCACGAGGGACGTGAGCATCGGAGTGCATTTCCAGAATCAAAGCATTAGTCTTACTGTTGAGCAACAAGAACTGGAGACGACGCAATCTACGTGTCCAACGGAGTTTTTTCCCTATGTGCAACTTCACTGGCAATTTTGCGCGCAGGCGATGACTACGACGTGCAACTCGCTTATGCGCCGGCCGAATGGCCAAATCATGTCTGGTGGTGGACGAGCGGAACGAAGGGGGAACTTATTCAGGAGGCGGGGAATAGGGGTTCAGAAGGGCCGGTGCCGCTGACCATCAAAAGCGAAGAGCAGATCTTTGCGGTCAAACGGGGCGGGATGCGCAACTTTGTGCGGGTGGACAGGGTGAAGAGTCCGGTTCTGAGGGTTTGGGGGTGATCGACGAAAAGGTGCGTACTACGAATGTGTTACAGCGAATGGGAATGAGAGAGATGGGTCGGGATGTATGCCGATTGCTCAGGTCCTGTGGGTTACGGTGATACTGAACGTTCGTGACGGCTAGGTCATTAGTCCTCAAGCCTCTGATAGAGCCATCACGTGAAAAATTGTGAGGGAGCCAAGGTGTCATGGATCACATGTGCTTTGTATGTCACAGGACGTATCGGCGTAGTCGTGGGTACAACCGTTGATTATGGTGCTTTCCTTGTGGGGTGTTCAAGCTACTACTTAACACAGCCAGCTGTCCTATACGGCCCAGTTCATGTACCCGAAGGAGCTTCAGAGACCGAGGAATGAGCCCTTTCGGGTATGATCTAAGAACTTCGTGTCATTCAAAGCGCCATCTGATGACGCCGAGTAGGTAAGAATCCGCGACTGCAAGCCAAGACGTCAATGAGTCGCGGGGAAGCAGACCAGAGAAGATACTCCTGATAGCGTCATTTTCAAGGTGAAATACACTCCCACCAACCACATTTAAACCCAAACCTCCCCATTTGTTCTTCTCGCATTCTTTATTGTTCTCGCCAAGTTTAGCAGAAGTCCTCATTTAAGTCATCGAGCACACAATACAAATTTCATCGAGTAGGGTGAGCATTCGTCCTTAGTACTATTGCTCTCGCAAAAGCTGATACTTTTGAGTGTCACCATGGAGGATCAGCTTACGGCCTTATCATCTCCGGCTTCGACATCTTCGATGCCTTCAACAGACATCAGCTGGCCCACCGGCACAAGCACAGGCCAGCTAAGAGCGTCCTGGCTTGCCATGAATCTGAATATTAGCATCTGGCTCTACATCGTCATTGGTCTTGCCAAGAATGAACCCATACCCACCTGGGAAACCCTATTCGCAATCACTGTCCTCCAACCCCTCCTGATCCTGCGCTCAAAATTACCTAAAATCTCCGCCGCCATCTACAAATGTGCGTGGCAGCTACGCTTATGCTTATATCGTTATGGAACCGACACACCAAAGTACCACACCCTGCCCTTTTGCCTCAAGCACATCGTCAGTCCTCTAGACATCCACGACCCTTCAACAAGTTTCGGCACGTTTGAATTGTTCCTGCTGACACCTCAGCGAGGCTGGGTCGGCTTAGACTTTCCCAAAATCTTCTCTTCCCGTGGCTTCTTTTCGCGGCTCTTTCGCGGTGAGGAGGATCTGGTGGGTAGAAAGGTCTATGAGGTCGAAGTCGAGCAAGATTTGAAACATGATCACGTTGATGCGGTGACGTCGATGGAGAGGATTACGGGGAGGGTTGTTGGGAAAGTTCTGGGGGTCTGTGAAGTAGGTGATAGGGTGGCGGTGGATATCAAGGAACGGTCTGTGAACAGCGATGGGTGAAAGATGGAGGCGTGGCGAGAGGCGTAGAGAGGTGAGACCAGCACTGAGATTACCTTACCACTGGTGGGAACCTTGAGGAAATAAATTGACGAGAGCCGAAGCAACACCTCTAGTCAGCTTGGACAAAGATACGAGCCAGGGTTGCAACAAACATGTCAGATCTGCTTCACGATCCACTTCGGAACATGCATGATGCCGCGATGGGCTGTGGGAAAGCGGTTCAAGAAGCTAGCACTGATAATTCACATAAAAAACCATCAGACGCCCAGATCCTTGCCTTCGTTTGGTTTTCGCACCTTCAGGTGTTTCTACCCTGATGTCAGCAGACAAGAGTGATCCAGCCGCTATCCCCATGTGCACCTCTCAAACTTTGAAATATGTGATGAAGCATTACAAGGAGGAGTATCCTTCAATGCACTATTTGAAGGGACAAGAAAGCTCTTAATCGGCCTTCGATCTCTTAGGGAAACTCTTGGCTGAACGTCGGACGGTTAAAGTTGCGAATTGAAGATCGAAGGGCATGATACTGTAAGCCTTTGGCCAATCCGATTCTAGCGTGATTCCCACGTTTCCTACAGCATTGCTTGGCATTAAGTCTTGGAACAATGTCACTCAAGTACCAGTCAAAGCTGGAGCGAAACATTCGTGCAGCCACTCTGGCAACTTTTCAAGCCACAATAAATAGCTTGCGCGATAGGAGCTCCTCGCAATCATGGTCCAGCTCAACAGAGCCCAGCGTCAGCCTCGTCTTCCTTTGGGCTTATCTTCGTCGATGACCGCGGAGATGACGTTGCATTTGCACCTGCAGGTTTATGCAGCTGAACCAGCCATCTCGCGTCGCGGCCCAACAGAAAACTCGCCTGCGTTCATGGCCTCCAATAATGGGCCAGACCCTAGACTAAGGAGTAAGGCTTGTGGTTGCCTAATTTCCGCCTTTTCAGAACCCCACTTCAGACATAAAGGGATAGTTATCCTAGCAAGTTCCAGTCTCCTGCAAACGGAGTGCGAAAGATGGCGACCCCCCCAGGTGCAAACAGTCTGAGAATCCTATCTATTGATGGAGGCGGCGTCAAAGGCTACACCGCACTGCTCATACTGCAAAGAATCTGTCGTGCCATGAGGGTGGAGGCCGAGAAGGGGGGTATCGATCTCGCTGATGAGCCCAAGCCTTGCGAGGTCTTTGATCTTATTGTGGGCACATCGACTGGGGGTCTAATCGCCGTCATGCTTGGTAGGCTCCACATGTCTGTTGACGAGTGCATACGAAAATACGAAGACCTGAGCTCGGATATCTTTGGGAAACGGCAGCTGGGTGGTCAGTTCGTAAGATTTTTCAAAGGATTGCTCAAAGTGCCATTCTATGACATCGATACTATGCAAACAGCTATCAAATCAGTGTTGGAGCAGCAAAACAAGGATGTTCAGGAAAATTTCAAAGAGGAAGACCCAGTCTGTAAAACGTGAGAACCTTGATGTTCACTACTTGGCCCGAAGAAGGCTAACCCATACAGTATTGTTTGCGTGACTCGGTCAAAAACAGCCGCGCATGACGTTCTGCGGAATTACGAATCGAAACATGCGGCGCACCAGAACTACAAATGCACGATTTGGGAAGCGGCAAGCGCCACGGCAGCAGCCCCCATGTTCTTCGGAGCCGTCAAACTCGAGCCGGGTGGAGAAATCTGGCGCGATGGAGGATTACGTCGCAACAATCCTGTCAACGTAGCCATCGAACAACTCGGACTCGAGGATGAGTGGAGGGGTAAGCACATCGGGTGTGTGCTCAGCCTTGGAACCGGCGCTCCCCTTATCAATGAAGTTTCCAATAATCTTGCGAAATTCCTCAAAGGCTGCGTCGCCATGATGACCGACTCCGAGGACACCGCCGACGCATTTGCTAGATCTTCCCACGGTCAAAAACTAGCCAACTCTCAGCGGTACTTCCGTTTCAGTGTCGCCCAAGGTATGGAGTATTTGCAAATGGATGAGTTTAAAGAGACAGAGAAGATGAATGCTTTGACAACTCGTTACCTTAGCACGATGAAAAACGGTGACGAAGTTCAGCGATGTGCAAAATCGTTGGTATGGCCTGATCAAAATTGTTAGTGTAGCCTAATAGCGTAGCGTCTGCGGCGATGTTGCTAAGCGTAGTTGCAGGGCAGAAGAAGGTTGAAGAAAAGCCGTCGCTTCTGCCGTATCGTCATTGCCTTCACTTTGTCGACCGAGTGACGTACACAGCAGAGCTTCATCGATTTTTCGATAAAAGTGTTGCCGGTCAACAGAAGTTCGTACTCTGGGGTCCTGGGGGTATTGGGTAAGTCAAATGGCTAGGATACGGTGAAGGGCCCTGACAGACATAAAGGAAGACTCAAATCGCCCTACAATTTGCTCAGTCCATGCGATCAAGACTATCGGTCTTTTGGGTCCGAGCTGACACTGTTGCCAATTTCCTCAATGACTTCCCCCGAATAATGGACCAGCTTGAGCCCTCAAAGACCCATGTGAGCACGAGCCAAGATCGTCCTCTCTTGGCACGAAACGTCACTGCTAGACTGGAAAGAGACCCAAGTTCGTGGCTTCTTGTACTGGACAATGCCGACGATTACAATCTGTTTGTTGGGAAAACTGCGGCGGGAAATGCGATCAACAGCTACGTTCCTAAAGAAGGTCGAGTCCTCATCACGACACGAGACCCTCGATTCCGTGGTACGGTAGCTGCTGCCAAAGATGGCTTGCATGTCGAACCAATGGACACAAGCGAAGCCAGTGATCTGTTCACGAAATCAATTCCGCCCCATCTTGCCAGCCAAAGCTCCTCAGCTATGGTGGACGAACTGTTGGTATTACTCGGCAACCTGCCGCTAGCTTTAGCTCAAGCTGCCGCCAACGTCACTGACCAGCAGCGTCCAGTGCATGAGTACATCGCTGCTTATCGCGACAAACGAAACAGAATATCGCTAATGGCGCAACCTGTGTTGGACGTGGAGACAGAGGGGTTTAGGACAAGTGGCCAATCCATACTATTGACCTACGAAATATCGTTCGAAGACCTTGAACGCGACCACCAGTTATCCGCTCGCTGTCTCAATTACTTCGGATTTTTCCATTGGCAGAAGATACCAGTATCTCTCATCCGCGCTCTGCCCGTACTCGCAGAACTTGACGACCAGTCTTTCCGTGACACGATAAAGCATCTTCTTCATTTGTCTCTGATAGAGGAAATTTCGTATCACGACGGCAGCGAGTACTCTGTTCACCCTATCATCCACGAGGGGATCTCAAATCGACTGTCTCCCGAAGACAAGAGGTCTTATTTGAGCGACAGTGTCGCAGTCATATTGTCTAAACTTCGGAAAATGCATGAGTACCGCGAGTACTTAGCATCGTGGCCATACTTGCAATCACACGCATTGCTACAAGTCAACTTCGCCACAGAAAATAATCTGAAGAGTGAAGCTCTAGCTCTTCTAAATTACCGCTGTGCTGTATTCCTGAGGGTTTCCGGTATGACGTTTGACAGCGTACAACTAGCTACACAAGCTGTCGCGATAGCGCAAGACATTTGCGGCCCTTACCATTGGCTAACCATCAAAGCCTGGGTCGAAAAAATTAAATGTCTAGTTGCGGATAGTCACTTTCGAGAGGGATATAATGAGTCGAAATTTGCTATGGAAAGATTAGACTCTGCCAAGTTAAATAATGAAGCTATGAGCGATGAAGAATATCTGGAATTACGCGCGAAAGTACTGCAAGTGAAGCGTAGCGCTTGCGCGGGCCTCGGTGAGTATAAAGAAGGGGAAGAGACTGCAAATGAGCTTATCGTCTTGAGGCGTGGCTTACCAGAAGATACTGAACTTAGTCTCGAAGACCGTTATAGCCTTAGCGTTTTTCTTTTTGAGCAGGGAAAGTTTCAAGAAGCTCAGGAAATGAACAACGAATTGCTCATTTCAATGGATGAGCAACAGCGAACGGCACACAAGACGGTTTTCTTGACTATCTATGCCCTAAAAGCAGGGATTCTGAGCGGTATGCGACGAGGATCAGAGTTCGAGCCAGCTGTGATCTTAGGCCATGACGAAGAAAGAGACATACTTCAAATCCATCGGGATGTATTCAAAGAACACTTGTCTATACGCTTGATTACAGACCGATTTGTTTGGCTAAGTTGTAACAATCTTCTGAGTGAGCTGAGCCAGAAAGGCGAGACGCCAGAAGCGGCGGATATCTTGAAGAGAATAATTACCGGAGCCGTTGAGTCAGGGTTCCGCTTCGAAGGCCAAATGATACAGGTATTTGGCACGACTCTGCGCTACGGACTGGATGTGATAGAATCGCTTCATGGGACTGGAGATGCTCGCCAAGAACCGCCAGGACTACCGATCGCAAATCTCTTTGTCCAGATAATAGAGCTGGCCGGCACTGCAATGAGAAGGCACTGGCGTGGTTCCCGTCCATTATACGACTTTGCTCTCCTTTTTTCACGCCTTGGCGACTCGCACAGAGCAGAGGAGTTGCTCTGCGAAGCATTGCAAGACAACAGGTTGGAGGAAGATAAATCGATGGAAGGACCGATTCACTACAACCTCATGTTGGCGATTGCACTACAGGGACGTCCAGACGATGCGAGGCGCTATAGGGATACCCATCTTGCTCTCATTACCCCCGAAGAGTCTAAACGTGGCGACTTGGAGCAGCAATTGCGGCTGGTTAGGGAAGCGAAAGAACTTTACGACAAGGCAAAAGGCATACTGGCTGGTCGAAACAGCAAGGTGCCGGAAAGTTGGTGGACTGAGAACAGGGTAGCGCTGAACAGAGTTCAGCTTCGTTACGGTCTTCTGGTACCTGCGACGGCTGGAGAGGATCGAGGTCCATATGGAGATGCATCGGATACGGTACTGAAAAAGCAAAAGCGAAAACCTCGAGGGTTGGGGGGTATCATCGACAAGCTCCACAGAACTTCTCCTTCCAATCCACATGACTGAACGTCGTGTCTTCGATAACGATGACATCGGGTGCATGTGCCAACGCAGTCTTCAACAACCAAACATTCGCACGATGTTGCCTACTCCCTGACGAATAACGACTGTCCGCATTGATGTTGTGTGACATGCTCCCTACAAGGCACACGCCCTGCGGTGAACTTGGAAAGCGCGAGACTCTTCGAGACTGGACAACATACCCATCTCAGGCACTTTGACTGCGCTCCTTTCGATCGAGCCTACATAGGGATGCTTTTGGAGGCCGCATTTGTTTTTCTTTCGTCTGATCTCAAAGTGCGCAACCTATGTAGCCATGATCAAGACTTGTATAGGTACCGAACCCTAAGCGGACTCGGGCTCTGAACATCTCTACAAGCCTGATACCAATTGCAGGTGTGGTCCCTGATGCAACTAAAGTAGTAGCGGCGACCAGCCCAAAGTGTGTGTGTTTTCGAAGCCGGAGGGGCGCCCCTCTAGCCATAGAAAATAGAGTGGGACTGTTTTTGCCCACTCGGCCACGCAACCATGTCCGAATTAGGTACAAAACTGGCTAAAGTACACGTGAAAAGCCAGGGAAGACTCCCGCTGCCACCGGAAACCATTACACTCTGCAGCATTACAACCAGACCCTCCCCTTTCGTCTTTTGTCCGACAGAGTCCAACTGTGTTGGATTGCATACACCACAGGTGGATCTCGTAGCTGGCCGACCAGTCCACGGTAGATGCCCTGGGGGAAGTGACTTCAGCTGTGGGCGTGAGATGGGGACGGGATGAAAGGAAGTACGAAGTTCAAAAGTGGCGGTTTCCAAGCTTTTAGTTGTCCCATTCATGAGAAACACGCATCACATGCATCAGAGTGTAGATAGTGGTTGGGCCGTCTCACGCCGGGGATTGAATTTCAGGCCTAGATAGAGGCCTGAACAGGCATATATCTCTCGTACCCCAGCGCAAGAAAACTCCCACGCCGATGGTATAGACCTGGAATGAGATGGTAGCTATATACAGGTGTGGATGAATAAAAGGACGAAAAGTATATAGTGGCTCTGAAAGAGCCGGCATCGCATGGAGAGCCATTGACAGGTGTGAAACAGATGGCTATACAGCTCATACTGGACACCTGTCTCCTACACCTTGCAGAGGTACCGACAAGGCCCTGAAACAGGGGCATATTATGTAACCCACTCACCCCCAGTCCCACTGTGGCGAATAGTTCCTCCCTATCAATAGTATCTTCGTTACACACCGCTATTGACTTGGTCTAGCACGGTCCTAACAACATCATCAATGTAAGCGGCCAAGACTGATCTCTACTCAGACATATTTCCGAACAGGTTTCGTCATTCGTTCCGCTTGTGCGGGGGTGCCCACTATGACGGAGGATACGGTTACATCCCCCTCTCAAACCTCGCAGCACCTGTGGTTTTTACCAACCTTCTGCGTCGGAGCGGCGTCATAATCGCTCGAACTCCGGTATCCCATGCCAGTACCGTCTTTTGTCACCCAGTCAATCGTGTACACATACAGCGCTCGATTCTGAGGATGCGGTCCTCGAAGCTTAGTCATCTTAATATGTATATGTTCCAAAATCTGCGAATCGTTTACAACTTGCCAATCAAAGAACCTATCACGGTTTTTTGATTCGTGATCAGACGGAATCGCAGGAATGATCCTTTCCAACAATCGCGTTACTTTCTCCAGAAGGTATCGATGAACTGTTCCAGATGCATGAGGCGAGAGGATTGTCAGGTGTGTGCAGGCTCTACTGTCACCCACAAGGCTGCATCACCGCACCACAAGCAAACGCCGCCCAGTCATGCCGCATGACACCACGGGCCTTCTGATCTCCCTCAGCTCGGCACAGTGCGTCGCAAAGAGGTACACTGCAGCAGATGTAGGGGCGGACGTGGTCAGGTGGCAATCTATGAAGGTTGAGGTTCCTGTGGTCCAGTATTCAAAACAGGCAGGTATGCTGGAGACATGCTCAGATGACAGGTCTCTGCGGGCTGTTGAACCTTCGATTCTGCAGTTGAGGCGTGTTTGAATAACCTGCAGGTGGACCAGAGTGCTTTTCAGGATGTACAGTGGCTACGTCAATGCATTGCCACCGATGTTACGTGAAGTTTCATTGATTTTGGCCACCAAGCCTCCTTGATACACCACTACTCCGTTCGCAGCTATTGCCGTCTCTCACACAGGGTTGCGAAGAAATACAAGGCCCATCCTACCGCCACGGCCCCAAGCGGCGAGAGAGCGTTTGCCCCAGTCTGTCGGGCTCCACCATGACTTCATTCCAAGACTTTTCCGCGGCTTAGCCAGGTAGCAGTCAGCTGGGTTCTGATCACATTGGCATTCCGAAGGCGAGATTGCATACCCAAGTCGAAGCCTCTACTGTTGCAATTTCCGAGCGACATGGCTATCAGGGGCTAGCGCTGATGTGATAGCGAGGCAAGGGAGCTGAGCTGTGCTCTTTGCTTGTGTCATGATCAGTCCAGCACAGCCCAAAGGAATGATCGTTAGATGCTGATGCTTGTTAGGGATCGATCCAAGGAGATACGTTGAAGGCCGTTGGTTTCAGACCGGCGGCGGGGTAGAGGTATTGAGAACGGTGGAAGCTGACAGAGACATCTTATGTGTGGGTCGATGATGGTTACGAGTTTCAAGCTCTTCTTTCAGAATAGGGGCTCGTGTTCCTGCGGCGAAGTATGAGGATGAGAGGTTTCCCTAGGGTATAAATAACACGTATGGACCACCTGTTTTGCCATAGACCAGAAAGCATCCACCATTTCCGTCGAGAAACTCATCACTACCTTGTTCATTCCCGAAGCCATTCAAGCTATTCTATCAGCAATGTTCTCCTCCGCCATCATTCCCAGTCTTCTTCTCGGCCTCTCACAGATCCACAGCAGTATTGCTCAACCGGTGAATGCTAGCAGCGTCATCGTCACCCTTGCCGCCTCTGATCATTTCCCCCATGCCAAGGGCGACTTGAGCCCGTTCGACGTTGACGTCAACTACGTCGGTTACAACGCTAGTACCCAGTCATGGCTCACGAGCCTCAACCCAGCTTCTGGCGCTAGCGACGAGGAAAGGGCTAGGATCATGACCGAGGCCGCCTACGCGAAGCCATTCGATGCGAACGACCCAGACATGACCGCGGACGTCGACTCCCTGTTGGCCACCATTGCTGGCAATGCCACCGCCCTTGAAAAACGTGCCGGCTCCTCTTTCAAGGTCGTTGCAGGCCACGCGGTCAAATGGGGTGCCTGCGCTAAGGTCTTCGGCTGCCTGAGCGGCTCGACTTGTACTTTTAGTCTGAATGTTGGCAAGGCACCCCGCAGCCAGTGTCAGTCCCAGGGCGGGTCGAACTGTTGCATCAGCTGGTCCGACTACAATGTCAGGTTCGGCTTCTTCAAAACCACGTGGACAACATGCAACGATGAAGTCACGGCCCAGAAAAGGAAGACGGCCTCTTGCAAGGGTTACGGCAGCTCGTCTCAAGGCGGTGATGTCTGCCTCAGTAACCGTGCCAATAAGTGTAACTAAGTATATCGCGTTGTGACTGAGTAGCTATGGAAGAGTGCGGAAGGGGGTTTCAACAACTCATGTGCAGGGTCGGGGATGGAAAGTGTTTCGGAGGTGGAGAAGTGTTCGCTCATTGCCGGGTATAGAATGATAGACTGTTTGCCATTTGCATGTATCTCGGATATATAGAACCATCGTTTGTGATCGACACTCGCACACAAGTCCCCACACACATGATTGCTGTCCCAATGTGCGCGTTTCAGAACAGTGGTACCCTGTGACTTATATGAAATCCCCTTGCGCCGACGACATCAACCATGCCTGAACTGGAGATGATAAGCCAACACCGCCCCACCGCTGCTTCCGTTGCTGCACAATTCTTACCGCTTCTTCCATCCCTCCCTTGCCCTCACCCTTTGCTCCCAGAATTTGCGTCGTCGCTCCCAGTCATTACAACATCCGCCCGCCCGCACGACGGGCATTGCTTCGGAGGGATCGCCTTATCGGAAGACCTCGGTGCCAACCACTGTACCATCAGCCATGAAGTAGCGGCGAGCGCGAGCAGGTAAAAGAAGACAAGGACGAGGAAAGTGTGCGATGGAAATGCTTGGAGCGACTCGGTCACGAAACCGAGAGCGTCGTGCTTTGTTTGCCGTGTGGCGATGGGAGGCGATGCGGCCATTATTTTTTCGAGTATCGGTGGGGTTCGATGGGAGAATGGGATGGTGTGGCGGTGTTGGTGAGGTGAGGACTGCGAAAGGCGGGATGTGTGGATGTTTTTATGACGGCGAGGAGCGATTATCGGGACGGTGGGATTGCCCATTATTTAGGCGTATGTGTTACGAGGACAGGTTGCCCAACGGAATAACAAAGGGCCGAACAGTGATAGGTACTGCTATGACCATACTTGTAGAGACTCCTTGCCACAGTAGGACTGGGGGTTAGTGATTCCACATATTCGCATCTTTCAGCCGTTTCAGCAAGTGACTATTCTAGCGAATATACATTTAGAAAAAATGTACATATACTACCACATCTATAACTGTTTTTTATTTAATTTCATTTCTTTTAAAATTATAATAGTCTTTACGGTTGATTAAACAACCACCAACGCTATGGCCTTATAATGAACCCACTAACCTAAAGTATAGTCCCACTGTTGCGATAATACAACCTTTTACAATGCTACAATCATATAGCTTGATATTAGCTATTCTTAAGTATGTTGATGATACGTAGTTTTACGCGCTTTACAGTCTGCCCCTGAATCTGTAATCCCTCAATTAAGAAATGTTTGGGCTATCTTGGCCGTCAACAAGACATCTAGAAATTGTGAAGCGCGAACGCTTTTTGAGGATCTCGACTTGGGAAGTTCAAAACAGTGCGTATAGGATCGAGAACATTTCCAATAAAGAATATACTAGCAAACTCCGAGGTGATGGCCTAATGAGAGGTTTAAGCACGTTAACAGATGATGCTGTAGTCTTGTCAACCCAAAACGATTATAGCATCTTGTGCACACGCTAATACATAAAGACCAGTGGACCTGCACCAACTCATACCGCAGCTCACAATCTTGATTCACAAGTCGTCATTCCTAGCTCATATGCTTTCCTATAACTCTTTTCATGAAGGTACAGAAGAACATTCCGGCGGATGTAGCGCCGCAGTATGCCTTTGCTACGAAGTGTGACGGAATCTATGCTGCTCTCTCAATGCAATGTAATGCTGAACTGACTCGGAGAACGAAAAAGCTCAGCTCCTCGCATTGTCAGTGTAGATTATACCTCAAAGAAGGCAGGTCCGGACGTCCCGGACGGGCGAGATTGTGGCGCAGTGCAGCTTTCATGCGAGTTGACGGATATGATCTGAGGATAGCGAATGGTTCCTTTTTCCTAGATGTACGCCACAGAAAAGCAGGGAAGATCATTGTGTTGCCGCCTGAGGAAGCATCGTCTTACATCTTCGTGCAAACTGTCATGGCTCAGGTAAATCTTTTTCCCTAGAGATCAATCTTGTTTTTGATTTTTGCCCAATCCTGCAACTGTGCACTCGACCTTCATCTTTTTCCCATCATGGATCTGTATTTGAGTAAAATGATTATCCTTTGCTTCGTACTTGGCCTATGTACGAGCCAACTAGCGTCAAGTGAAAATTGTCGGTTACTCACTCCACGTAGCTGCTTCTTGTAGCACTTGTAGTGCAGCCAGGCCAGCACCGATATGCACAGGCTGCGATGTCAACGCAGATTTGATTACCATGAATAGTACTTCTTGGGATTATGGCAATCCTGCGATAGGGTAGGGTTCCGGAAAGACAACGCTACCTTGTGGCTAATACATAGAGTCCACAGGACACCATACCTGAATGCCTACCTTGCCATCACGGCATACTCTATCACCACATCATCATCAATATCAGGGAATTGTGTCGAACATGCCATCTCACCGACCCCATTGATTACCGTCTACATAGCCAATATCACATCCTCATTAGATTTCTTCCGCTTCTTACCTACGTCTAGTCTAGCAGGGTTAACAGGCGTGGCGGGAGATGCTGTGTTTAGCAGCCTTGAACAAGATGGCTACTCCTCTTTTCTGGATGACGCATACTCTGACATTTTAGCCACCGAAGGATTGGAAGGCTGTACTGCTTCAATACCGCCGTCACAACGCATTCCAACGTTCGTGGGAGCTCGAGCAGCAGTCTCAACGACAGTAGCCTCTCCGGCAACTCCAGCGGAAGGCTCAGCGGCAGTACACTCAGCCGAAAACTTGACTGGGAGCTCAACACCAGGGAGCCGTGGCCATCCTACGCAAATCATCATCCTCTCTGTTGTATTACCAACCGTCGGAATCATGATACTTCTGTTCTGCTTCATCATCATCCGTAGATACCGGAACAAACGAAGCCAGGCAGCCGACGCGATGCATCCAGAAAAATCATCCGACGCGCAACTCTACGTGGATCAGAAAGCAGAGTTGGAAGATGAAGAACGGAGGAGGCATGAACTAGAAGCCGAAAGAACGAGGCATGAGTTGAACGGGGAAGACACCGTATTCGAGATGCCCGATAACGGCGACTCACGGATGCATTCAGCGTCGTCCCATAGACCCCACGAGTTGAGAGGAGCGGAACATTCACAAGAACTCGAAGTCCCAAGCAACGTCTGAGTGCTCAGTAGAAGCCCGTTGACGTTGTCAATCGGAGCCGCGTTTGCAGCCCTTCTTACGAAGTTAATGACCCCCTCCCATCATTCCCTCCGGGTTTTGTGCTCCTGGTTTCAAATGTGCAGCTGAGTCGCACTCAAAGTGTATACCAGTTTGACCTCCGCCGCCGCTCCCGCTCTCGCGGCTCCGGTGACGGAAGTCGCGTTCTTCACGGTGAGAAACGGCGCCCGCGAGGACGCGAAGGGCTCGAATAGGAGACGAGGTGGTGGATCGTGAGCATCCCGTCATCACGGTCGGGAAAAGTTTGGGAGGCGCCATCGGCTGGGGTGAGTCGAATCGAGTCGAATCGAATCGGATCCTGTCTCCTATCCGGCCGACGGCTTTACCTTTTTCTGGGCTTTGTTTGCGTGGCATCTGACCATAACCTAACCGACAGTCTTCAACGCGACGAACGCCGGCGACGCGGAATGCATCGCCCTGCACGGCGTCGAGGACCACATCCGGTGGAGGCCGTCGCCGGCACATGCGCGGGTTGTCGAAGAGATGGGACGGTACTTTAGCCCTTGGTGGAGCTGGGACTGGGGAATGCGAGGGTGGCCGGGCGGGGATCTTTTCGTCCCGGGGGGCATATATTATGTTCCATGTGAGGAGGGTCCGTGGAGAGGGGGTGGGAAATGGGCGAGGTCTGGATTGCGGGTTGGTCTTGGTGTGGTCTTGGGCTTGGCTTCTGCTCTCTGAGTCATGGATCCTTTCAGGGGGTCTGGCTATTTGAGGTGGGTTAGATTGCTTTGGATGTTGATTGGGGAACTTCTTCGAAGCCGCAAGGTGCGGGGTAAGGTATTTAGGGAGCAGGCCCGAACGGGATAAAGTACAGCAAAGTTGGAACATTTGGTGCGTGGCAATATTATTGATTCTAGGCTATTTCGGGTCGCAACATCATCATCGGCTTTATCGCCAGCCTCAGCGCTCCTCCATCTGCTTCCTTTACAAAATCCTCTTCCGTCTGTCTTCCCCTTGTCCGCCTCCAAACATGAACCAGAAGCGCAATTCCATCCCGGTGCAACCACGCCTGAAGCAATCGTAGGGCCGGAGATAGTCAATGTCGTTTGTGGTGCAGCAGAGGCACCCGAGCCGAGCAGAATGTACGCCGGCGAGGTCTGCGTTGGGGTGGTTCCATACGGCGTGTGTCCGGTTTATTGGCGTGTCCCTTTGTTGGAAGTCGGACTCATCATCATCGTGCGATCATGATCGATCATTCATAGCATCTCATGTCGTAATCGTACTTCTTTCAGTAGTAATAGTCATCGTCTTTGGCCGGCACGGGCGGCGCACCCCTGGCGGTTCGCGACCGGTTCCGCCGCTCCCGCTCCTTCATGTCCGCCTCGTACAGGCTCCCGCGGCCGGAGTGGGAGTGCTTCTCGCGCCGCGGTGTAGGCGGCATGGCGGTCTCGAGCATCGGCTTGCGGATGTAGCGGGGCTCCTGCGGGCGTCGGTGCTCGAAGGTCGGCTGCATCACCCTTGGGGCGACGTGGTACGTCTCGTCGTAGCTGGCGGCGGGGACCCTCCGGCGCAGGCGGAGGCCGCGTTCCATCGCCTTGAGCAGCTCGCGGACGACGGCGCAGTCGACCGGGATCTCCATCTGCACGCGCCGGTTGCCCTCGAGGTCGACGACGGAGAAGGTTTGGCCGGCTTTGTTGAAGACGTACTGGGCGACGTCGAGGGCTCGCTGGTGGCCTTTGGAGCAGAGACTGCCGCCTTTGCGGTGGACTTCGTAGGGGTGGGCGCAGGCGGAGCAGTGAGAGGCGTGGCGGGCGAAGGTTTTCATGACGTAGAGCTCGTCGTCGTGGGGTAGACGCGAGTAGGTGGCGGGGATGGGCGCGAAGCCTACTTGGCGGGGTGCGGAATCCATTGTGGGTTCAGGGTGGGTTGGTTTTGGTGAAATCGGTGGGAATGATGGTGGGGTTGAGATGTAGTAGTACGTGGTCTTGGTGTATTGGGGAGACACCTTAAGAATCGGCGACAATGGGCTGGTTAAGTAGACGACGCTCGACGTTGTTTGGAGATAATGATAGCACGGGTAACACAGAATGATGTCACGCAATCCTTGATGACGACGTGAAGGATTGAAATATGAGAGGTCGTGTTTCGAGGCCGATGTTGTTGTTGGTGAAGAGGAAAGGATCGGTGGGCGAAGCAGGATTTATTACCTTGGCCAACACCGTGTGTTATGTTTGCGTTTGAGAAATGTTAGAAGATGAAGAGAAGAGAGGAAAGAGATGTGCGCGATTGGGAGATGATATAGAAAATGAGAAGTATGGATGAGAAGTATGTAATTGATGCCTGTTGATCCAAACTTGCCTAGCTTCGAGTCATAGGCATCAATGGCCCTATGCACGCTCTAAGGCTCTATCAGGTGTAGACACCATCAAATGCCAGTTCGCACTAAGGTCAGCTGAGACTCATCAGTGGTCAATTGACTCAATTGCTGCCTTGCGACTGGCCGTTCCGTCATCCGTTGACCAACTATCGCGCTTGGCCTTGTGGCTTCGCAAGCTGTGCTCAAAGCCACCGGAGTTCATCGACGTCGAGAGCCCATCTTGGTGGGGGGCCATGCCCACAAGGCTGAGTACAGGTGGTCTCGGGTAGCGGTAATCACGCCGGTGGTGTGTAGCATTGAATGTGAGCATTGCATGAATTGATTGAACAATTGCAAGCTGCGCCTACTTGTTGCGGGGATGTTGTGGAATGTGGCAACAATTATGACTGTTGGGAGAGACGCGAATGAGAGTAAAAGTAGCAGTAGAAAATGGTGATGGAGGGTGAAAATGGATGGAAAGTGGGGAACAGGAATCCATCGCTTCATACGCTAAGAATTTAAGCGATACACTATACCACTTTGGGAGTGGCTTGGCTGCTAGGGTGGGATCCAATATGACTGCGGGAAAATGCCAAGACTGTCCATGGCAGCTGAAGTCTTGCCGAAATATTGAAAGGTTGAAAGGAAGGCAGACTCGATGATGACAAACATGAAATAAACACACACCGATAAACGCTCTCAGCACAGCTGTATTCCTGATGCTGCTGGCACACGCGGCCAATTAATCTATCCTTCTGACTTTGTCAAACCGCCAGCCGTCAGCAATTGCTTTCCGCCATACTGTGCTTTGATCCTCTCCTCCCGCTTTGTCTCACTCCAAACCGCCGAAGTGACTCGATGCTAAAATGAATGCGTCATCCGATTACGTCTTCGTCTTGATTGTGCTAATACTTATCTTCTCAAAACTGAAAAGACCATCAGGCTTCGGCACACCTATTCATCTGCTCACCTGTTCATGTTTGCCGAAGCAGGGGCCGGCATGCAGAACAGAAGACGTGTCAGGATCTGGCAGCCATGAGTCTTGATCCAACACCTTGCGTTTGGTGAGTCCAATTGTGACAGCCCTGGCCGTGCCATCTCCAGACGTGACGGCCAACGCTGCAGACTTTGAAACAGTGTACGCGTTGCCTCGAGGCTGTTGCTTGAGCTCCAACTTTACCATCCTTTCCATCCTTCGCGGACCCTTCGATCGTCTTCAGCCTCATGACATCAGAGTCAAACGTGTTGTAGATGCAGCTTTGATGAACATCTGAGCCTGAACATGTGGTCGTCATCGGCGATCTTTGGCCGTACTTACCCCAGCTTTTCGGGAGATTTGGCTGCTCTGGATGACGAGGTCTCACATCATCCTCCCGAGGGTTACAATGCATGACCTTGTTGCCTGACGCTCTGTTTCTACTGTGCCACACCAACCTTGGCAAGAGGTCATGTCCTCCAGGCTCCACACTCAATCTTCCAAATCTCGCCCCTCCTCCCAAAAAACGCCATCTGTAAAAAGCCTTTGCGAGTTCCACCGGATCTATTTGATCCGAGGGGTGACGGCTAAAGTGGTGTTCTGTTATGCCGTCAGCCTTCAGCATGAAAGACCAGATCCGCACGGCAACTCTGAAGACGACCTTTCCTTTGTACGCTGGCATAGCTTGAATAAGTGATGTTGAAAAAGCACCGTCATCATCTATTATGTTTAGAAACGCAATGCCAAGTTCACAACCGTTCTGTGAGACCAAGACAGCTTGGACCTTGATATTCATGCACCAGAGAGCTTGACGGATGGCCGTTACATTGGTACAGGGATCCTGTCTGATGCTTTGAGGCTAAAAAGGGTAGAAGCTGGCGGACGTCATCTGTCACATCCTATGTGCAAACAATTCACTTTATCGGAATGGCTCATAGCACAAAGTTATTTCGATCACTTTCCGCTTCTCTCTCCGTCTCAGATCTGGTCCGTCTCAACTGGAGCAAGAATCACGCCACGCACGCCTAGTATTTGAACATGTCCGCTTGATGATCCATATTTCCGACAGAAAACGCACAATCTAGCAGAGGTCACGTACAACAAAGAACATTGGCAGAGCGATCATTGCCCAAAAATGGCAGCTGCCGACATTCTCCGTCACGTCCCCTACATTGCCACCCCTGTTTCCTCGAGACTCCCAGAGATTGAGAGCCCTTCACCAAGGCCTCAAAAAAGTATGGAGAAGGAAACTCATTCACGCATGAGTCTTCACGGTTGCAATGTCTCGTTTCAAGATCTTTGAAAGGTAGCTTCGAGCTTTCCACCAGAGTACCGCGGCGATTGATGGCCAAAATCCCATGACATCGAAAGCGTGGACACGATGAATCCCCATGATTGCGCTGGATCCGTTTCATCACAGAACAATGAACTTGCAACCCGATGGACGTATCAACATGGTTGGGCAGTTGAATTAACCCGCAAACACAGCTTGTTTTCTAAGCCTAATCTGTACGTGCGCAGGCCGGTCGCTCTAATCCATTCAAGCAAGTGAGTTCGCCACTTTTTGGGTGAGTCGCGTCACGTGCGCTCAACCAGGCTCACCTCGGTTGAATAAGCTGTAGGTAACGCATCTCGAAAACGTCCCCTAGGGACCAAAACCGAATCCCACATTTCCTCCATCCCCACCATCGATGCGAAAAGGGTCAAATTTTAACGACGACACTATCCAAGGTAGTGCTACGATACCGCAGTGCATGATGGTGCCGTGCCCGTCAGCTTGGCCTCTATATAGGGGCAGCGCGCCTCCCCTCGAGCGACTCCTACCACGTACTCCTCATCTGCCCTCCTCGTCTGCTCTTTCCTGGGACTATTTGCCTCGTCAGATGCCTTCTTCACGCAAATCCTCTTTCAGCACTCCTCGGCTTTCGCTGCCGCCATGGGCCGCAAGCGCAAGACCGCCAAACTCGCACGCGAGAACGGTTTCAACGACAACGAGACTTTCGCCGATGATGCTGAGAGCCTCAAGCCTATGACGGATGGCGGCGAGGGCGCTTATAGGGATGCACTGGAGATCTGGGCCGAGTCAGTCTCATGACCATGTTCCATATGCGTTGGGATTGCTAGTTTTGTTTGATTAAGAATGAGTAAGCTAGAAGGGGGGTAAGAATAGAACTGAACTCATGTGGTGCTAAAAGAGGTTGATGTGGACATGACTTCGACGTGCCTTGGCTTGGGCTGACAATGGCAGGAATGGTGACATATCCAACCGCAAATCGAAAGAGTCAATAGCCACAATGCGACCGACAAACTTGAACAGCGCTGCTTACAGAGCAAAGTGTCGTAAGATTTTCTCCGAGTATATCTATAGAACCGAGCTCTTTCGAAAAGGACATCAACCGCCGACGAAGTCTGAAGCGAGCGGCCAAATTCGGCATCTCGATCGAACTAGCAAAATACGGCGGATGACGCGGATAATCTATAACCCTGACGAACACTACCGCAGGACAATAATCTATCTCTTCAAAAAGCAACTGAGAAGATACTCCAACGGTGTATACAAGGGATGATACTAGGAAATTGGTACATCATTCGAAAGAGCGGTTCTGGTACCCTCTCCGATAAATACTGCGGAGAGGAACCTACCTTGAAGACTAATAGCTGTGGATAATACGTACTACCGACCAATAAGATACGGCGACCGCTATAGACGGACAGTTTCCTATCTCGAACCTAGCTTCACCATAGATTGTCGTCGAAAATAGTAATAAGCGGATAAGCAAGCTCCAGTTGGTCAATGAGCTTTGAATATCAAAGAATCGGATAATCGTAGTGACGGATCGACAGCGACTAGCGGAAGAAGAAAGGATCCGATTGATTTATATAATGTGCGCAGCCGCATTGGTCAAGCAGGATCTAGAGCAGGGAGAGCAGGACTTTGCAGGGACGGTGGAATTTCTTGTGACGTAGGATCGTATATCCTATGGATGGATTCGTAACCCTGTTGCGACCGTGCCGGATCGAGTCTATGGTGGTGTTTAATTAGGAAATCAATTAATAAGGAGGTTTATGCTATGGACAGTGGTATGGGATAGGTAGGCCGCAGGGACTCTGCCAAGAGGCGCTAGGTCCGGTTAGGAAGGAGGTCAACATGTGGTGAGTAATAAAACTGACTCAAACTTGATTCGATTTATTCCAGTGGTGGGGGACGGGTCCGTGGAAAGTCCTCCTTGAGATAGCGATATATATTTAAATTAGACCAATCTCACCGAGCCGAAGGTCCTCCTTGGTCAAACCACCCAGTGAGCTTGGGGCCAACGGGCCAGAATTTTGTCACCTCATGACGCCACTGATATTGCAAAATCTCGACTATAGTACATCCCAAAATCCCCTACGGTACCACACCGGTCGCGCGCCCGTTCAAGCCGTCTGCTCTCACGCTCGACCTCACCCGCCGCTTCAACGCCGGTTCCGGCACAGGACCTCCCCTCCTCCACCCGTTCCCTGAGCGCATCGTTCATCAGCCCGGAGCCCCTCCGCGTCGTCCCGTACATGTCGGAGCCGATCCGGTGCAGCCCGTGCGCCGGAATACCGGCCAAGCGTCCCGACTGCTTGAATCGGGTGCCCGGCTCGGTGGGGCGTGGGATGATGTGGTGGTGGGGCTCGTTCAGGGTTGCGTACCACGGTTGTGCGTTACGAGTGCGCCTTGAAGTGCTACCGCCTTATGCCTTGTCGTTGTAGACGGCGACGTCTCTCTTTCACAGTCAAAGCTTCGACCCGAAGATTTATCCACGGCAGTGTCCTGGGATCCCGTTCTGTGGCATCTGACCGGGATCAGCGCTTCTTATTATTGCATCAAGGATGCTGACACTCTCCTTTTGTTCAGTCCGTTACTATCGGAACGGATTGCTATTATGTCCCTGCTCCGCCGCTCTGTTACCTACCTGGCTACTTGCCCTACCCTACCTTTCTCTGTTACCTACCCTGTTACCTGGTTGCCTGCCCAGCTATCTGCCTTGCCCTACTCTTTCATCTACCCTGCTCTTTCATCTACCCTGTTCTGCTGCCTGCCTGATTCTGTTTTGCTCTCCGCCCTGCGACTCGGCCACCTGCCCCTACCGCGTTAGGTGCCTATTATCTACCCTACTGCCTAGCCCAGCCTTTGCTCTTCGCTGGCTCTCAACTTAGCGCTTGAATCGTTGTCCCTCACTTCTTAAAGCAGAAATTCCTGATATCAACTGTGGATGTGTGCCGTTGATTCGGCCTCGTAGTGACTGAGGGTGAGAGAACGCGACATCAAGCATTGAAAGCTTCGCCATACAGATTGGAATCCAGAGAGTGTGCAAGATTCTGGAGACCCTTTCTCGGGTTGTGCGATAAAGACCAGACATACGCTGGTAGTTCCACCGAGTGAAGGAGAATAGAGAGGAAGAAGGCGTCCGACTCGTGGTTTGACTCCATAAATAAATAATGAGAAAGACCTCGCGCGGGTAGGAGAGGTTAAAAAATGCTCGCGATGCAAAATAGAACTGTTTTGGCTGGCCTACAGCTACTACCCCAACGCACACGAAGCGCATTGGCTTCGAAAAAACAATCCCAGATCAGCGTACGTTTATTCTGATACTGACTAAATCACGTAGGGGGAGTTGTAGCTCTCCGTTAGAGCACGGGGCTGAAAATGGTGCCTTACAGGTAACCCCGAGCGGATCTAATCGAAGGCTATGGCGCTCGAATGGGTCCCTTCAGCTGCGGCTTACCCTCGCCTCAGCCTCGCCTTACCCGGTGCGGGTGATGTGTATAACGGCGCTGCTCACCCTCTAGAACAGGAGCGGCATCCAACGAGGTAGTGATTTGGATTAAGCAATGCTTTGCTCTTTGATTAATTTGGAACGAGTAAAGGGAAACAGTGCAGTGCCGAGATTCCATCATGGTACGAGAAGCGACCCGTAGAGTAATCTGGCTCAGCCGTTCAGCGGCCCTAGGTAAGCTTGACCCTCTCATCTGATGGACCTTGGCCATTCCTCATGCTCTTTCATGGCCTGGACCTCTTCGGGCTCCCATGAATCGAAAGATTGGATTCAGAATTGGACTGAGTGCAGCGTTGGTTTCTCTCTTGCATTACTAATCCTTCTCTTACGAGTGCTAAAGATCTAGTCTAGATCCAAAGAATGCATTTCTCCATCATACCTTAACCCATCCATCCCATTCACCCCACAGTCCGCATCCAAGCATACCATCCACTCACAAGCCTGTCGTCATCGTCATCGCAATGTTCGACTCCGCACCGGCCCGGAGTGCCGCATCCACAGCTGCAGCTGCCCCCCTGACAGTGATCGGCGCCCCGCCCAGCAACCAGTGCTCCACTCTCCGCGTTTCCGTCGCCTCCTCCGCCGTAGGCCGCTCACCCGAGCCGGTGGTGGTGGTGATGGATGCTGTGCTCTCGCGAGATGGGGCCCGAGAAAATCGCCATGCTCTCCGTCAAGCGAGCCACAGGCCGCTTTCATGCTCCGAATTCGCCGCCCCCGTCCGTGCCAGACGTTCACCCAGGCGCGTGTACCACCGCGCTCTGTGGAGTGTCTCTCTGTCGAAGCTGGTGCCTGCCAGGAGGCGCTCGAGCTCGATGCGATCGCCAATGGTGACGGAGGGCAAGGGACGGAAATCGTCGAACCGTGTCACCATCTCCGTGTGCAGGCGCGGAAAGGTCCGCAGTGTGCGGCGCCATGTCGGGCTCTCGGTCGCTCGCTCGGCGATGAACCCGTCGAGGTCTCGCATGCTGATGATTGTGAGGGCTAGGTCGTGGTTGGCGAGGGCGGCGCCGTCGGCGGATTGTTCGATGGTGCGGACGACGCCTTCGCAGAATTGCATCCACATGTGGCGTTTGCGCTCGTTCGTGGCTGCTTGCTGGCGTCGTTGGTCGTGTTCGCTTTCGGCGGCGTTGAACATTGCGGCGACGCCGTTGTCTTCGTCTTCGGTGGGGCGGGCGGCCTGTGGTGGTGCTGGGGTGGCTGCCGCGGCTGGTCTGCGAGCGGCTCTACGATCGGCTCTACCGGCAGCTCTGTACGCGTTGACCAGTTCTTGCAACCGCGCCTGAAGCTCCAGTTCCATCTCTCCAGGTCTCCACAAATTCAAGCGACTGCTTGTCTCCAGATATCGTCTATGTGCCTCCTCAATTCGCAGCGAGCCTGCCGTAGCGTCATCTCCATCCCTCTGACTGATCGTCGAGGCGGGTCTCTGGCCACTGCGTTGTGTGGATGGAGGCAAAGAAGAAGCCGTGTCGTCAGGTGTTGACATCTCCGAAGTCCTTGATTCGTTCGTCGCTACTGTCTGTGGTTCCCCCACTGCCTGCTGCTGATCCCAGGCCTCCTCAGTGGCGACTATCGTAGAAGGTAGAGGTGCATTGGGAGCCACAGACCCCGGAATTGGGGCGACTGGGCTCGTGCTTGCCGTAGCATCAACCGGTTCGGCGGCGACGGCTGTCGGATCTACACCCCCAGTCGGAACGTCGTCCGGAAGCCGAAGCCATGACGGTAAGTTCTCGGGCTGAAGCCACGCTGGTAGTCGAGATGGTTCGCGTCGTTCGTCTCTGCCGACAGATGGGTCATCTGCGGAAATTCGGACAGGCGCCGCCGTGACTCTCCTCCTCCTCCCAACCGGTGCCGTCTCCCGGGCCGCGGGAAAGCCCATCGGATCCCAGTCGTCGAAGATCGGCTTCCGGCAATTGGGACAACTGTTGTTGCCGTCGCGCGATACCGGGGACAGCCATTTCAGGATGCAGCCCATGCCGAAGGTGTGGCCGCAGTCGAGCCTGACGGGCACTTCGGGGTTGTCGCCGCGAAGGAAGGGCTCTGAACAGATGGTGCAGTCCGTGTCCTTTCCGAGCTCGGATGAGATCAGGCGGCGGGTTTTTGCGAGGAATTCGTTGAGCAGGACTGCCGCTTGGGCGTTGAGATGTTCGTCTTGCGCGTGTAGCTGGTCCTGAACCGAATTTGGTGTTGAGGTGTGAGTTGGGTTCTGAGGGACGATCTGAGCTTGGTTTTGCGTATGGTGCTGGCTGTCGCCTGAATTTGGAGAGTCTCGGTTCATGTTTGACGCTGAATCTGAGCCTGAGTTGATGCTGGCTTTTTGTAGGTGTGACGATGATAAGAAAGAGGGGAAATCTGAAGATCCGAGAGTCAGGAGCCGAGGTGTTGGCGATCTAGAGCTCTGTCGATGAATGACATTGTGTTGGGGCCTGAACAACGACAGCCATAACTGAAGGCAGCCTGTTTGTGTTGTGAACGGACAAAGAATTCGATGGCTTCGCGATAAGACCATTATCGTATGACATCCTTTCTATTTACTCGCGCAGCGCAAGTCATGAATAATCGATTTGTGTATGTATGTATGGAAGCGAGAAAGACACAGGCGCAAACCGACAGAGTTGATCCATGCTTCTGAAGCACAAAAGGTAAGGAGTATTGACTGACCTTGGCATCACTTCCATCTTCACCATCCTCGGTCTCCTATAAGCGCAGCGTTGATGACAGGTCCGTGTCTGTGCATCAGTGACGTAGCCGAGTATTACTTGTCTCTGCATATGTTTTCAATTGGGATTGAGCCTTCTCACAATGTTTCTCAGTACGGAGGAGTGGTTTAGGCAACGTGATCGGCAGGCTGGGATTTGTTTTTGTTATTGGCATTCCTTGTTTGAGCACTCATAAAACAGATGTCCTATTTTCTGGCATGACGCCTGATCGTCTTCCGTTTTTGGGGATATGTCTGGTGACGGACAAGGGGGCCTTCGAGCAGTCTGTGAGTCGGTGCAGTAGTAAGTTTGTATGCTAGAGATTATGTCAGGATGAATTAAGCACGTAGTCATCTACGTCTTGACTGAAGTAGAAGGGCTCGTGAACGGCGGATTGGAAGTTCCTTTAGGAAACGATTTTCTGACCATCTATGAGTAGCACCTTTTCTATCCGGAGCAAAATCTTGAGACTTCAAGATGGAAGTCTGTGTAGAGTGCCAGTTTTGAAGCTGCGAATCTTGCCAATTTCATCTGACCACGTTTCCAGAGCCCTGAAAAGTCATTCGTCTTGATCAGCAGCCTCGAAGTAGAACTTGTTTTTTTTGGAAATACTAATTTTCAATAACGCTGTGATCCAGTAATATCTCAGTGCAAGTCTATCCACATTTTAGATGTAGAACATGGAATCCTTGAGACTGCGCGAGAATGAGCGTTGCCTCCTCCAAGAACAGTATCGGGCTCCAGTTGGTAATCAACATACCTCTCATGGACCCCTGAGCGCCACGGAGCGTGGTTCCAGTCGAACTCCTTCCCAGCGTTGCGACTGATGAAGTCTGCGAGATAGCAGCGCGCACGCAGACAAATCAGATGTGCGTAGTACGCTGGAGGGCAGACCGAGACGGCTTTTGTCGCTCGGCCCTGGAGATAGCTAAGATTGTGGGTGATCTTCTCCAAATGGTTGGCGCTGAGCTTGTTAGTGTCTTTGATCTCATCGAGCAGGATGACATAATGGGCTGGTTTTGTCTTCCTAGGGTTAGCAGATATTCGAGATCGGTGAAAGGGAACTTACTGTGCCCTGTAAAGCTGCATGGGCGGCCATATAGAAATCCCAGCCTTTTTGCATCGTAATGCCTCTGTCGACCACGGTACCATTTTGGATATTACAGTTGTGCTTCTGGTCCGCCTGTTTCTTGTTCGTAGGATAGAACCGCGTGTGATGATTTTTTCCCACGACGAGAAAGGTAATCTTGGGTTGTGCGGCATCAATGAAGACCTTCGCACAAGCATTACGAATGGCTGGTATTTCACCACGCCGGACAGTCATATACTGACCCTCTGATACTCCTAGTAGAGAGCATCATTTGTCAGCGAGACTCCCTCCATGTTGATCATTGTACTTACCATCACGGTAAACGACGATATTTTCCAGCAGTTGCCCTGGGTTCTTCGAGACCCAGTATTCCAACCGCTCCTCCATCATGACGTCGAGGCTCGAGACCATCTCTTTCTTGCTTTCCTGACAGCATATGTTTCCCGGCCATTGGCCGAAAGTTGCGTCGATGCTGGCGACCACTCCGGCGATACTTGGAGTGCCTTTCATGGAGCCAGGCGCTGGATGTGTTACGTCGATACCCACAAGCATTGTTTTCCCATGCCTCAAAAAGCCAAGGTCGCCAGGAGAGATGCACTGATTTGTACCCCCAAGCTTAAGATTGACCTTCAGTGCGACATTGGCAAAGTAGCTCGGATCTTGTTTCCGGAGTTTGTCCATTTGAACACAGCTACTGTGAATGCCTGCACTCTGAAGTCAGCATGGACTTGGCCGGAGAAAAGGGCAAGGCTGGAAGGCATACCATATACTTTATCGCCCCAGAACTTCACTCTTTCACGAACCCAAGGGGCAGTCGACGGTAGAACGACTAGGAGCACAGAGATCTTTCTAGCTCTGCACTTTTCAAAGGTTTCCCGGAGCTTCAAATCGACGGTATCTTTGTCCAAGATCGTATTGAATGCTGGAACAGCTGGTCCGGGAAAAACCAGTGGTGCATTGACCTTCATACCACATGACCTGAGACCAGCTGTCAAAGCTTTGCATTGTTGCTCGAATACCGTCGGGTCAATGTCGGCTGCGGCACCGATCCTGAGCATTGTCCAGTCTGCAAGAGTCGCAGGTTTCCATACTGTCTTGTCCTTCATATTCCAGGAACCACATGCAATTCTAGCCGTACTGTTCCCAGAATACATGACTCTCGGAGCTGTGAGCACTCGTCCAGGCACCGCAATCATCTTGGGGTTGACTGTCACCCCAAAAGCAGCCTACGAAAAGCTATCAGTCTGCGAAAGCCCAATCAACATCAAATGTAAAGACCAGGCAAGTTTACCAAGTTATCACACGTGCTTGGGAGCACCCCCAATAGACCGAGGCCTCCGTCTTCCGCCATAATACGTGAAGCATTTTCAGCAGGCGGACGCGCCGCAATGGTGATCATTCTGGCGAGTTGAACATCGTTCAACTGCCCACAGTACGGCTGCCCTGGCATGACTGTGCAAAGCTCAGGAGGTATCCACACGGGATGGTCCCTCGTTCCTGAACATTACATAGTTAGCACGTACATCATCGTCAATTTTCAAGACTTACCGCAATTCAAGACATAAGCGGTGGGATGGCTTAATGTCAGGCCGTACTCTGGAGAGGTGTCAGTCCTCTCTCGCTAGGTCGCAGTAGGAAACTTGCCTGTATGGAAGTACTCTTTTACACTTATCTCTGCTGGGCGTCCGAAGCGCTTGAACTTGATCTCGTTCGAATCTCCAAGGCTGATCTTCTCGCTCCCATCATCAAGTACCGTCTTGTGCGACAGACCGACAATGGTTCTCACTTTCGAACTCGGAGCCCCGTCCGGCGCTTTCATGTATGACGTTTCGACCCGCAATTTCCCTAGGAAACGTTCCAAAGCTCGCCAATCACCAGGAATCAACTTTTGAAAAAGTTGAATCAGCTCGCGTACGTTGATCGATATGTAGAAGGGGCTGCACTGAGCATTGAGATTGAGGAGAGTTCTTGAAGTAGAGAACCGAATACTGGAATAATACCCGCGGACGGCGATCAAGCCGCCCAGAAGGTCGTAGTTGTTGACTGTATCTTGGTCGGTAGGAAAGCGAAAGAACTTGTTTTGGCCCCCCTGGTTAACGCCGGGATCTTTGTTCGGGTGGCTTGCCATGATAACATTCAACGTTTGCACAGGCTTCATGTCTACTGGACCTGGGTCGGCGGAGTCGATAGAGTCAGCAGGGCCGGACATCATGTAGTGCGATAAATCATCCGAGGATATACTTCCGGCAAGCGATATTGTGAGCTTGAAAGGTCTGTCCTTGGCATACACGCGACCCTTTGGGAACTCTGTATCGTAGTACTCTATGGCGAATGTTTTGGTCTCGCTAGACCCTAGCGCAAGCTTCGCCGATGTAACAACAAGTGACGCATAGTCGGTGGCAATCCCTTGGCCTAGATCACTCAACTCTGGGACATTCTTCAAAGCCGTCGCCATGAATTGATAGCGCTGACGTTTGTTGTGCAGGCGTTCATCAGTACCAGCCTCATATGTGAAAAACTGCTGGGCATCGGTCACAGACACCACGAGATAATTGGCTAGGACTGTAACTGGGGCACCTTTGTCTCCATATCCTGGTCGAAGAGGCAAATCGGAATCATTCACGGATATTTGGGCACGAATAGCTTCCTGATATCCCTTTAGATTGGCGTTCTCTTTACGAGTAATCTTATCATCGACAACGGCGGCTTGTCCAGGCTGTCTATGGAATAACAATCATCAGCAAAGTAATAAAAAGTGATAGCAGAGATGACGCATTGGAAGATATTTTGACCATTTGAGGTATGGCGGTCTGTTCCGAGGCCTCTCAGATCCATCCTTGGTAGTCAACTGCCTCTATCAAGGTGGTTAGTCACTAACATTAATGATGACAAGAGCAGACGACAGACTCACTGCGAGGAACAATCGATAACGTAGTGCAAGATAGGGTGAGGGTGGAGGTGGAATGGCAAAAAGTGAGGTTGCAGAAGAGGGCTTGCGTAACCTTAATACAAGCGAGCAAGGAGTATGTTGACTCATTAACGCAAGGATAGATCTCGCGGGTATTAAATTCACGCCAGAGCTGTCAATTAGTTTGCTCTTTGCTCATATGTGAGGGAAAAGTAAAATTGATTGTTCGATTGTGATGTGATTTTGACGAGGTGATGTTCTGCCTAAGAGACTTTAGGTATCTTTGGTGTCCAAGTGAGTCAGGAGCTATGACTAGTCCGCTAGCCGAGTTGCCGAGCTGAATTCTCAATGAGAATTCTTGGGAGCTCTTAGAGGGACAATAGCTGCAAAACAAACAGGAATGTAAGAACGAGGATGCAAGAAGCAACAAATATGCAAGACGAACGAGGATGATAGTGTGAGGAAAGTGTGATGAGATGAATTAAGGAACGATGGAAAGAAGATGAGGACAAGAGATGTAAAGAAGATAACGACTTTTCAAGTGTGAATAAAGGGATCAGATCAGATGCTGAAGTCTTGGCGACGGTTCTCTAAGACAACAACTCACGCAGTTGTCACACAAACAAAATGGGAATCACTGACATGCAGACGGGGCTTGATGTCATACTAGTCAAGGCATTGCTGGCATATAATCAAAAATGTCAAGAGGAACTGCACGCTCTAGCAAGTCAGCAGATGTGACCAGAGATCATAATCTAAAGACGGCGGCTTCGCTTGCTTGCTGGCTCAACAGACGCACATGCTGACAAAAAGCTTGTAGCAAAGCCTTTGACCCTACATTTACTGTTTGAATCAATACCAGCAGAATGGTCTCTCTGACGGCTCGAATAGCGGTGAGTAAATCCAATCCATGGGGGCTGGCCTGGAGAAGACAAGTCCTACCATCCTCACCTGTCTAGCTCACCTAGGGCTAGATATTGACTGCATTCTCATGCCAGCTGTATACATAGGTCTACTTACCGTAGATGTAGTGGTCGAGGTTGTGGATACCAGACGCGCTCAACGCGCTCTCCCAATCGCAGCCGAGTCATTCTCAACGTTGCGCCTGCAGTGCGTACATCTCAGCACTAACAATAAAATCACCTCCCCAACCACCAGCAACCCAACCTTTGCCCATCTGCCCTTGACACCAGCAGCCATCATGGCAAAGAAAGGTATCGTCTACATCCCCTCTCCCTCTACTCCCTACTCCCACTCCTCCCCTTACGCCCACACACAACAGCTAACGACCTGCTCCTCCACAGCCAAATCCCGCACCATAGCCGTCCGCCTCATCTCCATGGCCTTAACAGGCTACTATCGAACCCTCCGGCGGCCCCGCGTGCACAGGCCGCTTTCGATGCTGAAGTACGATCCTGTCGGTACGCTTGAATTTTCGCTTCCTACCATAGATGCTGAGGAGGGTCTGGGCCGAGGAGGGGGGGGGGGGAGATCGAATGGATGCAGTGGCTGACAGGTCCCGCAGTGAAAAAGCAGGTCCTTTTCCTCGAGCAGAAACGCGGTGGGAAGTGATAGAATGAGGAGTGAGGGACTGATATATACTATGGCAATGTGGGTAACGGAGAGCTGCCGGCGCGTGGGGAGGCCGTATGGTGGAGTGCTGTCGGAGGACTAGGCCGCAATGCAGGTAAAGGGAGATCAGACATGGCGTTGGACCGTGATGCAATGCAGGGGATACTACGGTATGGCATACTTGGTACGATGTTGGATCAATGACCTGATGTCCGTTGGACAGGCAAGGGTTCGAGCTAGTCTACTTGCCAGATGCTATCTGTCTAGGATCAATGCAGCTAATGTACAGCATTTGCAATTACACGCTTCCTCAAGAATAGCTCCAGGAAATGTACTGATAGAAGCTCGGGGTGTTAGTTGCAATGAGCTAGTATAACGGTGCCATCATCAACTAGCAAATGAACGATATGGATGATGCAATTTCGCCGGGGCAATATCGAAGGACTAGGTGAAAAGTAGGCCTCGCACCGGTGTTTGTCTGTGGCTTTAGGCTTGAGCGAACCGTCGGGTAAACTTATCATCTAAAACAGAATTTTCTCAGCATGATCCAGAAGCTTTGGATTGGGCCTCACCTTTCGGAGCGCTTGATTTTCTCCTTGTCATCTTTCGGCTGCGACCATTCAGAAAGGGCGACTGAGAGTCTTCGATGATTGGTCCAAGGGTCTTCGCCTGCTTAGGTCCAGCTTTTTGCACCTTACTTGGCCGAACCTGCGAATTTGTATCGTTGAAGCCGGCCGCAACAATGCTACGTTTTCCTTGTCTAGGATCTTTAACGCTGCCCTGTGGCTTGGTTGATTCTCGCGTGATGCTCACTTCTCTATGCGAGCTTGGAGTTTTGGTGTCATGACCATGAGCGGTGACTTGAGTAGGAGAGGCGGCTGTTGAAGATCTGGGCATCGCGTAATTACGCCCAGCTTTGGAATGAGTGCGCGCCTGCGGCTGCGAGTAAGACTTATCCGTGGTCCCAGAGCCGGTATGTGGTGTAGCTTCGCGGAACGATCGTTGCTGTCTTCGCTGCGTCTCAGATACTACCGTTGTATGGGATACCGAGTTCCGGGAGTAATCGTGGTCTTTGGCACGGGAACCGGCTCCAGGAGTAGATGGGAACAGGTGAGATATATCCTCACCAGCTATGGTTTGAGACCCTTCTCGAGCATAGCCGGCAAAAGGGTCATCCAGAATTAACTCGTCAAGGCTTACGAAGGCTGACTTTTCAGATGGCTGTGAGTCCTCTACTATTGGCGGTCGGTTCGCGAAATGCATAGAGGATTTGGGAGTCGCGGGCCGCACGGAAGAGCTTTGACCCATCGAGGCGTGCTGGGAGTCTCGATGCTGAGTATGTATCCTGTGAACCGGTTGCGTACCTCGAATAGAAGGGCTTTGCCCAACAATCCTAGATGAGCTAGGCCTCGTAGCCTGCGTTACTTGAAGTGCCATGATCTCCAGATCCTTGGCCTTTACTTGATCGTTCGCCTTATTCAACATGGCCTGCAAGCCCGAATATTCGTCATTCTTTTCAGAGGTGCGCACGTTGATTTCCTTCAGATGAAGCTGGAGAGCCTTCCTTGTCCCGATAACAGCCTCTTTCTCGCTCCGTGCCTCTTTCAGCAATACTTGCAACTGAGCAGTCTCCTTTTCTGATTTCTCTTTCTCCGCTTTCAGCATACTGACTTGTCTGGTTACGTTCTTCAACTTCTCTTCGGCCGGGGACTTCTCCAATCTCAGCTGCTGGATAGCGTTCATGTGCTCGCTTTGCATATTTGCAATCTGCATGTTCGCTGCCTTTGATAGCTCTTTTCTCAATTGCTCCCCCTTAGCCATAGCTTGGCTCTCGCTCGTTAACTTTTCTTCTCGCACTTTCGTTGTTTCTTTGCACGCAGTCTCGAGTTGTTCTTGGCTAGTAGCCAAAAGTTCAGTCGATTCTCTAGCATCTGTGGAACTTTGCTGAAGTTGACTGGAAAGATCTGCAGCTTCTTTCCTTAAACTGACAATTTCGCTCTGAAGAGTTCTATTTCGAGAGTCAAGCTCCTGGATGTGGAGTAAAGCTTGTGAGGCCTCTGTAGGTTGGCTGTGACCTCTGGCTGCAACGGTCTCTAAAGTCACAATCCTTCGCGACTGCTCTTGGTCTTTGAGTCGAAGAGCTATAACTTCTCGGCGAGCGTCCGCAAGTGAGCTCTCGGTTGCCTGTAACCGTTCTCGAACAGTAGCCCTCACCTCCCGAAGGTCGCTGATTTGTTCTGACAAGGCGTGTTCAGAAAAGATGTTACCGCTTAAGGCCCGAAGTTGATCCTGCACAGCCAGCGCAAGCTGCTTTTGTCCTGTCTCCATCGAGTTAGAACTTTCCTCGCAAGCTTCGACGGAACGAGCAATGCTATCTTTGTGTTAGTATGGTTATGATCGACTAGACGAAAGGCACGTACCCTTCGACAAAGCTGTCCATATTATCATTGAGCTTTCGGAGGTCTTCTGGCTTGACAGTATCCGCATTATGAAGCTTTTGCAAGATTCTGAAGCATTGCTCTAGCATTGGCCCAACCTGGCCATGAGACTCTGACTCTGAATCTTTGTTGGGTGGGACGATAGACTGGGCCTGGTGCAACAGATCGTCGATTTTGCTGGTGATAGTATCGCGATGGCTGGTGAAGATTTCCAATAATCGCCCATGACTGGCAGTGATCTTGGAAATCTGGTCTTCCAGTCGGGTGCTTCTCTCTCGTTCGGCCATAAGCAAACTTTTTTCGCCTCGAAGCTGGGTACTTTGATGTTGTACAGTCTGGGCAAGATTCTCGATTCTATGACGGGCCTCGTCCCCAAGTTGTTGGGATCTGATGCGCTCCTGCTCTGCTGACTTCTGGGCATCCTCCAGCGTATCGTGTAGTTCCTTTCTGGCGAAGAAGACATCCTCATGCTTTTTGTGCAAGTCATCCGCATCCTCTCGAAGCCGCTTGTGATCATTTGTGAGGCCTTTGACATAGTCATTCAGCCGCTTAATCTTGCTTTCCCAGATCGGCTTGTTGGCCTTAAGTCTTGACAATTCGGCAGTCTTCCGAGTCTCACGTTGTACGACCTCCTGTAACTGACCAGAGAGATTAGTGCTCATGTCTCGTAATTCTTGGATTTCAGCCCAATTCTGGTGTTGTGTAGCCCTGAAATCTTCGAGCTCTTGCTGCCCTTGCCTTCGACGATACATGAGTAGCTTTAGAAGATCATCCTCTGTATAAGTTTTCTTGGGCGGCGGAGGACCAACCGTAGCTGGGCCTGTCGTGGTCTTTCTCCGGCGGGATTTGGTGACCTTGGGAGTACCAGCCACTGAGGTCAAAGGATCCTTAGTGGTCTTGGCTGAACGGTTGTGCATGTTCAATGGTGGTTGATGAACGACCTTCACGGTTTCGGCGGGACTGTGATCGGAAGCGAGGGCTATTGTAGTGGGTGTTGCGTTTGGAAAAGGCACTGGAAAAGGATCCTGGAGCACTGGTATATTGTTGGTTCCGGCTAGATTATGACCGGACGCGAGAGCTGTGGTAGCGGGCATTGCGTTTGGAAAAGGCACTGAAAAGAGATCTTGGAGCACTGAAGTATGATCATGCGTAGATGAGAGGCCTCGGTGAGCTTCGACATTGACAGCATTTTGAGCAGCTTGAGTGGTGTCTGGTAGGGGTGGCGACTGATGGGAGCGTGTCTCAGTGAGGATAACGGGGGTTTGCTTCGGTCTTCGGAAGTCGAGTTGTTGAATTGGCTTGGCTTTGGTGAAGGAGAAGCCAGCAGCGGGGTCTTTACCTGAGGAGGCTGGTCGAGTGAGCACCTTTATCGGTGCTTGCTGAGAGGCTTGTTGGGAGGCTTGTGGAGAAGATTGACCTGAGCCTCCTGAAACGATGCCCTCGAGAATAGCTTCATCGGTTTCAGCCTGAAGCCTACTGTTGACATGGCCTTGAGGGCCTATATAAGGGCCTGAAAGGTCAGCTATACAGCGACCGATGCTATTGAGACGAGGTACTTGCCATGTTCAGTGCTTGAGATAAGCTGTGTGGGCCAGTCATGATCGGTAGCTTGCCTCCATTCCTCGTCGTAAGCGTGGTTAGCGTCTAGAGTTCGGGATGGAGGGTCATGGGAGGCAGCCATGCTTGCGACGTACTCCCAAACCCTGAGGCGCAATGGTTAAGACTGTCGAAAATGCAGCAAACCGAGAGTATGGAGATGATATCAGGAGACAAGACCCACATTCATCTGAGGAGCTTAGGAATCTCCGCCAAGCTTTGCCCAGCCTCGCCAAGCCAAGATACGTAGGAGATGGGCCTTTCGTATGAGCTTGGTGCGGGGGGTTGCATGTCACGCGGCCGGTAGAGATATGTGCAAAGAAGAGATTCACCTCACATATTTCAAAAGCAAATACGGCTGAGCCCTGTAGAGATCTCCTGACATAGCTTCGTTCGTATTCAAGAGCAGATGTATGAACCATAAGAAGAGCGCATATACTTCCCAACAGCTGAGACCGCGGACATCAAGCGCTTCCAAGACTCCATCGTTCCAGCGTCGTTACAACGCCAACTCTCGTACAAGCATTTCCATGATGCCAGACCACGTTCCCATGTCTCATCACTGAGCATCGGATACAGGATCTTGCTCTAGGCTGTCTTCTTCCATGTACTCCACACCCCAATCAAGCTGCTCACTGTCCCAGCCAACCCAACGATGCCATCATCAAGATTCGCATAGCCAAGTGCCGCGCTGGGAACGGTAAGATCGCAAAGATCCGAGATGAGCTGGAGGTTTGTGGTGTTGCGCTCCCTGTTGTCGTCGTCAGCCGTCTACCCATAATCCTCAAGGGCACTGGTTGGAGGCTGACTTCATGATCTTCTTACTCTCCACGACACCCTCCCCCTCATTCTTATCGATGCTCTGCTCCCTTTGCCGTAGCTGCCACAAAGTGTAAAGCCCAGCAATGGCATTAAACGACAGCCCAGCAAACCACGCCCTGTAAGCCTCCTGCTGTAATCTCTTCGCGCTCGCCAAAGGCCGGATCCCAGCAGCGTCAAGCTATCGACAGTCATCAGCTCCTGCTTCATCCTATCCCCTCCCACAAAGATGCAAGGTAGGCACTCACATATGTAACAGCATCCAAGCTTAAGTACATCGCGTACCCCAACTGCCTCCCCACGGCACAGTACTTCAGCACTGGATCCATGTTCTTGCTATCGGCCGCCACGGCCGCGGCTTTGAAATGCTCCACATTCTTGCCCAGACGTAGCGCTTTCCGTGTGAGACCGAATTGCTTTTTGATGGCTTCGTAGGGCGCGATAAGCCGGGCAGGGTTGTTGGTGCGGAAGAGATACCATGCGTAGAAGCGGGAAAAGTATTGAAGGGTACGGAGGAGCTTATCACGGCCAACTGTAGAGAGGAGGGTGTTAGCATTGGGCCGACGGCTGAGGTTCAACGCTCCTGAGTAGAAGAATCCGAGACCCACCTGTTGTCGCGACAAAGCGCAGGTAGTGTGCTACCGTGGGGTGGTATACAACCGCGTCTGCTACCATCTTGGAGGATCAAATCGGTGCTTTCATGGGGCAGAGGAGAATCTGTTGTGTGTTTTCGCTGAAGTTCATCGACGGGCAAGGCCATTATGACGGTAGCTTGTGGCCGGACGGGTGGAGACAAAGCGAAATTGGACCTCGGCTCAAATTTTGGCCCATTGCCCAGCATTTGGCATACAATTGTTGCAGCTGTATTTCTGCATTCAATGGGTATCATATTATCGCTATGGTACATCATATTTTTCTAAACACATTCCCACTGGCACTTCTCCTTCCCTTGTCCCGTCTTCTGTCTGTCCCTGTATTCTCTACCTTCTGAGCCTTCATCTTCTTTTCCGGGGCAAACGTGATCTCCCGCTCTCCTACTACCGTACTCGTGTTGGTTTTTGTGGATTTACTCCGCTCAGCTCGTGATCCAAAAGAGCGGTCTCGGCCTTGCTGAGGCTTTTTCGAGGATGTGACTCGCATCTGTGGCTGTTGAGATCGGTGACCGGATCTCTTGTAAGAGACCGAAGAGATTCGTCCACTGTCTTTGGTCTTGGGCGCCTCCTCCTCTTCACTAGAGTCGTCAGAGTCGGATCTAGGTATCTCCGCAGTCGCGTCTTCTTCCACAGCCGTCAGCTTGCGCTCGTTGTCATTGGTAGGCCCAATTGGCGCTGGTTTCGTGCTTGGGTTCAGGGACTGGAACTCTCGCGATCGCTCATCGATGGCAAAGTCTTCGTCTTGGAACAGCTTAGAGAAACGGGGATCTGCCAGTAAGCTGCCGGAGGGCTTCTCTTCCGTACTAGCCGTTGCGGTGGCATCCTCAATCTTGTCATCGTCTCCACCCTTCTCGAGTACCTTGTTCGCTTGCCTTCGTTCTTCTCGATCCGCCCGCTCCATTATCCTCTCTGCAAGTTTCTTGTTGACCTTGGCCGTGACCTTCTTGTTGCCTCTGATCCTGCTCTCCCTCTCCGTATCAATCTTGTCCTTGACTCTTTTGTTTCGCTCTTCTTCCCACACGAATGGATCTGCGATGAGCTTCGCTTCTTCGTAAAGCCGTTGCGCCACAAAGTAGCCATGCATGTAGGGGCGGAGTAGACTGGTGGTCCCTACCAAGTGGGCGAGATTTAGCGACTGGAGCTGCTGCATGGTCAGGAATTTGTAGTTGTCATAAACGTCACCAGCCTTCTGGCTGGTGTACGCGTTAGGATCATTCGGGTCCTCCGCCATCTCCTCAACGAGATTGTCAAGGAACGAGCACCATTTGGGAGCTGGTCCGAGCTGCGGTATCAGGAAACTATGTTGTTGCCGTCCTTCGTTCGCAGTCAAGATCATTCCAGAATCTTTGCACCATGCTACTGAGTTGATATCCACAGCAGGCTCCACAGATGTCCAGGGCGATCCATCTCGTATATCCCAGATTTTGATGATCCTTTTGTCTGCTGAGAGTATCTTGGGTTCAGCGGTCTGTGCCCGAGTTGAGGTTGAGGATACAAGGTAGATGAGCGTTTGTATTGGGTACCCGTAGCCTTGATCTTTCTTCAGTAACGGAGCACGTGAGCGGAGATCGTAAAGATGAATTAATCCTGTGGAAGATCCCGTGGCCATCCCTAATCCAGAGCGGTCAAACTCCAACGCTGTGATCTCCTGCCTTCCATCGATCGGGTTTGCCTCTCTGGGGCTCTGCAAAATGCCAACACGACCTCTTGAGCGAGGGTCCCAAAATTCCACAGTACCCAGTGATGTTCCGAAAGCCAGCAACCCATGCGATTCCCCTGCGATTGCAGCAGTGTTGACGCTTCCCGTGCCAATTCCACCCTGCAGGGCACCACCACCGCTGGATGTGAAGTCGTCACCACCAACCTCGACTTCATATCCTCGCATATACCTTCCCGCTTCCAGATTCAACCTGAAAACTTCCCCATTGCCATTTTCATTGACCCCGACAGCGGGTATCAGTGCTTCCGCAGATCGCTTATCAAACTTGAGATCTCTCCCATATCGTGGCAGCCTGGTGGTATGATGGCATCCAAGTGGGGTGTGAAATTCGAGGGAACGATCTGCCTGCAAGTGTAGAGATTTGGAGTAGTCTGTGGATAGTAGGAGGAAGGTGGTATTGAGAGATATCGTATGGCGAGCGAACGACAGTGACAAATGGGGTAGGTAGTGGGTATGTATCTGCGGCTTATAAGTTCCTGGCAGGCTATCAGTACTTGTTCTCTACATGTGGTACAAGCACGGTACAAAGCAAGCATACAGTATTATCGAAAGACGTACCCGTGCTCATCACCCATTGTCCGTCGTCGCTGACCCTCACACACTGACTGGATTCGTCGAATTCGAAGTCCTGGAGTAGCTCGATGCGACTGGCATACTCGGGATCATTTTTGAGACTCCTTTTTCGTTTTCTGGCCAGCCATTCGGGAAGAGGTCTCGCGGTGGAAGAGCCTGAGATGGTATAAACTGGAACAGCAGAGTGGTTGCTGATTTTCATTGCGGCGGATGCTTCAAAAGATTACCTAGAGCGCACAGAACGTGTACAGTAATATCAAAATTGTTCAGAATCTTTCAATGCAGCATCATGCATGGCAGCGGCTGCACCCGGCGCTACTTTAATTTTCGAGGCTTTTCCGAACCGAAGATCTGCGCAGGGTCGCGGGAGTGGGAGTGGGTCCTCCATTCTTGGAGTCGGAGATCAACATTGCTCGAATGCACGCCATCCTCCCCACCAATCAATCGCATTGTGCAAAGAAAACCTACCTTTCGTAGTCTTCAGAATGTGCCTCATCTGTCCAAGGCGAAGCACTTCTACAACACACAGCTATTCTATGAATTGCTACAAGTCGCAGCGCCGATTGGCACATGAAAGGGGGCATGGACTTCCCTAATGACATAACCACCAACGTCTTCAGGGTTGTGAGTATTCCATAATTCTCTGACACTGCTTTCAACTGCTGACGTTTGTTTAGGGGGACATTAAGGAGATACATTGGGCCGTCTACACCAGGAGGCCCAAGGATGGGTCAGATTTGCAGAATAGTCCATCTAACGAGGATGAAGATGATTTAGCACACCTTCTACAATTAAGGGCATGCACACTGCGCGAGAATGGACGTCACGTTACTCTCGACAAGGATAAAGCTGGCTTGTGGGTCTTCAGCCTGTCCCAAGCTCTAGACGAAGGCACCGCTCAGAGTTTAGGTCTCGATGGCCTCAAATGTAAATCATCTGTGTCTCTATACGAGAAGCGTCCGCTGATTCAATTGAGAAGGTACATCCGCCGGATCCGTGCATTCAGGAGACTTGGTCGCTGCTTCAAGCTCTAACGCGTCAGCTCTACCTTCGATCAAACCAGCGCGCTCCACCCAGTCAGCCGCTGCAGCCATTGGAGAGCTGAACACACAAGCTTTCGGCTCGAACGCTGGTTCAAATACCCAACGGTCGATCAATGAGCCGGGTCATAAGAGAAGGGAAGCATGGGTTTCTAGTCAGGAGCATTCTATCCTCGAAGTCTACTCAAAGTTTATCTCTGCGGTATCTTATTCTCTATCGCGTTCTTTGGGAAATGGAAAAGGATGGATACAAGTCGGGCCCGACGCTTGTATAGACATGCGGACGCTGGAAGATGATCTCTTCGACTGTTCAGAGCTACATTCATGCGTCGCCACGACAACAAAAATATGCTTTGACGTCAAGTGGCTTTCATCCGGAATTCTGTTGATCTCAGTGTTCCAAGTTCAGTTGCCAAGGCATATGAGGATGTCTACAATAATTTCAAAGGACGGAAAGTCCGCAAGCTTGGCTGTCGGAGCGCCTCTACTCCTCTCGCCCTTTGGTATCAGGTGTCAATATCTTGGAACGGAAGACCTCCCAAACAGCGACGTCCAGCGCAAGTCAACTGCGCAAGTAAAGGCTTCGATATTATCGCGTCTAGGACTTGAAGGCATAAGGGATGCGCGAGACGTAATGTGGATCCAGGTGCAGATGGGACGTGAATCAATCAGCTTCGTCGGCCCGCCGGTGTCACTGTGGCCAGCCGATCTTTGCTTATGTGGGGATGTGATGACTACACACAGCGGCGAAGATGGCGAATCTTTCAACATGTGTATCATGGATGGCTCGATTGACCCTTTGGAGGAAGCCGAGTCATGGTTTCTAGGAAAAGCCGCGCGCATGGACTTGTTGCAAGCCAGGGTGCGGGAAGAGAATCAAGGAGCCGAGGAAACGAAAGATGTCGAAGACACGGAAGACGAAGACGCTTTGTCTCCCATCGAACTCCCGATGGATCAAGGCATCACTCCACAAGATGTGAGCGGAATTTATCCCACACCACCGGATGGACTACCGTTAGCACTTCTAGGTTCATCAAATCCTAACGATCTTCAATCCGGTGACTACGATGACGAAGACAAGGAACTGCAGCCAAGCGATGGGGGGCGTGGAGACTATGACGGACAAGGAAACGACGACCTCTTCGAGGACATGGACATTGACATGTTCGCATCTAATGGGCTTACTGAAGCAGACTTCAGTTTTTTCGATGAGCCGGGTATGATGGACGAGGATTTGCGGGAGACAGGTCAAGTAATGACCCTGGACGATACCAACGAGACCACAGACGACACCATGGCATTCCATGAGCAGGGTTTGACAACGACGCCGTACGTAACACGTGACAGCGGGTCAGATCGAAATATTTCCGAAGGTCAAGAAGATGCAATCGGCGAACAAGGTATGACACCCTGTTACCAGACTGCTTGTCCCTCTAGCGCCCATGTGAGTGTTCAGGGCTTAGCTCACCCTCAACAGAAAGCGTTCGGGTGTTACCGATGACCGATAATAATCGGCCCGACAAATACTATGAACAGGCTCTAGAATCTACCGTCAATATTGGAGATATCGACTATGGAGCACTTGGGCAACTGAATCTTCGGCATGGAACAACCCATCAGAACGCCCATGGAAGCCAAAGAGGCTCTTTTGAACATGTGCCGTTTCAAGGATCTACATTCAATTTTGATGACAAGTACAATATGAAGGGCCGATTCGCCTTTGACGTGGATGAGCTACCAACACACCCCAAACGTGGAGATCGCCCCTATCGTGAAAACCATCTTTCCAAAATCAGCTTCTGTCCAGAGAAGTCGCCAACGGAGGATAGTGTGAATACAGGTGAGTTCGCACTCTCCAGTCCATGGAATTGAGCTGTTGCCAACTTTTAACGAAGCAGATGCCGAGGAGAACGACAGTCCAGCCCTGGAAGACGCTGATTTTCACGACGTAATGAATCTTTCTTTGGAATTACAAGCAGAATCATCACGAAAAAGGAAGCGAGAGCAGAATGATGACAACGACCACCCTGTGACGCCATCATCTTCAGTTCATTTAGCAAAGAGCCTGGCAGGCTCACCTCAGAATGAATTAGACCAGCCTATGTTAAGTTTATCGGAGCCAAACGCCTTTGAAGAGACCAAAGATATGGTAGATCTTGACCCTCAAAATCATATACATTCAACCCCATCCTTCACAGGTCAAGGGCAGGCCTTCGTTGGAGTGGCTCAACTGATCGCACACCAAGCAGTATCTGGAATCCTTCAATCCCAGACCGATTGTTTTGGAGAAACAAATCTAGTGGGAGAAAGTGGACCAGACCGATCGCTTCAGAATACCATGACACATTTGTTATCAACATTCTTCCCGGCCAACAAGCGTTGCAGCCTCAAGGAGTACGTCAGTCTTGGCGAGAAGAACTCGGCTAGTGTCTCGAAGGAGCAAGTGATATTGAATCAAAGGAGCCTTAAGCCCACCCACATGGCCGGAGGACTCACCGCCACGGGACAACCTATCTTCAAGCTCGACAGTCCTTACACCCGCGTTCGACGCAACGGTGTGTCAATCGAAATCTCGGCCTCCGCACTCTCATTTTGGGAGGAACTTAGCTTAGGACCGTCTCATGAGACCAAAGACATCGATGTCTTTTGCGTGTGTCCAACAAATAAGTACATTGCAGAAGGGATTATGGCTTTCCTCAACATGATCAAAGGCACCTATCAAAGCTGTAACCTGGGCTCACATGACCTCGGCGCGTCTCTTGCTGACAACAGCAAGCGTGTTCTCACCGTGCCCATGGACGCGAGGAAACCGGACAATTTTCTTCAAAACATCGCTGTCACTTGCGAGGGGCTTGGTGCCAAACTCCCGGAGCTCGGGCTTCAAAGCGGCACAACTGTCATCTACATCATCAACCCTTTCAACGATCAGCAATATCTTCCTGGACTTTGTGACGCCTTGTTACGAGTGCCCAGCGCTTACAGTGCGGCGCTAGAGAAACGGCGGCTCGAAAGGCACAATAACTTGGTAATGCAAATAGTCCCGCTTGACCTAGTATGGAGTCAGGAACGTATGGTCGTACCATCTCCCGCAGTTTACAGAAAGCTTGCGTTCGAAGTATACAACAACTGTGGGTCATCTGAAAGCGACCACAACCGAGAATCGTACTTCATGGGTACACCAGCAATCCGTCTGGCAAAAGCTGTGCCTAAAACAATCGACTTCAAGCTGGGTTCGGAAAGCTCGGCTCTGTTCCTGCAATCAGATAATTGTGTGCACGTGTCTTATACTTGGGATGCCTCCAACGAGTGGCTAGCAGCATGGTGGACAGACAATCTGGGGGTTCTCTCATGGCGTGCCTGCTACTGTCTTGGGAAGAACGAGGAGACACCGTGGAAGCCGTTCTATGAGTCTTTCAAAGAGATCTTGGAGACTTCTTTTGAGATGCTACATCCTCCGAATGCCCCCTGGCGACTCTTCATATGCAAAGATAGCCCAATTGCCAAGATGGAGATTGAGGGTAGATACTCAAACCTCCTTCTCCACCTCTGTGTCGCAGAACTGACGTATTTAATAGTCTGGTTACAGGCACTCGCCGATTCCAGCAGGCCGTCGACCTCCTGCACAATCCTCACTGTCGATGCGCAACCCCTCTTGGCTTTCCCCTCCTCAGACCTCCAGATGAGCTCTCCCGATGTGGGTTCTGGCCCCTTAGCGACACCTGGAGCTACGCCTCATACAAATGCCCCTTCGCCGGACATCTCAGGTCTTGGCTCGACACCGGCAGGAAATCCCGCGCAAGTCGGGACACCGCCAGCCAACGCCGCTTTCGGTGACCACGACTCAGAAGCCAGACTGATTGATGTCACCGACGAGACTTGGGGCGTTGTAATGGATGACACCCTCGATGACTTAAACACTCTTACTTACCAATCTGCATCTATGGCGAGCGGATATCTGGTCAAAAGAGCTGGACCGAGAGATGAGGATGGACTGATACCGCTGGGCGTGAATCTTGTTCATGGGCAGAAGCCGTACAAGGCGGTGCTGAAAGAGGTGCTGGGAATGTACAGGAATCTGGGTACTCTGGCGAGGGTGAGAGGCGTTGTGGATCCGGTGAAGAGTGTGTTGCCGTTGCATGTTGCTGCTGCGAGGAAGGCATGGAAGGCACTTAGTGAGACGATGCGGTATAAGCCTGAGTGAGCAATGATGACTGGAACACTCGGTCAACGAATGGATAACGGGTTGTGAATAACTGGTGCACGCCGTCAATAAGATACATGGGAACGCGCTTCCTCCTATGCCCTTTATCTCCTCTGTGAAATGCACCGCTATGAGTCTCTAAAATCTTCTGCGATCCACTGCGCTGGGTCCAGACCACACCCTGACCACCGTTGGGTCCACCTCATGAAATTTATGGAGTAGGCACCGAGCTCCCCTGGTACATCCTGGCTGATCGTGGCAGATGTGTCCGAAGACGCAGTCCGGTTGACGGCATCGTGAGCCACGTCCACAAGGCAGGTTCTTCACGTTGTTTCCGAGGACCACAATCTCCTCGGGGTTCAGTTTGGGTCCGTGGCGGAACTTGCAGGCCTGTCTAAAGCCCGGATTGAGGGAGACGCAATTGCCCATCAAATGGTAGAAGTGACAGAACCGCCTGGCTTCCATGCGATCTTTCATGCTCTCTGACGTGTCGTAGTCTTCTTCTAAAAGGGGAGGGTCGACGCGCTCGTCGTTGATGTTCAAGAGGACCGTCTGGTTGGAACCCCAGGTTGATTGAGGCTTCGCCGGTCGCGGGAACCGAGTTGGTAGAGGAATGGAGGCGTTGGAAGCGGCTTGCCATTTGGCGAGGGCTTCGTCTTCCCCTGTAATTTCATTCGCGCTGGTCTTCTCGCCCTCTCTCGTGATACCGCCGGAGCCAGACTGTGGTGGGAAATCTTGCATGATATCGAGTTCCTCGGCTAGTCTATCCGTTTCTTTGAAGGGTGTGGACCGGAATACGTGTGGGAATTCCACTGCGCTGAAGGGTAGACCCCCGAAGTATATGTCGTCTTCGTATGACTTCAGCAGAGTGATACTGAAGGCGGTGATAGGGTTGAAGGCATAAGGTTCCAGTGTGACTGCGTAAGCCCTGTTGTGACAGCACCCGAAGATCAAGTGTTTGCATTGAACATTGTTGACGAAGAGGTGGAACATTCCTGCTTCACAGTAAGTGTCTGCTTTCGGATAGTACAAACCAGGGAGAATCAGACGTACCTTCTACCTTCCGCGCTACCTTCCCTGGGTCGTTTCCCACGTCTACAATAGTAAAGAGCGGCCGTGCTTGTGTAAATCCAAGCATAAAGCCTCGTACGTCGCCATTGAGCAGAGGGATGTCGGCACTGACGCAGCGAGCCAATATGCCTTCTATGTCGATGTAGAAGTGTACCATAATCTCCCAATACTTGGCATCCCCAAACTGTTGGAGGTAGTTCGAGACTTCGGTCCACAATCGGTCTGCAGCCTCGGCCCCTCCTATCTTCCCGGATTGGAGGAGATCTTCGTGAATCTGTAGCAACGAGTAAGTAAGTGTATTCAGGCTGTGACAAATAGTGGATATGCTGACTTTGTAACCTTTTCCGTCAATGAGAACGCAGACGTAAGGATTGGTGTCCTAAGAAGACTGACGTTAGGAAAGCTCACAGATGCTGCTCTAATAGAGAGACTTACTAAGGCTTTGCGAATCTCAAACAAGCTCCGCTCAGCTGCTTCCGCCCTTGGGTTACCGCCCGGAACACTCTCTTTCAATGTCCTCTTCAAGTCCAGATTTTCCTGATGGAGTTTCTGTTCGGCAGGATTAACAGGCTTCAAGGCGAGAGAGGAAGTTTGCTGCTGGAAGAAGGCTTACAGTGAGAAGCTCATCTCTTTCCATGTCTTGGCGATGAATTCGGCGTAGGTGTTGAGCAAAGGCATCCAACTCATCTCGTCCATCATGGCTTGGAGCAAGAGATGGCTCAAGATTCGGATAGGGCACTCTGCTGTTGGTGCGGTGCGTCGCGAAGGCATCGTAGTCTTCGTTGTGAAAGGAGGGATCGAGATCGTCTGTGTCGTTCTCAAGAAGCGACTTATCGTTGTAGCTTGCCCCAGTGGTCAGATCCTGATGGTAAGATTCGTAACGGGAAGCTTCATCGCGTCTATGCTCGTCTTCATCATCATCATCGACATCAGCATTGTAATCTGCTTCGTCCTCAACACCTGAGGTAGTGCCTTGTGGGATGCCAGAAGCTTTGTTGTCGAAGAATGGGTCATCGTTGCCCGAAACAGCTGTAGCAGTGGCCGCAGTGCGATCGGGCCTCGCATGCTCCGAGACCGCAGGGCTGCCATTGATGAAATGATACTTGTAACCCTCTTCCGTCGGTGACTCGAGACTCTGGTCTGCGAAATTATCCAACAAATCATCCATCGCGAAAGACGGTGGAATGATGGGATCTTTATGGGGTTAGAAACCTGGAAAGGAGGGTGGAAGAGGGAGCAAAAAGGGAAGGAGCGAAGATGGTTACCGATGTCGCGGATGAGATCGAGCTGAATCTTGATGAATCGATTGACAATTATGGTGAAGAGAAGCGAGCAAGCAACGAATGAGAGCCAAGTTCAACGCCAATTTGACGGAAGACCTGGCATTTCACTACTGTTTTCCCCTGGTATTAGGATGTCGGAGTTTGATGGGTGAGGATCTACGCTGTGCAGTAAATGGGAAGACGTGAAAGAAGTTGGGGGAAACAGATTATCACGAAGGCCGAGCGAATGTCGAATTCAATCGAGGACGGATCATGTAATTATTAGTTCCTTTTCCTTGAGACTCGGAGAATTGAAGTTTTATTCCCTTGTCAAAGTGCCGTATCTCAATGCAAGGCGCCTATGCTTGCCGCTTGCTCGCCAAGACATGGGCACGGATTTGAAGCCTCATAGGAGAGACCCCTCGATTCATCTAGCACCAATCCATTGCAGGGTAGCATGAGACAAACTCCTCCAGCCAAGCTCTTATACTTCTTCTGAGACTTTTGGAAGCTATTACTCGCGCCAGGCGATAGAAACAAGTGTCAAGATATCAGGTCAAGTACAGTGAGTAATGTGTAGATTGCATGAATTATTCCATCTCAGGACTCCCCTGGGCCAGTATTTGTACCCCTCACAAATTAGGTGGTTGTTCCAACAGGTGGCTGGGAGGAGGCTGGGAACCTTATTTTTACAACAAGATCCTCACATCCGAGAGACGCTCTGGATATCGCGTACATGGCAGACCCTCAAGGAAGGTCCGCCAATCATGGTTCGAGGGCCCTGCGACTGAGGAAGGTGATTCTGCTTCTAGATGGCTGTGCAAGGTCAAGTGCAGATGCTGTAGTTGTATTCATAGACATTTGGGAGAGATGCAGTGATATCTCGTCTGACCTCGCTCGGATCCAGCCCGGTATTTGGCTCTCCAATCCTGAGATTTACCTACTACAGAACTTGTACTACTGGGAGTCGATGATTGCAGGACTGCTATGATTGGATGTATTACGTTCTGAGTGAAGGCTGGAACTCTGCTTCTGTGGCGCGTGTTGAAATACCGTTCCCAACTGCTTCCTTGCTTGCTTGGTTTTCAAATGGGACCGAGCCAGATGCCACACCGACTTTTGATTCAATCATCATCACTATCCGAGGGTTGCACACCCTCTCCTCCATCTTCAGGCTCGTGAGCCTCAAACACCCTGCGTGCAACCTCATTTTCCTCGATTCCTGTGAGCTTCTCCTCCTCCGCGAATGTCTCCCCTCCTTCACCCCCAAGTAGCTTTGCCTCCTCCGCAGGATCCAGATCCCCGGCATTCTTCGCCAAGGTCAACAACATAGATTCGCGCATATACCGGCCCATGGTAGCGAATGGTTTACCGGTCGGTAATTCAGCAGAAAACTTCTCCCAACCTGGCTGACGATCCCTTTTGTTGCGGAGAAGAGTCACAACAAAATGGTAGTACAGGAACCTGGACGCTGGCCGATTATCATTTTTGAATGAGACCTCCTTGCCGTTGAGGTCCTTCAGAGACACTCGGCCCATATCAGTGTGCGTTGCTGCGAGATTTGTGATCTGGATCTTCCACCGTAGGATTGGTGTTTCGCTGGCGTCGACTGGTATGAGAACGAAGTTACCATTGTCGAAGGCTTGCTCAACGGTATGGTGTATGAGCAGACAATTATCCGACGTATCTAGCCTTGATCCAGAACCGCTTCCAAAGATGTAATCAACCAGTTCCGGGCCAAGTGCGTGAGGCGCAATCTGAGCAGCGCGAACGTTCGTCTGGTCGAAGTAATCCTGTGAGATGCAGCACCAGATTTTCCCCATGACTGGCGCGCCTTTCTTTGCTTCATAGACTGTCATCGCAGTCTCCTTCATATGGCTCTGCACTTGGCTGGACCTCCTGCGAGACTCGTTTGGATCCTTGTACAGCGCCAGAAGTGTGTAGATAAATGCGCCTTTAGAATCCGGGCCGAGTCTCAGGACTCTACCTTCTTTCTCTTCCTGCTTTCTCAGCTCTTGATTCTCGACCCATAGATCGCTTCCCAAGCTCACGATCCTCTTATTGGTCTCTCGGTGCTCTTTGCGATAATTGTTATCGTTCGTCTGACTCTGCTTGTGTTCATGATCTAGCCAGGACTTATGCACTCTCTGCTCCTCGACCTGAATTTGTAAATCCTCGATTCTCAGCTTCCTGTAACGAATTGGCTGCTCTTCGAAAGATACTTTGGAGAGCTTGCGTTTCATTTCAGCGCGACTTTCTTTGAGCTGAAGTCGCTGGCTCTCTAAAGCTGGTTTCGATGAGGTATGGAAGGGAATTGATAGAGAAAAGCTTGCCATAACTGCTGAATTGGATATTGGTGGGAGGCGTAGTGAGGGGAATAATGAGTACAGCGGAGACTTTTGACTCTGTATTTGAGATGTATTGACGTGTTTTCCGGTATGCGAGTGAGCTTCCGAATTATTTGAGTGGTAATGTCTTCTTCTGTGTGTTTCGTGGTAGAAGAGTGTGATGAGATGTGAGGTTGCTAAAATAATGGAATATTCGAATTTGGCGAGTGATTAATGCTCGAAATATAGCGGAGGGATTAAGTCTTTTTCAACCGCTTGACACTACGAGAATGATCGAGAGCGCCAAGGATTCACTACCGGTATATATTCTCATGGGAAGGTATCTTTTTGGATATTGTACTAAATACTTCAAAATCGTTTCGAGCGCAATCACAGAGCTTGAAAACAATTCCACCGTCATTGATGCATCCAGTTGGAAAAGACATCGATATGTTGATACTCTACTGTCCACCGATTACCATTCCAGACTGACGGGGAGCGCGACGGCGGCGAGGAAAGAAGGAAATAGAGGGGGAAATACTGGGGATGAAGGAGCGGGGGTTGACCGGTGATGGCAAAGTACTTAAGGGTTTCAGCATTGCAAATCGCAGCCTGCTGAGGTTTGTAGTCGAACTGCGCCAGCAGCACTCAAGGAACATAAGGATACAATGCATAGCTTGAGGCAGTGTCTGTTGGCAAAATGTCCAAAGGAGGAGGTTTGATCTCGGGAGTACTAGTATGGTCACCTGTTCACTCAGAGACGCGGCTGCGTCAATGGCGCTTGCCGGTAAGATTAGTGCCGGTAAACATTCCCGTGATACGTGAATTCCTTCACACTTTCATATGCAGGTTTCACCCACAATGCTATCATGGATTCAAGCTGCAAAGGGTGTCAAGGAAGTCGTTCGTTGAGCTAAAAGCATCAAAGGATCTAGGTAAATTCACCATCTTCCAGTGCTTTTGTGTACGATTGCTTGACGCAAGAACCAGTGTCTCAATTCTATCTTATCTCATCTCAAGGATCAACACAGACTGCATCCCGGAACCCTCAATTGTACCGGAGGGCCGAAGCCCATGATGGCAACCACAAAGACAAAGCAAACCGGGACACCCGAAGACAGCGTGACCAGGCGCAATATCAATCACCTACCATCAGAGCTCCTTCATATGATTTGTGTCTACCTCGAACCCAGAGACATTGCAACGATACGCGTTTTGGATAGAATTATCGCGGAAGTGGGCTTGCAATACCTCGTCTCCCAAATCCACCTCATACCCAAGCCCGACAGCTTCGACAGATTGTTGGCCGTAGCTGAGCATCCGCTTGCTAGCCGTTATGTCAATTCACTATTCTACGAAGCCGACCTCCTAAGGTCATTTCGCCACCCTCAGGAAGACAGGGAGCTCTGGGAAAAGAGCCTCGTTGGACCGAGTCACGCTAGCCCGCTGGAAGAAGTCCAGGATCCGCATTTCGCGTCAGCTTGCGGTCATCTGCCGAAAAGGTACAACCGAGGAACCTCGGCTGTTGTCTTGAGTCATCAACAACATTACACGAAGCGAGAGTTACAACGAGCATACCAGACATATCGAAGCTATCGTGCTGAACAACATCGCCTGAATGAGTCAGCCGCTTACGAAGAAGCCATGGTGAGGGCAATGAAGCGGCTTCCACACCTGACGTCGATTTTGATCTCATGCGAGCGAGGCAACACCAATCACTTTCGCGCAGCTTTCGAAGCCGGACTATGCGAAGACGTGACATCGGACCCCCGCATGGCTGACCAAATCTGTGCATCACAATTGAGCCTTCTCCTTTCGGCCGCCGACAAAGCCGGTTTACAGATCAAGAAACTTGTCTGCGGCTCGTTGGGTCAAATCTTCTTGAGTTGTTCGCTTGAGCGCCTCGACGCCATGCAACGAAGCATTCAATCTCTTCATAATCTACATCTTTTCTTCTCTCATATCCCCGTGGGGTTCGATTCGAACGCCGCGTCCAATCCGCACGGCAGCAGCTCAGCTAGGGCAGATAATATGCAATTCGCGATGTCTGCGCCCAATCTCGAAACCCTTTCCATTCGCTTCGATAAAGACCGCGCCCTCGATCCCCCTGATCTCAAACATCTCGTTTCAGACTTCCATTGGTCGTACTTGGCATCTGCAACTTTCGCCAAGATGAGCACCGGCTCTGAAATCCTAGTTGGCTTCTGTGACCGACATGCCGGTACACTCAAAGACCTTAGCTTGACAGATATCAGCTTATACAGCGGTCGGTGGGCCACGACGTTTTATGAGATGCGTCAAAGGCTGAAGCTCGACAAAATGGCTCTTGCGGGGATTATTCAAAGCGTTGAGGGGGACTATTGGAACTTCGAGATCGGAGACCACACAACTAAGCTGATGATTGAACGCTACATTGCCTATTCTGACGAATCACAAAGAGATCTATCTCTTGGACGGTTCATCATGGATTTTAGACAAGCTCTTGCAAAGCGTTGGGCGCCACATCGGCCGAGTGGGCTGTCCGCTGTCGCTTGAATTAGACCAGGTCTGTCCTGCCTCGCGTAACGGGACTTCAACAGCAATACCGAGACACACTGGTGGGCTCACTCACACTTGATGGCGTCAGCATATCGCTGAACTTGATTCTCCCGGCGTAGCATGATTCTCTGCAGGGTGTGATTCTTGTACAAATATCAGGTGCCCATCTTTTACTGTAAGAACATTGGTTTCAGTACGAGCTCTTGACCTTCCTACGTGGCCTTTTCGCGGTCTGTATCCCAAGAAGCAGGCGCAAAGCATAGCAATCCGTCATTGAGATCGCACGAAGTAACAAATTAAATATGGCCATTTCATTGCAGGAAAGTGACTGCTGCTCTTAATATTCTAGCTTACTCCCACCGCAAGCGGTTCCGATCCCATACATTTCACTCTTTCAGTTGGAATAAGCTCTGTGTACTCTAGGTAAACACTCTCCAGGAAGCTGGAGAAGATCGAGCCTGTACAGTGGATCTTGTCTTCAAATGGCTTTGTCGACATCGAGCATTTCTCCTTGCTTCTACCTCAGACTGACCAGGCGAGTTGGAAAACCAAAAGCTTCCGGAGACTTCGACCTCATCTTTCTCCTAACCAAAGTCACCCATGGAGAAGCCACCTATGGACTCGAGCAACACGCCAATTTTTCACTCAACAGCAATACGACAAACGAGCCTTCTTTCTCAGCCGCATCAACGATGGTGGTGCTGCTCTTGCACTGCGCACTTTCTCCATTACCGTCATACCATTTAATCTTTGCCTTCTCCGTCACATTCGGCACGGCGTTCACCACGGTTCTAGTCGCAAGAAGCAACTGGCTAGTGGGCCCGCAAGCCTTAGCATGACTGATGGCGTCGCATTCGGCGTATTGGCTACAACTGTCATGTTCGGTGTTCACATCCTTATTTTCTTTCTGCAGTGTCTCAGCCGTCCAAGTACAACACCTTTGCGGCGATCAGCGCTCGGGCTATGCTGCATATGCTGGCCAGTGGGTCATGACTGGTGTCATAGGTGTTCTGGTCCAATATGCTTCCCTGCGTTAGAGGTTTGGAAGATAAGGTCCTGCCGTGGTACAGTTTCGTGCTTGCTGAGGCCTGCGTTGTGTTCCGTCCTCTGATCGTGATTGGTGTTATGCTCATCGTTCTCGTCAAGGGTCCCGCGGCCTGTGAGAACTGGCGTCATTTTTAGCGGATTCTGGAAAAGAGAAAGAAGGCAGGTAGACTGGACGTGGCCTGCAGTGCCTGATTCGAGGTTGGGGGATCTGTAGAATGGTCCAGGTCGCGCTTCAACTGTTGCGCCCTTGGATACATTTGCTCGAGGCAGGTCTTAGGAAGAATGGAAGAAACCAAGAAGGTCGAGCTTCGAGTCGAGGTCACCCTAGTACTGAATTTGTCTACAATGTATGAATGTGTATCAACTCCATCATCTTCTCCTTTAGCGAGATCGCCGAAAATGATCGCGAATGCATTGATACGCACTAGTGCAGTATTACTCAAGGTTAGCTTATTTGAGAGCGTACCGTCTTTCCGAGATCCAATACTTGTTGGAACCATCAAAGTGCCCCAGTCCAACGACTAGCATGCTCCGGTCGCGATATCAAAGGCTACAATTCAAAGCCTCAGCCCTAAGCGAACAGCAGCCACAGAGTGAAGGTGGTATACGCAGTCGATCTCTGCTCGAATGTCAAGGGTCTCATTTCTCTCGTAACGCACGGCCATATTCGCCCGTGGCTGTTCCAAAGAAGCGCATGGCGCTTGTGGCTCAACTTATCTTTTCGAGGTCTGGTGTCTTCATGCCGCAAGCCGAGAGCTCTTTGGGCTCGCTGCTAATCAGCCGTATAATATAGGTGGTCCGTCTGTAAGACTGCGGATAATCTGCCCTTCGCAGCATCGAGTGTTCGATATGGCGCTTCTATGATTTGCTTTGTACCGTATCATGGCGAAGTGGTGTGAAGACTGCCATTTTTCTTATCTAAACCTGTAGTGTCTGTGGTACCTGTATCGAGATCCCGATTCTGGATCTTCAAGTTGTGAGTCTGATACACTGCCGTTATGCTACGAGGACGTACGTATGGTGACTGATTACGGATCAGAGACATGAGTGTTGCTATCAATTACCAAGGACATAATAAATTTGAAGTGACTGAGTTGCTACTAGAATATGTAGATGTCTTGAGTAGATATGTGCCCTGTGCCAACCCGCGATTGAGCGACGCCATGGCAAAATTGTGCCAATATGTCAAAGTAGTCTGTAGCCTGATGAACTCACGATGATGAGCTTGTACGGGGTCTCCTAGCTACCCACTCCTCTCGATATGAGTATAGGAACAAAAGAAACAATACCCCCCAAGCAACAAAACCCCACAAAAATCGTTCCCGGTTCATGCTAACCAGGTCAGCTGCTAGACACCCGATTGAGAACGTTACAAACGTCCACCATCTCACTCTTTCCCCCTTGGTGCCTCTAGTACGGAGCGCTCGAACACCCCCAATCAAAATTACAGAAACGTCGCATATGCTGAACAGAATGAGACGGATAACGACGCCCCCCTCAACCTCAGTTAATGAGTAATAGCAAACGATGTACACTACGACCGTGACGGGGAGGGCAAAGCGCCAGAACTTTCTGAATCTGAGGTACGTCTGCAGAAGCCATCGTACGAGGGGACCAGCGATCAGTGGAAGGATTATGGTAGCGAATAACAGCGGCACCGACAGTATCGCAAACCATCGAAGGTCCCATAGAAGTGGAGTCGAGTCGTCTGCACTGCTGTTCGACTGGGTGCTATTTGACTGAGTACTATTTGACTGAGTGCTGTTTGTTTGACTATTATTGGATGGAATGCTGCTTGAACTAGGGATGAGGGGGGCTGACGTCTCGGTAATGTTCATGCCGAGAAATGACTGCTTGAAATCAGTCGACAGCTGTAGCGAATACATAAACTGACTCACGGTGACAAAAGCTAGCGGTATATATACGGCGGCAAGAAATGTCAGTAAAGAAGAGTTGCGTGACTGTAGGCTATTTTGAGATTCGATCTACGGTCAGATTGTCAGCGGACAAACATAGTCTAGCGGTGTCCTGTCTAACATTCCCTGCACTCACCTCTTTTTGCAGGCTATCAATGGCTGTCCCACGAATCGCAAGTTCCTTGAGAATTTCTTCGAAATCGGCTGTCCGAGCGCCCAACGTCTTAATCTCTTTGTCCAGGCTTTGTGGAGGCGGTGCTAGTGATTGGATGGTCTTGATGAAATCTTCAAGTTGCTTAGCGTCTTGCCTCATATCGAGCTCCGCTCGTTTCCTGCAATCATTCATGTGTATCAGATACTGTATTTTTTCAACACGAGGATAGGCACGGCCCTCGAATGTCTATATCTTCATCAGCATATTTGAAACTGGATGCATGATCTTCTTCGTATGTCGAGCATACCAGTCTAGTTATTTCTTTCGAGGTACATTGCAAGAAGTTGACCATGTCTGACAGTATCGTTTCAAGCACCGCCAATATCGATCGTGCCAATTCAGTAACAGACGACCAGGCTTCGGTGGCAACCTGCTGTCGGGCAATACTTTGGTGTCGATTCCGGAAATCACACAAGGAGCGAGTCTCTTTAAAGAGAAGTATCATCCTCAAGTTTTGCGGTGTTTCTGTGTTGACAATATGCAATTTAACGAAGGTGAACGGAGGAGGCTTTCGGTAAGGCTGCCAGATGTAGGTATCTAAGTCACCACTGTATCTTGGAGCTTTCGACTGCCAGTACAAAGTGAATTCGGTGGGCAGAGGGTTCGATGTACCGTCCATGGCATCTGTAGTCTGACTCGGGCTTGAGGCCGCAGAGCCACTTTGGCTGTGGGGAAGAGCGCTCTCTGAAAGCTGGCTTGACTTACTCTCAGACGGTAGTGTCACAGATCCCTCCACTTCTAAAGAGGGGTGCTCGGCTGCTTCTGCAATACCACTTAGCAGATCGGCGGAAATTTCCCAGCTTGGCTCTTGAGAAAGAAGGTATGCCAAAGCCCTACGGGGTACTCCTTTGAGTCGCTCGACGTGCGAAGGCATGAACGTAAGTAGCCGGTAAGGGGCTTCGGCGTTGGTGTGGGCATTCTCCACTGTACATGAGCTGACTCATAAGTCAATCGGGTACAACGACTGACGCATTTGATAAGAAAATACCAACCACATCACGAACATATTTTCCCATTGTACGTTTGACACCATGTGTACCCAGTCCAGCCAGTCGTCTAGTGTTTTGTCATTTGCTGAGAAGTCCCGTCTTTCAATTACTGGACGACTTTATTAGCAGAGACAACCTGGCGAAACCAGCGTTTCAAGGACTGACTTGTACTGGTCCCTGGAGGTAATCGCACAAAGAGGTCGAAGATATTATGAAGCGGAAGCTTGCTTCGACGGCTAATATGTGCGTACTCATTCAAGAAGCGAGTACCGTTTCTATGTTGCTTTGCCGCCGCAGCGAGGGCGGCATCGACCTCGCTACCCCCTTGAAAGTTGCTGGGATTCCGCCGAAGGCTAGCAGGAACCAGATTATACAAAAAGCGATGAGGAGCCTGCGTGTTGGGTTGAGAATGGTCATGAGCAGACCGCTGGGATTCCAGAGTGGGCTGACGACCAGCAAGACGGGTCTGTAATGGTTGCATCTCCATATCACAGATAGACAGTTTATGACAGGAGTTAAAAAAGCTTCGTTACGTGCGACAGTCGATGAAACTTTTCGAGAGAATTCAGTGACGGGAATAAAGTTGAGGATGATGCGATGAGAGGGTGAAAAGGGGGAAGCAGGTATAGGCAGCATGTTGCCCCACACCACCATTGTGGCGAGGCTGTAGGATCGATGATTTGCCGACCATAACAGAAACAGCATGAATACCCGCTGCAATTCGTAATGTTCATAGCCAATCATTTAGCTGATCTCGACAATACGGGCAAATTACATGTTCATACCTCTCACCAAACTTTGGGTGTGAAGTCGTAAGATACCATTCCCCTGGGATATGGAAATGTAAATTACTATTAACATGTAGATATAAATGGCAAGTGTATGTAACTAGATATTTTCTAGTAGGGTAGAGTATATTTAGGCTGGGAGGCGCTATCCTCGGTGCCTCGGTGCACAACATCCTTATCGATAGGGGTCACTCAGAGGCTATTTGGCTACCGGCTTGGCTCGAGTTTTAGGGCTACCTACCCCATCCCGCCCCGAAAGCCCGCCCCGAAGGCCAATTCCTATGCGACGTTAACGCGCCCCACAAGAAAATTATCGCGATTCTGGAGTCCCAATGGCGCCGACGTTAATGAGGGGTCTTTACTCGGATTTAGTTGAATTCTGAAAGTAGACCCTTAGATAGCAATTCTTCGCCACTATGGTAATCACAATATCATACCCCTCTAGATGGTAACTCACAATTGTCTACCCTTTTGGGGTACGGAAAAAAGTGAAATATGGGGTATTGAAATGTAAGAACTCCATACTTTGGGGTATGAAAATGTAATTTGCCCTCGACAATACAAGTGAAGTTTCTGAGTCGAATGGAATAGAATGGCGGAGACCCTCAAAGGGTACCATTATGTGTCCGGTGAAGAACCTTAGGCAGTGAACAATGTCTCACCGAATGTATGTGAGAAGACTAGTCTTGAAAGAAGTACTTCGGTGTAACAGTCTTCGCTTTACTGGATTTGGGCCACGGTGTGGCGGTTTCAGCCTCGCCCTAATCATCAGATGCGCAGTACAAAACTACCTACACCCGTCCCAAACCAAGGCAGATCATGGACACTGGGCCATTATCTCGTCTTGTCTTCAACTACACTGATCATGGACGATGTTGCTGAGTTCTTTTCCCCTGAAGCTTTGCGCCTCCTTGACGAGTCTGGCATCGACCGTGAGACAGTTTTCCAGCCAGACAAGCTCCCAGTCGATCACACGTCGTCCACTGGTCCTGCGCAATGCGAGGCGCAAACGAACCAGAATCCACTCAGTTCCCTCCAAGGTAATCCCGGATGCTCAACACTTCCTCTTGGAATTCTTACCAAACCCAAGCGCAAACGTGCAAAGTTTGACATCATGGCTCATGCGAAAGTTGCGATCGTGCGGGAGAAAGGGGCGTGCTTGAGATGCAGAGCTCTGAAAATACCGGTGGGTTTGCAACCCTCATGGTTGCCCTTCATTAATGATTTCTCCTAGTGTTCTGGATCTTGGCCTTGCAGTTCATGCACTTCTAACAAACTCTCTCGCTACGGTCGAGAGCCTAAACATCAATGGATGGACTGTGTTTCATACTCCCTAAAAGACTTTGACGTCTATGCTCGAGGTACCCTGAGTTTCCCATTCACTGTTGAACATCACTAACGGTACAGTCTTTCCGTGTAGCCAGGAGCAGTACGACAAGATCCTGCGGACCTCTGATACAATTCTCATCGGGAACACAGACCATATATTCGACCAACAAGTCCACTGGGACCTTGAAAGCATCGCCTCGGACTGTGCGGAGTGGGTCCTAGATGAAAGAGCGAAACCAGGTCATATAGCCGCGTCTGGATGTTTTCCTCCACCAAAGCGGAAATACTGCTGTCGACTTTTGTGCCCGGTAACCTCAGCAAAGCGCTTCGAGTCTTAGTTGAGACTTCGTCGATCCTCCGTAACTGGGGGACGGACACCAGCTACTTACACTACAGCTCTTCGGACCTTTGGGATATTCGATCATTCACGGCCTGGAACGTGCTCTGGATTTACAAAGACTGGCAAATGCTTCTGTAGGCGTTCTGAAGGCACTGTTCTTAGTGCTCCTTGGAACCACCATTGCTGTAGGTTACTCGACTTCAGTATCCCATTCAGACGAGGTAAGCCAGTTTATGCATCTTCAGCATCACTGTTACTGACGGCCAAAAAAGCGGCTGGAGTCACCCTGCATCACGGGGAACGCATTCAGTGAAGCTCAGAAAAATCTCCTTCGCAACCTTGCCCACCACATGATCCACATCGCAGGGCGAGCTCAAGTCTTAGACAGCCAGAGAGATAATTGCCATACCCTCGACCACGCTTACTGTCTTTGGAGCAGAAAAGCTGTGTTCGAGTGGGAAATTGTCCCAAATGATAGCCCCAGAGAGCTAGAAGAAGATTTAAGACCTTTCGCCCACTTCTGCTCAGCACACAACACTCAAGGACTCGGCTCCACGGATCTGAGTGGGGAGCCATCACCGCTACTTTCTCAAAAAACTTCGGCTCCCTCTTTGACCTCACTCTCAGAGATCGTTTCTCCCGAGAATATTTTTCGAAGACCAGTACCCCGAGTCACCAACGCCACCGAAAATTCAATGCTTGGTCGATGTTTCTCTTGCAACAACGCACTTGATGTCGAAGGCTCATTTCGACCTCGCCTTTCCCTTTATCTCGATGTTTCAACGGACGAAACTTCGGATGATCTTGGTGATTCTGCACTACAAGGCCAAACGGTTCTCGAACTTCTGGATCTTCAGGCTTCACCAGTCACTTGTTCAACATCTTATCCAGAAGATGGATGGAGTTGGTCGGACCCCCATGACCTCCTGGTAGGCAGCCAGGGCGGAGTCTCCGAACCATCGTCTGAGCCAGGTCTGGATTATTCCCCCACTACTAACTCCTTGAGTATGCCGGGGATCAAGTCTGCTCCAACTCCTTCAGCGCTGAGATCGCCGGATATGACATCATGTAGGATAGTGTCGTGTAATTCATGTCCTTGCAATGTATCTAGTATGTCTACCCTCTTCATTCCTGTACAGACTCAATTGCTTGAACAAGTATTGATCTTAGACTATTGTCACGCAGACACTTTGTCCGGGGAATTTGATTTCGCTCCATCGAAAGATCCTTCCCCCCAACATTGAACCTTACAAGGCCGCCAAAACTCCAACTTCTCCCTTGAACAGAAAGCGGAGAAGACCGCGCAATTCAGAGGACAACTTGGTCCCCGCCCGAACACGACTAGGGGGTTCTTGCATTCGATGCCATCATTGGATGAATGGCACCGATGTATCAGAGTGCTACGACACCCTTGTGTGTGATAGATGCGGAGTTCAATGGCGTTGAGGGAAGGATCACGGGTCAATCCGTTGCGAACATTCTTGAGCCGTCACGGTGCCTCTAGTACCCAGCCGTATGAACGGTCGGAAATGGGAGAGGCGGGCCAAGCTGTCCAGAACAATGTGCCTGTTGGGAGTGACAGTGTCGACTGTGCCGGGTGCCTAGAACCTCGGAGCCGTCGGCATAGAGTCGAAGGCTTCACGAAACGGATTCTTGGGAGATTGCTAGTTTAAGCAGCGGAGTGATTAGTTGGGGGGTGGGGGGGAGTGCGCTGATCTCGGCCACGATGAAGCTTTATCTAATCGTGGAAGCGTTGATTTCAAAGGCCGCGCTTTTTATCCCTCAGATAAATAGGTCTTTTGGGCCGCACCGGCAGTAAAGCAAGATCGTACAAGCTAGAAATGCAATCCCGTGCCTCCCGTAACCACCTCCATTGCCCTCACTCGACCCCATCATCCCCAACCAACCAACTCGGCGTCCAAGCCCCCAACGCCCTGATCCCACGGCTGCGCTTCCCCATCGGCTCGTCCAGCCTGACCAGAACCGTCGGCTTGCACACCATGACTCTTCCCTTGCCGTCCGTGTGTTCCCGCACCAGCGCCGGCGACACAACGAGCATCTCTTCGCCGACGCGGCCGTCGTCACCGACCTTGAGCATGCTGTCCGGTCGGACGATCTTGTGCGTCGTTATGTCGACCATGCTGCAGTTTGGGATCTCTTGGTGATAGGCTGTGCTGGTTTTGCCGGGGTCGCGCGTGAAGGGGTGGAAAGTGAGGCGGTAGTCGGTTGTTGAGAGGCGGAGCTTGGTGGCGAGGTGGATGGTCGGTTGGATGATTTGCTTGTGGAGCTCGGCTGAGTCTGCGTCGTCGTCGTTTGGAGAGGCCGAGGTGAGGGCGGAGAGGGCTGAGGATAGGGTTTGGGATGCCAGTTTTGCCTGTCGGCTCTGTTCCTCGATGAAGCTGTCCATCTTGAGTAGACCTTGGAGGGTCTCGGACCTCCAGTTCCGCAGTGTCTTTTCGTCTGTGCTTATTTCAGTGGTGTGGGTCAAATGCCAATGACAAGGAGGGTAGAAGTACCTCGACATGGCTCAAGCTGCTTGATCCCTTCCTCCATGCCCCGTAGTAGCGCAATGGTGCGTGCGTCAAGTCCGAAGAGATAGACGTCGCTACTCAGGATGAAGGTCCGCAGATAGCAGTGGACAAAATACCGCAAGAGCAATGGCTGCGAACTGGGGTATTTTTTTGCGAGCCGTAGGTGGTCAGGGGTTGCAAACATCCTCAGCATCTCAGGTAAGCCGTCCACTGTTTTGATGCTTCCGAACTTCTCTTCCAACACCGTTGAATCTTCAGTTTTGTCATCGACCCACCCCGCAATCTGCTGGTCCAGGTTTGAAAATTGCTCGGAGATCTCATTGTCAGATACTTGGCTTGTAGGCTGCAGCCGGAGTAGATCGTCTCTGCACTCTGTCAAGTTAGCGGACAAGTCCCTTATCTGTCTCTGCAACTTTCGCGCTTCTGCCTCGAGCCGCTCCTTGCCATCGTTTGCCTCTCGGGTCTGCTCGGTCAGGAACTCCATATGGGTTTCTCGTTTGTGGCGCTCATGTTGAAGGTGGGATATGTGGTTCTCGAACATCTCGAAACGTTCGTTGTACTTGTTTCTCTCACTCTTGGAAAGCTTTTCTCCACGAGCTCGATGGGCCTGGTAAGCTTCCTGCAGTAGGCCATTTTGCTCGCGGAGTTGTGTGTTCTGCTCTTGCGATTTGGCAAGATGGCGCTTGATATCCCGCAATTCGAGCGACTGGTCTCTGTTCTCCCGACTTGAAGAATGTAAGTCTCGTCGTGCGTCGTCGTAGGCTTTTTGCAGGTCGCGGTAGTCTTTTTCTAGTGGCTCTAGCTTTTCTGACTCTGTCAACTTGGCCGGCTGATAAGGCTTCGTTGTCAATAAGGCAACCTTCTGAGAGCCACATGGTCGTGATACTGAGGTTGTACTCTCGTCTGGTTCAGGATTAGAGACATAGAATCAGGTGCTGGCTAGACAAGACATCTACCGTGGGACATGTGCAGCTCATCCTCGCTATTCGATGGCGACTCAGCAACTTCTTCAGGACCGGCGTTATGGACGACCTTATACCACGTCTCCGGTTCTTTGGTTCTACTGTCGTCAAATCTAGCAGCCATCATCGACTTGTCAAGCGGTTGCAACTCCTGGGCTTGCTCCACGGCCATGGAAAACGACAAGGAGAGTGCTTCAAAACTACCAGACCAAAAGGCTACAAGGCGCCGTATGTCTCAGGCGCATGGCTGAGAGTGGTAGTTCTTGTTTGCTGTGGTGCGTCAAGTCACATGGTGCGCGATATAGAATCAGCCTGGCAGCCTTATGCATCATGCACTGCGCCCCACTTTTCTCCGGGAGCTAACAGAACACCATAAGGCTACCAATCTGAACACCCAATAATCCAATCATGAATGCTCAAGTGTTGAAGGCCATGCCTACTTGCATTGTCGCAGTAGCTTGATCCGGTAGGGGTTTCGGTCTGCTAGGGCGATTGCCGTGCTGCATTTCGGAAGCTTCTTTGTGCTTACCACCTTCCAGAATCCGCAGGCTGTTGAAACCAAGGCTTTTTGCTTTCGAAAAGGCGTCTTTGCAAGGCTCAGTCACGTTGATAGCCTCATGGTAATGGAAACCCCGCCCGTTTTAACTCAACCGACCTCTACATCTGCTCTTCTGCAGGACACCATCATCTTCTTGTGAACACATAAAGAATAATCCAAGCTCTATCACAGTACCACTCGGTTCACGGAAACGCCGACATGGAAGAAAAGACCACCTTCGAGGCTCTTGGGCAGGCCGCTTCGGGCTTGAATATCGAAGACGACGCCACGGCTGACCGCAAGATCCTCATCGCCGTGGATTTTGGCACGACCTTTTCTGGAGTTGCTTGGGCTCAGACACGACGTGTACGGGTTTTGTTTCCATTGGCAGTGACCATTTCAATGCTGACATCTGGAGTAGCCCGATGTGCAGTCTGTGATCATCCAGTGGCCTGACTCGACGAATGGCGGCCTTGAAGGGGTGAGCAGTGATAAGGTGCCAACGTCAGTCCCAATTACTTTCAGTGTCCCTACTCATTGTCGAGGGAAAACAAGCGTGAGCTGACAGAAATGCCAGTGAGCTCCGATACGAACAGGGCCAAGTGAAATGGGGCTTCCAAGTCGACGACTACGGCCTCCGCCACCAATGGTTCAAACTTGATCTCGATCCCACCCAGAGCCGCGGAATTTCAGACTTGAGTCGTCAGTTCCCGGACCAGCACGCCCTCCCACCGGGCTATAGCGCTTCAAGCGAAAAGCTCTGCACCGACTATCTCGGAGCCCTACGCGCGCATACTGAAGAGGTACTCAAATTCAAACTACCCGCTAGCATCATTAAAAGTACGCCAATCGAGTACATCATTACTGTCCCGGCAGTATGGTCAGACTCGGCCCAAGCCAAGACCCGCCTGTGTGCGGCTGCAGCTGGAATGGGCAAAAACCTGCAGATAATCTCTGAGCCTGAAGCCGCTGCGATCTATGCATTGCATGCAATGGATCCTCACAGCATTCAAGTCGGTGATACTTTCGTCCTCTGCGATGCTGGAGGTGGCACGGTCGATTTAATCTCGTATACTGTGACAGAGCTGAAGCCTATTTTGAAAGTCACAGAGGCGGCTATGGGCACTGGAAGGCTGTGCGGGAGTACCTTCCTCAACCGCATTTTCCAGAAGTTCTTGGTTGACAAGTTGAGCTTGAATGAGGAGTGGGATGAGGAGGTCGTGGAAGATGCCATGAAAAGATTTGATTTGGTCACTAAGAAGGCATTCCGCGGTGGCCCTAGCGAGGAATCTGTCATTCCCGGTGAGTCGTCTCCGGCAAGTCTTCGACGAAGTACTGACTGTGGCCGATCAAAACAGTCCCCGGACTGGCCGACAACCCGTCCCAAGGCGTCCGAAGGGGCAAATTTAAGATGAACGGCACCCAAGTCAAAGCAATCTTCGATCCCGTAGTTGACGAAGTCGTAGCACTGGTCCGAGGTCAGATTGCAGCCACCCAGAAGAAAGTTAAAGCGGTGCTCCTCGTTGGTGGTTTCGGGCAGAACGCTTATCTTCGCGAGACTGTTCGTGCAGCTATTGATCCGGCTATCGAGGTCATTCAGCCTCCCAATGGCTGGACTGCGGTCGTTCGAGGCGCCTTGATGAAGGGACTCAGCCAGTTGGAACCCGATACGGAGAGAGTCAAGGTAGCCAGCAGGTCTGCGAGGAAGCATTATGGTACGGAGATCATGAGCAAGTATGATAGTAGCAAGCATGCCAAGGCAACAAGCTGGTGGTCAATATCCATTTTCCCTTTTCTCGTCAGATGCTGACCATGCCAGGGATGATTACGACGGCGAATTCAAAGTCTTCGACATGTCCTGGTTTATCACCAAAGGCAGCCCTGTCACCGAAGACCGTGCCTCCATCCGCAAATACCACAAAGTCTGGAAGGTCTCCGAAGGCCCTCGCCAAATTGTCGCGCAAGATATCCTCATGTTTGCAGACCCAGAGGACAAGGGTGCCCCTATCTACAAGGATGATGGAGAGGTTAAGCACCTGGCGAGACTGACGGCGGATCTGAGTTGCATTCCAGTCCGTGAGCTGGTGCAGAAGTTGGGCAAGGATGGGAAGATGTACTATGTCATCTATTATGAGATCGAGATGACGTATTACTCGGCGCAGACGAAGTATTGTCTGGTGTACAAGCAGGTCAAGTATGATAGTGTTACGGCGGAGTATGTTTGAGAGATTGAGTCACAGAAAGGGCGATGGTTGATTGCTTTGCTGCTTTTAGTAGGACGACTATTCAGCAATTTTAGCAATTTACATTTTTCGGCATTGATATATGAAATCCTATGTAGCTTGTGGTGTATGGGGGGTCCAAGACAAGACGCTGCGCCTCTTGTCCTCGATCGCGCATGGCTCAACTGCGCGCTGACATGACCGTTAGTACAGCTAGCGTACATCTCCTTGGTATGGTCCAAATGTTCGCTACAATTCAGTATTCGCGACCAGAGGGTGTACCCTGTCTCAGGAGCGCTTCCGCACCCGACATGGGTGGTCGATATATAGAGTGACTCTCAAAGCGGGGTAGATTAGCTACCACAAAGTCAGCGGAAAATGTGGCTAGCACGGAACGGTGTTTTTATACTAGTGTATTGTGCGCTGTTCGAAAATGTAGCTCGATATGTCGCGTTTGTGCACAACGTATTTTGCCTCGCGCGAATGAGCGCCTTCATGCAGCAACAGTCCTATAAATCCAAGTGAACCAGGCTAGGGAAGCTATCTAGACTCAGGATACCGCCATAAATCGGAGCTACTTTGTGAAGTGTGAGATGAGTGAGGATTCCAGGATCCCCATTGATCAGAAAGGCTTGGAGCGAGCAAACATCCGGTGCGGAATTTTGTGCCATCGGTAGGCTCTTCAAGTGGACTTTACGAGAATCGTGTCCGTCCGTGACGTCTTTCAGCCACAGCCGATTGGAGAGCAGGACTGGCCGAAGTCGATCTTAAGCTCAGAGAGGTTACGCTGGGATAACACATCGCTCATCTTTAGACTAACCTCAGCATTTGGAGGCAAAACATTGAAGTCGATTTGGAGGTGCTGCAGGTTTTTGAGACCACCAAAGCAAATCATACCCCCTTCGAGTGCTGGCATAGCGTAGCTGCCACACTCGAATCTTATCAATGCATCAACGGGTAGGCTGTTAATAAGTCGTTTCACTATAGTGCAAGGGCCAAGTCGTGGAGTTGATGATTTGAAGTGCCCTATCTCGATGGTGCGCGTGTACTGTAGACCCCAACTTTGACTTAGGCTGGTAAGTGTTGCTACTCATTGAGAATGACCACTGGACGTGCTGGTAGTATCGAGATTGCGATAAAACAGTGGAAAGGAGAGTTGAGAGGTTTGTGCGGATATGAGACATAAACTGGCTATATCTCTAGTCCGATGAAGCTAGAGGAGACAGATCTCAGCACGATGGCCTTGAATGCAAATATTAGATAAAGGGTGACAGCTCCCGGGCGTCGATCAAGACCCGCAGGACAGCTGTTTCGGACATGGCATGCCCAAGCAGACATGGTACAGTGACGAGGAGGTGGAGGGACGACCGATAGTAAAACTCACATGGCCAATGATTAAAATCCTTTTCAGCTCGACTGAAAGGGCGACCAACACAGGTAAATCTATCACCGAGAGTAGTGAATATTCGGTAGTCAGTAGCCGGTCGTCAGTCGTCAGTCATGTATGAGATGTCTGGGTAGCAGATTCGATTGATAGGCGTTGGTGACATTGGTGACAAGATTTCGAGCGCGCTAGCAGACGCTAAACAAACCCCCGGCGCGCACGAAGTCTTGGCGTCTTGGCATTCATCTCCGCACGCCCGCGACCTCCCTGAGGCTCCCTCCTACTCCTTCCGCACCGTCTTGTGTTGTCTGGAAAGCGCTCGACATTCGCCGAGCAAAGAACCTGCAATAACAAGGACGAGAGGCACGCATTTGCGTGTAGTAACTTGCACCTCGTCGCACAAGTCCCCGAGAGGAATAGCAACAACGGTAAACCGGAGAATAAGTGTGGTGAGTCAAGGATTGGTCCTTAGCAATGAGTCCACTCATTCGTCTGTTCGTAAACATCTAAGGTCCAGCTCCATACAGCTGAAACGAATTTTGGAAATCAACTGAACCGGAATGGTAACATTTCATCCACGCTGAACCGGCCAACACCGCCAGCTTGGCTGTAGAAAAATCCGGCCTATTGTTCGAACTTTCTATTCATGCTCATCGTTGTCGTCGAGGATTCTCAATTAAGGTAGCCATCGTATATTCAGCTTTTGGGCATCAATGTTTCAAAAGAACAAACGGCAAGATCGATGGGATGCTGAGTCAGATGTTTAATTGGGTGTGGTCATCCTTAAGAGCTCACTGTGGATGTTCCCCGACTCTTTGGATGTTCCGTTCCGTAGGTCTGCTGTCGTTGATCGATGGAGTTTCGCGTTTGAGATAGCTTGGCGAACCCGATTTCACAGGGTACAAGTCCAACACTTCCAGTCTGAGCCGAGAGGGCTGGGATCCCAAATCCCTCGTGTGATCGAGTATCACTTCTAATTGATGGTGTTAGACATGAATCATGCTCTGTCTTCGAACACTATCAATCCCAGCCCTTAGACCCAAATATAGGCCACTGAGTCCTCCACCGTCCCATGCACCGTTTGTCGAGTCAGACGCATACTAAGCGCCAAGTGAATAAAGTGGGTTGTCCCTTGGCTCGCGAGAAGATCCCGAAAATGATTTGCGGTGCCAGGCTCGGGAAAGGTAGGAAGAGTGAGAGTATGAGATAAAGTAGTTGGCGAAGTCGGTCTCCTTGGTCCAGACCTTAATTTTCAGCAGACGCACAGATCATTACTGTAGCCCACCATAAACCAACGGGAGGCATCCCGGGGGCCAACTGGGGCCGTTGTCAGGCCCGCTGCGGGCGCTTTCAAGCTTTCTTAGCGTATTTTGTCGCTGGTTCCGCCCTGGCGCTACACCCCATTCCTTTCTTTCCTTCTTTCGACAATTTTGGTCGATGTAAACATTAATGGTAGAGACGTAATGGAGGGACAAGTAGGGACTTGAGTTGTTCCCAGGCACATATGTAGCTATCTAAGTACGTTCAGCCATAAGATTTCGGCCATGTCCATAGACTAACCCTGTAGATACTAGTGCTATTGATAAGCGAACATCGGACCACGAAGCGAATCCGAATTCCATTCACTGTCAGCTCAATAGTGTCACGTAGATCGCTTTAGTCAATGACTTTACCATTGGCCATGGGATAAGCCAAGATTCCTAACCTTTGATCCTTCTATACTTGCGGTGAGCAACGGTGTAGAAATCCAACGGGTTATGGGTACGCAGGGTCCGGCCGTACCCTCCATCTTCCTCCATCTTCCTCCATCTTTCGATGGCATTGGACCCCCGATCGACTTCGTGACGTTGCGTGGTCGAAACAATCTTTACGATCTTACCAGGGTTGATTGATGGTGCACGCCCTTCAGCATCGGCAAGCAATTCGTTCGCCCTCTGTAATTGTGATTGGCTTCATGAGGCGGAGCAGGACCCGTGGTGTGCGCAAGGACTCTAACCGAACATGGGATTAGTGTCCAAGGCTTCTAATCATGCATCCGTAGGGATGAGGCCCGAAGTTGATGAGTCGGTGGTAGCTACGGGAACTGTCAGCATTACATTTTCCCGTCAGGTTTCCCGTCTCTTAAAGCGCCTTATTAGGCTGCGAACCCTCACAATTATTGTTTCCTACCTTCACAAGGCTGCGATCCCTTACAAGTCTTGTTGTCTACCTATATATCTACTCTTTATGACGCAATGTTCGGAACCTTGCGCTACGATGCTCAGAACGACGATACCCATTTTATTGAGCGAACCACGGATCCTCTGAACGGTAAAGGTGAAGGGCAAAGACCCCGCTACTCCGCATGTGACAAGTGCCGAGCGAAGAAGGTTCGTATGCGCGCCATTGTCGCCCATGTTTGATTGGCTGACCATTCCTGTGCCTGTAGCAAAGATGCGGTGGCCGACGAGATGGCTGTGAACGATGCCTACGGACCTCAAGTGAATGCGTGTATTCTTTGCAAGGCAAAGGCCGGGGACGTCGAAAACGCAACGTTACCAAGGATAAAGGCTTCAGCATAGGAGACTCTGCCCTGGATGCCGCGAAACTATCGACCGCAAATAAGCCTCAACAACCAGCGCCCGGTGAATTCACACAAAAGATGGAGGACTTTGCAGATGATACTATGGGAAGCTTCATGCCGGTTAATAGTTTGGAGAATGATATCCCTACACCTGGTCTTATTCAGAGCGACATGCTGCCGGGTTTCGATGGCCGAACTATCGACGACTATCTAGACAGCAACTACATCTCGACCCTGCCATCCCAACAAGACTTTGATCCAGACTTCTACTTCGCCAGTCACTGCGAATCTCTTGAAAGCACGCCTGTAGACGCCCTGTCAGGTATGTACTTACGACTCAGACAATGACAATTCACTAAGTTCCCACAGATATTTCTTCGGTCTTCGAGCAGGCTCAATTACTCCCATCGCCGTCCGACTTCGACTTGAACTCTTATGTCTCCCGATCACCTTTATCGCCACTACATTCTTTTTCCGACGGTCTACCAAGTCCACAGTCGACACCACAGGCACGTCCAGCAACCCCATCCAGCAAAGTTCACCTAAATAAGGATGGCCCGGCAACTGTCATGCAAGATAATTGCCGGTGTTTGAGCATCATGGTCATCCTCCTCGAAGACTTGGAAACCAAAGCCAGGCACGTCGATACCGCCGCGCTAGACTCAATCCTCGTGTCGCAGAAGGAGGCGCTGGGCCGCTGCAATTCTGTGTTGGATTGCTCAACCTGCTTTTTGCGCTCCGAGTATGTTCTGCTATTAGGAATGGTTACGGAACGGCTAGCCTCTCTATGCGAGTCAACCGTGGCCAAATATCTCGACGACGTGACTGACGGCACTCCGGTCCGGGAGAGTACTGCAGACGGGAAACACCACGGGCGCGAAAATCCGATGGATGACATCAAGGTGTGCCTCGGTGGCTACGAGATCGAGACGCCAGATGAACGTGTCGGACTGGTTCGAATGTTGATCGTTATGCAGCTGCAAAGCCTGCGGAAGTTCATGCGGAAATTCATTGAGGGTGTGGCGACTGCGGTTGCCTCAAGGAGAGAGGGCAAGACGCAGGTGCTCAAGGTGCAAGCTGCGGAGCAGAGGCTCGCGAGGTTGATGCAGAGTATCCGGGAGTCCTCCAAGACCTGAAAGTGTTGGAAGAGGATGCGGGGGTCCCAAGGGCGGTGAGACTCGCCAAAGCGCATCTTGACGACTGATGAAGGTTACGAGTCTCGTGGGTACAGGAAGACCCGATTTCGGTAGACTAGGGAATGCAAGAGTAAGACTAGAGGAGAATTGAGAAGAGAGGCGCCGGAAGCAAATTCCTACCCCTACAACCTCGGCCCAGAGTTCTTCTTGTATGCGCTAGAGTCTCAGCTCGGTCTAGGGATCGCACCGTCAAGATCCTTCCCGAGCCGATGTCACCCTGAAGGCCGAGGCTTCGGACTCCGGTCCCGAAGACAGCTCAGGGGTGGGGGCAGGTGTGGAGGTGACTCCTATTCTTTTCTTTTCTTTATTCAACCCTCATAGAGTGAGGGGTTTGATCTGGAGCAGCAGGGCGGGTCACACCAACTTTACGGGGGCCCAGCCATTGATTAACGACATGTTGGTGAAGTGAAGAGACTCCGGTCCAATCGTTTTTCATAGAGGTTATGCAGAAACCGTTGTAGTCCATAGTTTGTAAGACGGTGTCTACCTTGTCCGGGTAGCGAGGTAAGGGAAGTGCGTGGCACGATTTGATTAGGTCGGTCAAGACTGCGCCAAGTGTTTAGTGACAACAGTATCCGGCATCTCCCGGCTTCGACAAGACCCTTCATCCACATGGCTCTACTCGTAGTTCTTGATATCCATCCTCACAGCCGATCTTCATGTATTATCCGTACATAGTAGTTGCTCGAGACCTGCCCGATGGAACACAGATCAATCCTTCAGGTGTGTTGCTTGCATACGCGTATCTACCCGGATATGCAATCTACCTGGATGTGCAATCTCTAAGACCGACCAATCTGGGGGTGGGTTTTAGAGGGGTACCAACCCAAAAACTCACCCCGAAACCACCGAACCCCGGGCGAGTTCCCCCGCCCCGTTGCGCGGCGTAGGGCTGGAGATTTTGGACAGGCTTTATTTCCACTATTATATAATTTTAATCAATATTAATATAACTTCAGTTTTCAACATTCATGAACTTTTAGAAGTCTTTTTTTACGCTTCATACTTTTATTTTTCAACTCTTTTGTAATACGGTTCTGGATCGACGGATTAAGAAGGTTTGGATTCATTGGATTTTAGAGATTGCATATCCAGGTAGATACGAGTACTCCTCTTGCATCGAGAAGCTTCTTCGAGAGTCCCGCGGCTTCGGTGCATTTTTTGGTGCAAAGATCAACACACTGGGCGGGCTCTTGCTCGGCCTTCGCATCTACGTACACAATGTATGACTTTACCCTTCAGCTGTATCATGTATGAGTGCAGATTACTGCCGAAGAGGAAGGCAAGACGCACAGCCAGCCTCAAGGTTGGTGCCACTTGGAGTTGCGGCCAATCCCGAAGGCCGATAGTTGGGTGGTTTTCTAACGGCTACCGATGGGAGAGATGACTGTGGTGACGGTCGGGCTGGATCCTCCCTCTTTTCACGGTAGCTACGAGTGGGGAAGGAGGAGTTGAAGACGGAGGCAGGCGTTGACAAGGCAACGATGCTTTCCTCCTTTCCGTCAAGCAGAATATGAGCGTATCTCTCTACGATGCTTCGGGGGAGGGGCAATACTCCAGCCGGCTTCTGATATTCGGTTCGCCGAAGATCACCCGCCGGCGGTAATTTCTCAAAGGACGGATCGTCGAGAAGGGTCTTGGTACGAGACTTTGAAGAATGATGAAGCGCTTCGAGTTTGTTGCAAAGAATTTGTTTGTAGCTGTTGTCGGTATGGAATCATGGCGAGTCGAGTGTTTCTGTGTGGATGACCGAAGTCCCTGCCCATGTTACATCGGCGCAGTCACACTTCAAATTAATACGATGAGCGCTCACCACTTCGGTAAAGTCTTTGAATTTATGTGATAGATTTCCAGATACTGATGATAACTACTTCATCTTTACTTAGCTTGAACATCAACATCGGTCGAGTGAGAGATTGTATAACATTCCCTCGATTGTAGGATATTGCAAGAGCCGGCCGGCAGCGTAAAGTATAATTCAATTGAGGAGAGGACACTGAATTCTCTTATCTAATCAAGAGTGGGGCGGATACTTTATCTTATCTCCGCCACCTTTCAAATTTTGACCAGGTGACCCAAAATACCAAACTACCAAGACACGTCACTCATTTCCTGTTTCATCATTCACGAGCCAAAGACCTGAGCTCGTTCTAATTTATGTTCAGCATGATGAAGGCATAGTATTGCACTTTCCAAGCGATTATCTAACTATTATGTCAAGCATCCTCAGCCTCAGCAAGCCTGCCTCTCTCGAGCACGCGTCTAGTGGCCTGGATCGCGCCTCATTTAACGTCTACGACGAGGCCGACCGCCATATCACCGCTCCACTGCAGGAGCACCCACGTAGTCCCAGTCCTAGCTCCAGTGGTAGCGATGGCTACGACGTCGACGCCGACCAAGGAGAAGCCGATACAAACCCGAGGAGCTTTGCTAATGTGCGCCGAGTCTCTGCGAAAGTACGATCGAAAGTGAAGATCAAGACACACAAGCTCCTGCATACCTCCCATCAGCAACATGCTCATCAGTTGCCCACAGCTCCTGCTTTGGCGCCGGCACCCATCCACGATGGCGATGAGGACCGCCTTAATCATCCTGTACCAGAGCACAAGGGACCCCAAGTCAAAGAATTCCTTCACAACCCGGTCGATACTGTCTCATCCCTACTACATGGCGCAAGTGGGGCAAAGATGGCTGCTGTTATGGACAACCAAGTCATAGCCCACGGTGCGGATGTGAATCTGGTCCGGGTATACGATAAGGCGTCGAATGCCGACAATAAGGAGGAACAACAGTCGGCGCTGGCGGAGTTGGAGGATTTGAAAAAGACAAGACAAGACCAATACGTCAGATGGACAATGGATCGCCATGTACTCAAAATTAGAAGAATACCGCCCCACAATCTACCGCGGCCGCAAAAGAAGGACTTCCGAACAGGGGATCAGAAGAAAGAAGGCCAAGTCAACTGGGCCAGTTACAGCCAGCATGTACGTGCTTTTCCAAACAGTGCATGCGCACTATCGTGCTCTCGAAATCGTATGACGTCTTCGAAAAGGCTCGAATGCTAAATCAACGTCCAGCTCGCACGTTTTTATGCCAGGCACTACTGTGACCAGTACATTGACGAGTCCCCAACCCTACCTTCGGCAAATGAGGACGCCATCAACACTAGTTTGGAAAGGTTCCTCATGTCATCAACGCCGTATCAAGTGGTCCTCATGAAGATTCGGCACATTTATCGCTGGGATGACCCTGTGGAGACCGGCGTGTACCTTGGATCCTATCTCTTTTTTTGGGCCATCGGTCATCTTGCAGGTGCTGCGGTAAGCTTGAAAAACCATGTCATGGGTTCAGGATAACTAATGCTGATGGTGATCCCCCCAGGTTCTTGGCATTATGTGGCTCGTGCTTATGCGACACCTGTACCCTCCCACGGCCGAAGATCTCCGGGAAAATATTGAACGGTCTGAGGACGTTGAGCAGACCGCCACGAATCTCACTCAGCTGATCGAGCAGCATGGATCTCGTGGGTGGATGGCCGCGTTGATCAAAGAGCTGGGACCGAGATCACTATTAGCACTGGGCGATATGGCAGACACTTTGGAGATCATGAGAAAGTAAGCAAGGACTGAGATTACGTGGTGACCACGCGCAGGCTTTTCCTTTTCCCATCCTGCCAGCTCATCCTTCCGAGGTACTGATACGTGCCACTCACAGCTTCTACCAATGGCGGAGCCCACCCCGCACAATGTTTTCGCTATCACTTCTCGGTCTTGTTTGGCTATTCATCGCCACCACACCTCTCTGGCTGCTGGTCAAGATGTCACAACTTGAAGCCGCCATTATGTTTTTCGGGACTTTTCCAATTGCGAGCCGCATGCCACACTATCGGCATGTTGTATCGCCATTGACATGGTTATTTTGGAAGATACCCACAGATGGTATGTGCTCCAAGTCCCTTTGCCTTTGGATCTCAAAAGCAACGCTGACGCTCTTGACTGCAGCCGAGTGGGCCATAGCTCGCTTGCAAGTGGAAGCCAGGCACAGCAAAGATGCACTGCCCACAGAGCCCTCCAAAAAAGTTGAAGGCGCGTCAGATAAGACGACAATGCCTTCGAAGGCCGATGACGAGACCGAACCTGCAATAGATATTGGCAGATATCATTGCACGTGCCAAAGCCATCATGGAGATCTTCACGTCAGCTCAAGTGGTGCTCGCTACGTAACTGCAGTGAGATCAACCCTTCTATGGAAGCTACGATTTGACAATTGCAAGACCATACGCAAAAATTCTGATAGTGGGCTGATTTTCGAGCTTATGGATGACAGCGAGTTCAAAGTTATGGGTTTGGCGCTTAGGAATGAAATCTTCACTCAAATAATTGGCTATAGTGGCCTAGCATGGCAGGTCACTGGATGACAAGGTTGCGGCGATAGCAAGGTTGTCTGCGATAACCTGGAACGACTGAGCAGAAACTTGGTGCCCAATGGTCAGATGCTGATATGCAAAGATCGAACCGACCATAATCAGCGACGGTCAAGTCGATGGGTGGGCGGAGGCTTTGTGCTCTCCATGGCCCCTGAACCATGCGACTACGACCGCAGAGTAGAGTGAAGCCACGAAGACTTGTGTAAGAGCTGCACAACCGTGCTTCCTTGCAAGTCATTAGCGCTGAAAGAGAGAAGAGATTCTGCGAATCGTTGGGAAGCACAGGAACTACGTTTTAGTAGAGGGGCGCCGACCAGCGTCGGTTTGCCGTCTGGTCGCTGCATTCCATAATGGCGCATCATGTGATCTCTTTGCCCACTAGATGCAGAATGAAATGCAGAGAATCTCTCCTCTGTTTGGAGGTGCCGCAAACCTCGGTTCCAATTCTTCTGGAGCGATTACTAAAGAAAGCCGAGGACTTTTTGTGGTTTGTCATGCTTAAAGTATGATGTGCTCTAAAAGACCCCCCAAAAATTCGACCTATCTACCAACGACAACATTATGCTCACTACCCACCACAGACTGCAGGCTGACCCTCATCTCACACGCATATTCTCTGCTAATTTGCAGGACATTTGTTTCTTGGGCTCCTGGCCGAGGGTCTCCCAAGAAGGCGGGGAACCAAGACATTTGTCTTGGAGTACGATCAATGTGTATTCCATTCCTACTTGCTAGTCAAATCCCTACTTGCTAGTCAAATCCCCACAAAAGCCTCATCTGGTCTTCCCATACCTTCTGTTTCAGAGAGTCCCCTTTTCCGTAAAAATCAACCCGTGCTTTTGTTTACCGCCATGGCCTCAATCGCGGCGCCTGAGGGTGGGCAGGAGTATGGACGTAGGTTGATACCCACACTAGTCGATGAAATGGCGGCTTCTACTCCGGATCACGTCTATGCTTCGATACCTCGCCATCAAGACTTTACCGGTGGCTTCGACGATGTTACTTCTCGAAAATTGGCTCGCGCAGTCAACCGGGCTGCCTTTTGGATCGATGAAAAACTTGGAAAGAGTGCCAAATTCGAGACAATCGCATATCTTGGTCCAAGTAAGGCAGACATGCTCGGGAAGAATGTTGCTAAGTTCCATCATCGGTGGACCTCAGATACTACATCGTTGCGGTCGCTGCTGCGAAAGTGGGCTACAAGGTGAGTTCAGTCGCGGAGCCCTGTCTGCATATCATTTCGTGAATGTTAAGCAGCGCGAGCAGACTCTACTGCCGTCACCACGCAATAGCGTCGAGGGTCACTTGGCCCTCCCGGGGACTACGAGTTGCAATATCTTAATCAGCCCTGTGGAATCAAAGGTCGATCATATCTTATCAAAAAGAGATATGCGCTACTTCAGAATCGAAGGGCTCAAAGAATTCTTAGGCGGTGACTTCAGCGAGCATTATGACTACAACAAGACGTTTGAAGAGGCTGCGCAAGACCCTTTCATCATAGTCCACACATCCGGATCCACTGGACTACCGAAGCCGACCATCCTGTATCACGGCGGGGTGGCAGCTGTCGACAACCAACACCTGATTCCTCCCCTAGACGGAGTTGATGCCCAGATCAACATTTTTGAATGTGGTGTCCGCGTCTTCACAAGCTTGCCTCCATTCCATGTAAGGCAACCGTCTCCACATAATTCTGCCTCTGGTATGAGAAACCGTACTGATCAATGTCTAGGTGGCGGGTATCCTACAGACCCTATTAGTCGCTCTGTACTTCGAAATCACTACGGTCTGGGCTCCCACCGGTCGGCCTATCAGTGCCGATCTCATCGACGACCTACTTGACAACGTCAATGTGGACCTTATGTTTCTTGCGCCATCTACATTGGAAGCACTCAGCCAGTCGCAGACTTCTCTCGAGAAATTAAAGAAGCTCAAATCCACTCAGTTTGCTGGAGGTCAGTCCTATAACGTCTAGGGTTCCTGGAATGCTGATGTAACACGAATAAGACCTCTCGGGAAGACTGCTGGTGATACCATCTCGAGATATACTAATGTCCTTAATGTGATGTGATCCTCAGAAGCTGGGTTTTGCCCGCGACTCAAGAAAGACCCAGAAGACTGGATCTACTTTCATTTCGATCCTAGAATGAAAGGAATCGAGTTTCGGGAAGTTGGTCCTGGGTTATACGAACAGGTCTTCACCCGTCATGACTCAACAGACCCTTTTCACTGGTCATTTTACACCTTCTCTGATCGATCTGAATTCTCGATGAATGATGTTTACTCGAAGCATCCCTCAAAGCCGGATCTACGGCTTTACGAAGGAAGATCCGATGACGTGATTGTGTTTTCTAACGGGGAAAAGTTTAATCCTAACGATATGGAGGCGACTTTGCGCTCATGTTCAGGCATCTTTGGCGCTCTTGTTGTCGGGCAAGGAAGATTCGAAACAGCTGCTATTTTGGAGCTTAGAGGCGTTCCGGACACGGAAAGAGCCAAAAAGGAAGTCCTCGACGGTCTCTTGCCCTATGTCACCAAAGCGAACGAAGTTGCTCCTGCCTATGCTAAACTTGATCTTGATCACATCTTCTTTGCGAAGGCCGGGAAACCTTTGCTGAGAACCGATAAGGGCACGGTGAAGCGTCGCGCTACGAATCAAGCCTACGGAGAAGAGATTGATCAACTATATGCGGACGTTGCAGGCTTTGGGAATTCGTCAGATGCTGTCCAGCTGAATCCCAGGGACCAAGGTTCACTAAGAATTGGCATTTGCAATATGTTGACTGAGATGGAAGGGCTTCAAAATATCACTTTCGAACAGAATTTCTTTGCTGCTGGCATGGATTCGCTGCAAGTGATGAACCTCGTGAGGCAGCTTCGGTCCTCGTTCAGGGACCATGATGGAGGAGTTGTTGCGCACCTCATATCACCAAGGACGATATACTCCAACTCTACCGTCTTCGAGCTTGCTGCTGCCGTAGAGTATTTGGCAGATCACGGGGAAGCGGCATCCGAGGGCTTGGAAAAAGAAAGGATTGGCAAGATGGAGGGAATGCTCGCCAAGTACTCGGGTGACCTCCCACAACCCAAGAACGACACCACTCAGCGCCAGGAGCAAGGTTTCGCGATTGTTCTGACGGGGAGCACGGGCTCGCTTGGCTCGTATCTCTTGGATTGCTTGCTAGCTGATACTCAAGTGGCGAAGGTCTTCTGTCTCAATCGAGGAGCCGATGGCGAAAGCAAGCAGAGAAATGGCAACAAATCACGAGGCCTGATGACTGAATGGGGAGAAAGAGTCCACTTTCTGACCACCGATCTCAGTAAGAGTAAATTAGGGTTGGATGCTGATGATTACAACATGCTTGTCAAGGAAGCTTCGTTTATCATCCGTATGCAGCGATCTCACTCACTACGACAAAGGACTAGCTGACTTGTACTTATAGACAATCAATGGCAGGTGGACTTCAATCTCAATCTGGAATCCTTCGAACCGCACATTGCAGGGGTTCGGGAACTCATCAACCTTTCAAATCAGTCACCCAAGAGCCCACCGATCTTATTCACGTCCAGCATCTCCACCTTGGACAACTGGGCAATCAAGTATCCCGAAGACAAGGTCCCTGAGTCAGCCTTCTACGATTTCAGTGTTCCTTCAGCGATGGGCTACGGAGAATCAAAGTACGTAGCGGAACAGCTGCTCGAGAAAGCTGGAAAGAGTTCTGGTGTATCAGCGGCCATCTGCCGTGTTGGACAACTCGCAGGCCCTGTCGTCAAAGATGGGATTTGGAACAAACAGGAATGGCTGCCGAGCGTAAGTTCTAGTTGTGGATTGTCTTCGCAATCACTCTTCACGAAGCTTCAGAAGCAGTTACTGAAGTACTTGTATCTCTAGCTTGTAGCCAGTTCCAAGTACCTAGGCAAAATCCCAACAACCATTCCCGGCCAGGACACGGTAGCCTGGATCCCAGTTGACACCACCGCAAACGTCATAGTCGATCTTGTCCTCTCCGACATCAAAGATGAACCCTCAAGTGCAGTCTGGACCAGATACCACAACGTCGTGAATCCACAGCCCGGCTCATGGAAAGCGCTCGTCCCTGTCATCACGAAACATTTTGACGAGAAGATTGAGCCTGTGAGTTTCGAGTCTTGGCTCGAGGCACTGAAGGCCACGCCGTTAATGACCGATGACGTCGCGAAGAATCCGGGTATCAAGTTACTAGACTTCTTCGAGCAGATGGAGGCGGGCGGGTCGGAGACTGAGTTGGAGACCAAGCAGACGGTAAAGAGAAGTCCCACAATGGGCGAGTTGAGCGCTGTGGGGCCGGAGTGGATGGAGATTTGGTTGGGTCAGTGGGCTTTTTGAGGGAGATAAGTGAGGTAATGGGCATTGATGATGACTTTACGAAATCGTAGAGCGGCCGAGAGCCACTTTGTAAAAGTGCTGATGAGCTGGTACTTCGATTGCTGATCTCCTGACATCTACCTTGGCTCTCACCCAGTGCCGCCCAGGCTTTCTCTTGGTCACCCCGGTTTCTCTATCTCTTTGTTTGTATTGAAGCTACTTGGACTGTGAGGTCCGCTCGCCGCGATGGCAAAGACAGAAAAAGCCCAGCACAAGCCGGAGGTGACTCATCTTTTGACTCAAGCAACCTCACGGTGACGAGTCGCGCCCGTTCTTCTTCGAGGCAACCATCATATCATAGGTGGATGATGAAGGGAAGGCATCTGTTGACTCAAGGGTTCAGAGCTTTGCATTACTAACAGCAACATATGATTTGTGGAACGTGACATCTACGGCAGCGCATATTGCGCTAACATCTTGCTTAAGGGGAGGCTCTCGCGCATCCCCACGTTGTTTCCACCCTGTTTCACAGTAACGCAAAGGCGCATGTCGCGTTCGCAGTCAAAACGTGGCCATAATGTCGCAAAAATCATTCGAGGCTCAGTCCAGTAAGTTGTTTCCACGTCGGGGGGAATGAACGCTCTTTTGTGCATCCATTGGGCGTCGCTCTCGGCAAGATTCCATTCCCAGACTCACGCGAGGGGTCTTTCAATTGGGGTTCGGCTAGACCAGTGACTTACTATGTACGCTAGCTCCTCGAAACGAGCTCCTGACATACATCAGAAGCTACGAGCCTTATGTCGACTGCGACAATGAACCCTTCAAGCCCCCTCCATCGGAAGCAGCGTGTGATAAGGTGCTTTCCTACCTACCCGCGAGCACAAGGAATAGGCCATTTCGTACTCAAGATGGTCCCCGCGAACGTAATGGAATCGTTCTTCCGAGAGTGACTACTGGTGAGTGGAGTTCCCTTCCGATTTCGCGCCTGCCTTTCGCGTCGATTCAAGTGGCTGACGAACGGCTTGTAGACAGGCAGGTTCCCACTTCCTGCATAATCGTCGTCAGCATGACGCCCAGCAAGTTCGGGACCAAGGCGAAGTGGTTCGAAATCTGGGCGGCCGGTGTTCCGGTCAACACGATGTGTATCCAGCATGGCTTCTCCGGTACGGCACTCCATTTGGGTTAAGTTTCTTGAGGTATAGAATGGATATACAGTAGGCGTGGGTTGTAAAGTTCGCTTATTTTGACGCAGGCGATAATGAACAAATCAACATCTTCCTCAGCGCTCAGAATGATCCGTCTGGTCTGACGCTGGGAGGGAATGTTACGACATCCTAGGTTTCTGCAAGCGGAGACAAGGGTGGATTTAGAGGTCGTCGTCCTGTGTTGTTAGAGCACCTCCAGCCTGAGATGGAAGAGGGGTGCATGGCAACTTCCCTTAGGGGTTGATCACTCCCACAATGGACACCGGGGGCCCAACCAGGGACAGTATTCCCCTGAGAGCCAGGCAATGGTCATAATTCCAACCTCTTTAGCTCCGATCGGAATTCGTGCTCTTACAGCTAGGTCCATTTCTTACATCGCCGTAGCCGAGTCAATCTGGCTTAGCATTCCTGAGGAGCAGCTAGAAGCATGACAAGTGGTCATGCGTATTTGAAGACAACGCACTGCACTGCACTCATTCATCAAGATGATGTTGGCGGAACTACTCCCATGGCAGGTCGTAAATGGAGTCTTGGCTGATGTCATTGGTTGAATTACATGACCGAAAGCAGCTACAGCTACAACTGTGATCCCGTTACCCCCCAAGAACTGCTCGAACATAGGGCGCCTGTTGCTCCTCCGCCTGGTCTACGGACATGCCAAGAAAAGGGTCCAGATGTCGGGTATTGCCTTGTCTTTTAAGCGTTCCCTGGACAGGCCCTTAACCCATTATCGGCCCAAAAGATGCCCCCATGTACGCTCTCAGGACATAATTCTAGGGTCTTCAATTATAGGGTTGCCTTCCGATAGTAGGGCTAGGGCTACCTTAGCGCTAGCGCTGTGCAGGACTTTACGTGTCAACCTCCGTACAGGTATTTTGAATACTATTTGAACAGCCATCGGCGCTCCATGGAACGGAAGAATCCCCTCGGGAACGTTGGGAGCGGGCTCGGTAGTCTGTAGGGAGATAGAATGGGATTGCGCAGGTTTTAGTGACCGATGAGGTACTGTAGCGCGTTCAATCATAGCTCCCGTCTCGGAGTCTAGAGGTACCTTCCCTGCTGCTGTTTCCTGTCTTGTGATCCATGGCATTCACCACTTTTGCTTATCATCTGCGGAGTAATTGTGTTTTTTTCGCCATACAAAATTCCGTCTTCACAAAATCCTTCACAATAAGCATTATAACTTAACAGCTGGTCCAACACCTTACGAAAACTCCTTATCAGCGCCAAAGCATTTCTACAGACGACCTCGTCCTCGTCAACTCCAGCACATTTCACGAGCGAAATTCCCAGAAGAGTCACTACTCCCTTTGCCGTCTCGATGGACTTCCGTTCAGCGCGGGAAAGACATGAGGCCGCCTCCATTTTTGGATTTGGCGTCGGAAAATAACGCCCTGATACCGCTAATGAGATCCCCTTCCGCACGTATAGGCGCCCCGCTCCTTGATTTGGCTGAAACCAAGCATTTTCATTTTGCGTTCAGCGATATCTATACATGATTCGAGACTTAGCTCTTCTCAAATATTCGCTTTTTGAAAAATCTAAATTGCTATGTATGGGACTTACTTTCCGTGTCTCAGTCTGCTGTATCACTTGATGTATGTAGCAATGGGGGATCCTACTTGCAGCGAAATTTTGGCAACCCGACCTACAACGATTTCGAGGAACTTGGTACAGAGCTGAGCGGCTGCTGGCCAGACGAAGAGCCTCGACCCGACCGACGCCTGCACCTTTTCACAGTGCCCGGCGCCGTGATCCCATCTTGGGTCAGCCCGCATCCCCGCAATCGAAGAGTCACTCTGCCCAGATTGGCATCTGGAAATTAGTCCGGCAGCCAGCCTCGCGAGCTGGTTCAAGCATTCTGAAAATATGTCTCTAAGTCCGGGAGTCGAAGTAGGGTACTACTATTCGATGTCACTTCCGGCCCAGTTGATAATGCTGCAACTTGTTCGATACAAAGGACAGGGAGGGTTCACTTATATAGGGACGTGAAGTCTTAGAAGCAGTATCTCTTCGACTAGCTTAGCTCCCGGATGGTCAAGGAAGAGTGCTGATCATGAGTGCTTAGGGACGACACGCAACCTTATACCCAACTTTTATGCGCCAAACCCCCGCTTCGATAAAGCCGTTCAGCAATGGCTCAAGGCCGATCAAGCATCATGTCAAGATACAGCTGCAGAAGAGCGTGAAGCTGGAATGGCATCCGAGGAAGCACAAAATGAATCTTGCGCAAATGACAACGAGTTTTGGAACTTTTTGGAGGCCATTGAAGACTTCGGCGAGCTCGAAGAGCCAGAGACCCCAGTGGCTTCGGCGCCTCCATCATGTGGCGAATCTTGCTGGGGTCTTGTCAAACTATGCGGCGCAAGCGACGGATGTCGCTGCATTGCGGACTCATTCCAAGGTGTTGGAAGCCGCTATTACACCGGGACCTGCAAGCCATCCAACTTTGTATTTGATGGCCGCCGGCTCCACGAGGTTTCAGTCAATGGCACAGATCTCGTTCACGTGACCTCCAACTTCACATCGGCTTCAAGCAATCACCCTACCAGCTTGTCCCTGCAACTGCACATACGTTTCCGTGGCTTGCTGCGACGCGCCTAGTGGTGTGGTATTTGAAGCACCAGATCTGAAGCTCGGCGTATTAGAGCCGTCGCAGTGCCGCAATGCAGCGAGTGGCGTCTTTCAGACTTCACAATGATGACCATGATTCAGCGTGGGTACCAATCTAGACTACACATATGGCAGGACCAGGGTTTTTGATCCATTCTTCGCACGGACCAACACTTTCTTGGTGTCGTTAGTGGGAATCTGGTAGGCGATACATCGAAGCGACAGGCGGAAGATCAGGTATTTTAAGATCATCCAACCCCGGAATAGACTGTTCTCGTTCTGGAATCCGAAGACGGAAAGATGACGCTCTGTACAACCTCTGTTCTCGCGATCTCTTTCCGGAAGTGCAACCGCGCTAACATCTTTCGAAGTGTCACCTTTGACACCTAGTCGCGCTCTCGTGTCGCTAGCCTCCTCATCGCTTGTCCCTAATAAGATCCTACGGTTTTAGGCGCGACGGCTAGACTCGCCAACCGTACAGGCGTTCAGTTTCTTGGGCAAGTACAGTCTCTCGGGCAAGTTCAATTGAGCCCTCTTGCGACAGAGATACTTGATTAACAAATCTCCTACAGCTACAATCCTCCTAGCGAACCTTTCAAGTACCACGTTCCCAATTCAGACCTCAATATAAGGTTCTTCGAGTACGAGCTCTATCCCAGCCGCAACGAATCTGTGGTCTCCTCCTACAAAAATCGCAGCAATCCACGACACCGTCTCCAGAGAGTATCTCCAGCTCATCGGTCTCTATGATCTCGCGTACCTTCGCGAGTCCGTAGATGACTACAACTATCATAAGAATGTCGCGGCCGTGGATGATATAACATGGGGTTCATGAACCACGGGGCTTACCGGCATTGATTGGTTTGTGGAGAGGTACAAGGGTTGGGACTTCTTGTTTGAGGTCTTTTCGGTGGTTGAGACAGATGAGCAGAAGTTCGTCCGGCTACTGGGTGAGGGTCATCTGTGGACCCTGGATGAGTTGCCACCTTCTGACCATCTGGTGTAAGGGGACTGGATACACGCCATTTGGATTGTATCGCCTAAGTCGTTACTCGTAAGACACTTGATGGATGTCACTGACGATGGTTTAACTACCCTTACAGCCTTCATGATCTCCGGAGAGAGAGAGAGTGTGGGCAATTTCCTGATACGCTTGATTCGATGATGGATGCCGTCGATCTCGGTAATAATGGATCAGCCCGCATGAAAGGCGGATCAGCATAGCCGCTCCCAACGCGGATTTTCGTCTCACAATCTAAGCGCTTGTTCGCGCCCCGTTTCTTTGGGGCTGTCTGTCCGTCTATATTATTCCTTGGGAAACGTTCTTTGTCCACGTGGACCACAATTCTATAATCTGTATTGGAAAGTCGCTGTTCATTGCCCTAGCATTCTCATTCGAAAGCTACTGTACCACACAAGTCCTGCAGTCAGGATGACATTACTTGGTGCCGCTATTCGGCTGGCCATTCTATTAGCACTTAATTCCTTCGTCTCGACTCTTCCTGCACCATCTGGTACTCTCGATACATTGGCCCCCTTCTGCTGCCCCAAATAGAACATTGCTAACCTTCACTAGCCGATACCTCGCCACCGTCCCTCACGTTGGCGAACCAGTCCCTAACATCTGATCGTACCCTCACATCAACCTATTCTGATGCTCCCCCTTTGCTGATCGAATTCTGCGGGACTCGCAAGCCTGAAGTCGAGCGTGCACTACTTGCCGCCAATCGCGTCGCAAATTCAGCCAGACTCGTCGTCGGTGCTGGCATTGGGAGTCCTGAGTACAAGGCCATGTTTGAGAACAATGCAGTACAACCTCGGGTCGCGATATATCTCAATATGATCTACGATTACCGTGGCTCGATAAATTTGAAGCCGGCACCTCAGAGGGTAACCGCGCCACGGATTGCCTGTGCGACTCCCGGCTCAGCGAAGCTATACAGTTACTTGGATTTGGGATACGATCCATGGCGACGGTGCGCAGCGGCTGCTGGGGGAGCACCTACGGAGGCGTTTTATGCGGATGGATCGGTCTACATATTCTTATGCCCGCGCTTTTTCCAGCAGCCTTTGGCGCCGTTTGGAAGTAAGTGCCCCGAATTGAGGGATAATCTGTTCGCCGGCGACGTCAGTATCTTCTATCGAAATTACCAGGTGTACACACTTTTCTACGAGTTTGTCCGGCTGTATCTCGGAACAGCGAGCCTTGATAGTAACAGCATTCCGAGGGAAACTTTCGACTGGAACCAGTGTGTCGGTTATTCTCTACTTACTTCGATCAAGAACCCGACCAACTACGTGCTCTTTGCTGCCCGTAGGTTATCTTTCCATTCCAGAAGAGGTTGTAATGCGATCGTAGGCTGACAAAACCCATAGTGGTGGCACAAGGATGTACTGCGGTACCAGATCCTGAGAAACCTCCGTTCTCAGACACGCGATCGTTGGCTTCTTTCAACGCTTCAATGTCCGCTGTAGCCACTGCTTGAAAACCACTCTTTATGCGATACTGTTATGTTGGCACGGTCCTCCGTGGACCCGTCCAGAGTCTGCTTCGGTCACCCAATCTGGAGGGCATTGGAAAGTTGCCAAAATCTATGCACATAATGAAAGCTATTAAAGCTCGTGGATAGGAATACGGAGTTGAGAACATCTGCTTTCGAACCAGAAGTATGATGCGTCATTATCTTCTCGGCCTGTGATACCCTCTATAGATATTAGGAAACCGCGAAACTTGGCAAGCTCACCTCTTCCTCGGAATTTGACCGTGTGAACCTCCTAGCCCAACCTTGTCCCCAATGGCTTTGACGACTAGCCCGAGGTGCGAGAGTGCTGAGAGTTTGGGACCGCAATGTGTTTGTGCTCCTGCTTCAAGGTGGAATGGGTGCTGACAAAATTGACTCTTGGATTCTATTGCTAAATTGGCTGATGTTGACGGTAGATAACGTTTTATTGGGTAAACCTGCATCAGTCACACGTGGACTGGAAAGAAGAAATTAGAGGCCGGTACGTCATGAGAGTACTTGTACTATACGCCGCTGTAAAGGTAAGTTAGATTGTCTCTGTCCAGTTTCTCTACTCGAATACTTCTGTTATTGCCAGTTTCAAGTAGCGTTTCCGGTCTTGAAACAGCGAAAGCGGCACGCGGTGATGCCATCCCAGCGCTTGTGAAACTGATTCAGGGTCACCAGTATGTACCTTCGGCTATCGCGTATTTCAACATCTACATCCGCATCCAGAAAGCGGCACGGGTAATAGAAGCTAAGATACCACGAGGTCACTGTTGTATCTCGCCTTGTTCCCAACCAGACCAATTAGACTCTCCGTTTCTTGCATGCGCAAGACACTATCAAACAAGGACACCTGCTATCCTCCGGCACGCTGGTATAACCAGTACTTCGCTTATGCTTAAATCAAGCTCTGTCCATCCGACATCCCATACTGCGGTATCACTCTCGGCAGCCCAGGCGCAAAAACTTGTTATCATCTTGTATGAATAAGGCGGAGAACCGCGAGAAGGGACTCTGCGCCTCTTTTCCGTCCGTGGAACACTGAGACCACCTTATAACCCTGCTGGAGCATGGTCAAAGAAGTGTTCATCACCCTTCCTCCATTAACATACTATACTCAGTATTCAAAAAGACCACGGAAGACCCTAATCAAGATGTTCATTCTTCAGCAGGCTGCAATGTCGCTACAATCCCCATTTGTGAATCTTATCGGAGCCCGGCGGCTGCCACTTGTTCTTGAGTCGAGGTAGCTCATGCTGCGGCGTCAGACACATTTACTTCGATCCGCAGACAATGCGTACCTTCGTCTTCGATGATATCGGGTAAATACATCGACAAGTAAGTCCATGAGCATCTTCGAGCGGACCTCCGAGACTTACATGCCGTCTTCGCGCAAACGAAGTTGGGCTGAAGACTTGTCGTATTTCTATACTACCTAGGCTCCCGTTTCGAAAAAAAGTTTGAGGTCAACCTGAAGGAAGGACTGTCTTCCTAACCCATAGGAAGGGTTTCGCAACGGCTTGAGAGTCTTATCTGCAAATCATTGACGAGGAGAGTTCTTCTGTTCCGGCACGGCTAGCAGCAATGGCTCAACCTATGTGCGGCCAACACTGTTCGCCTCTCGAATCGCCTTCAATTTCACACGCATAGATGCCTGCAAGCGCCAAGACAACCATTTCGAAGCCCTCTCCAGTGACTATCTCTTACACTAGGGTACGAGAAATATGCCTACTCAGGCCTCAACGCAACAGAAACAGACTCGTCATCAATTGATGGTTCATCTAATGGCTGGGGTTTTGACCGCCTATTCTTCGAGCTCGATCCTAAGAGTGGGGACATCTTATATCGATGGAGTGCTCTTGAGCATGTTCCTGTCATTGAGACCAAGTTGAGTTTCGCTGGTAGAGGGGGCTTCAATCAATCTGTCCCGTTCGATTGGTTCCACATCGACTCTGTCGTCAACATTGGCAAGCAGTTCTTGGTGAATAGCCGACATTTATGGACCACCTATCTTATTATGGCAGAGGGCGATATAGACTGGACTCTACAAGGAGGTATTGGTGGCGATTTCGGTGCTTTGCCACCAAACGGACGTTTTGTGAGCAAATGAGTGTTTATTTCCCTGCTTTCTAATCACTCTATATGCCAGACATGGATGCTTTTCGCTTAGATGACGTGCTGACATTGGACGACAATCTTACAGTGGTGGCAACATTTTGCGCGTCCTCATAAAATCACGGAAACCTCAATCACCGTTTCTTACTTCAACAACTTCAACGCCCTGGACATCGCCAATGGTACTCACCCAAACAATGGTCTAGCACTCCAACTCACAATTTCACCAAACAAGTCTAGTCCTCCTGTGGTTATCAACGATCTCTCCGATCCAAACGATCCTATTTACTCTGATTCATAAGGTTCCAACACATATCTACCCAATGGCGATATCTTTGTGGACTATGGTGAGATCCCCGTCATGAAGGAGTTTAGCTCTAGCAACCGTACTGGCGGCACTGTTCGCTGGACTGGGAGATTTGGCTTGCATAATCTCGTGCAGAGCTATCGGGGATTTAAGGTCGAGTGGCAGGGTTTTCCCACTACCAGTCCCGACCTTGTTGTCGAAGAGGATGGCAAGGGTCGTCTTGCAGGTTATGTGAGCTGGAACGGCGCAACGAATGTTGAGGAGTGGGTCATCTACGAAGGATGGGCCCACGATAAGCTCTCGCAGGTCAGCCGTATTGGGTACCAAGGTTTCGAGACCGAGTTTAGAGTTGATCGGACATGCGCACAGTGGCGCCAGTGGCCAATGGAGAGTTTTCAATCAGGTCAGGCGGTGCGTGCACTTCCCCCAATCGAACAAGGCACGATTGAGAAAGTATCCTCAAGTTAACTAGCTACATTTCATGGGACTTGAAAATCCTACCTGGGATAGAAGTACTATGCTCCTTGAAATGAAAAACGAGGCTCACAAATATCGAGAGTCACGTTCCAAGCGGTGATTGCGCGAAGAAGAACGGTCAAAATTTCGCGGCCCCGGCTACTAACCTGGGACTAAAGCTTTGTAGGATGAAGCAAGCTTGTGTGTGGTCGAAATGCGCCCTGCCCTCGCATTTTTTGAAGTTCATCGACTGCACAGTCATCATCTCTACGTTCTTTGGGACAACACAACCTTCCTATCTATTTCAGATACTCATTATCTAGATCCAGATATGAGGACCTGGTGTTCTGAGATGACTGCGCGTATTTGGAAACATCCAATTACATCACCGGTAGAGCATGGAAAGCCTGGGGGAGAACCTCAAGGGACCATGCACATTTGAGCACCTAACACCAATGCCAACCAGGCTGTAAAGCATCCCCACCAGTATCAGGACGAGAGACAGATGCACACTGTGGTCAGAAAGCTTTGCAGGTCTTAAGTGTAATGGTGTCCCGAGAGACACTCGGCGGGCTAAATACCGATTCATACCCCAAAACAATGAATCCTTACCGAATCATACCCCTAATTACTGATTCATGGCCCAATGTGGTATGATTCGGTAGTTTGCCATTCATGGTGGAAATCGTAAAGGAGAGGATCCTCGACCTGGCCCATTCGACCATAGCCCGACACTCGGCGCCGAGCTTGAGTGATGATGCTGACAGAAGTCTGTGCCAGTTTGGAATACCGGGGAAATCTGTAATGGCTGTCAACGCTGAAGGCAGAGTGGGAAACATCTAGCGCTATTAATGGTCCGGACCGTCAAGGTCCTCCGCCACCCCAGATCTACATTCGCGCTTGCGGCGGGGGTGGGCGCTGCATCCGGAGATACTGCCGGGGACTGTTCAGGGGGTGATGGAGGCGGCTGTGGAGGATGCGGTGGGTGCGGATAAGAAAGTAAGACACGACCTAGTCTTTTCCAAGAATGGGAAGAGTCACAAATCGTCGGGAGTTGATAGAGTTGAACAAATGCCGTTGCGTGCTATGCAGTCGCAAATCTTTGCATGGAGGATCCAGGGATGCCGCTGGTAAAAAGATAGCGTCATCGTTGAAGCAAGACCTCGCTTGACAGAAGGAGAGTTTCGCCGTTCGTCCCATCGAGGAGCGGCGTATTAGTAACGCGCACAATCTGGATAGATGAGGTAGGAGTGCGGCAGCTCTCCGGTGAGGTTTTGTCGATACTGCTGATGCTGGCGTGAGGATCTTAGCCCCTTATGTTTTGACCCCGTAGCTCGACGATCGTATACCGAGAATGAACGCGACGTTATCGGTTTCTACTCCTGTATTTTATCTCCTGCCTATCTATGTGATGCTCTCTGTCGCAATCGCAGACCACGTGGTGCAAAGGTGATGGCAGAATGTGGAAAGATTCGATGGTACCACAGAGTATTTCCAGAACTGCAGTCACCGGCGAGATGTCGCCCTACTTGCGTATCTCCCTCATCCGGGTTCCTCAGCATAAGCAGGACACGGAGAACTCCGGGAATGTTCGGCTCGGAGATCGATAGGATACCGAACATGCTGAAGGATTGCCAAGGCCAGGAGCAGCGCATCCAATGAATCTTAAGAGCAATACACCACCTGGAGATCCTGACGTAGTCCTCAGCATGCGCCTCAAGAGCATGAGTCTTAAAATCGATTTTTCTTTAGCTGAAAACTTTGCTTCGGAAAAGCTTGAGCCAGATCGACACAGTCAGACTGGGAATATTTTGAGTCGGAACCATCACCAATTGATTCTTGGCAGCACCAAGATGGCGAACGCCAGACAGATTTACCCAAGAGTGGATGTAGAGGTCATTTGCGCGTGTCAAAGCTTCTGTACTGTAAGAGAAACTGATGTCAAACAGACAACGACTGGGCTCCTTTTCGCCGTGGCGATAATCACGGCCTCCGCGCGAACAGCAATCCGAATTAAGTTTCACCGGAGGCTGTTCGCAGACGATGCGTTCTTGTTCATCGCCTGCTTGGCACTCACTGCACTGTTTGCGACTGTTCTCTATTACACATCGACTACATATACCGCAACGGCTATTCTGAGTGGCCAATTGCGGGAAGGATCGACAGTATCACCAGCGAGCGTGGATTTGGGTGCAGTGGTCTCAGGATACCGGAAAGTCCAATATCTTCGGGCATCTTTGGCTTGGCTCACCATCTTTGCGGTAAAATTCTCGTTTTTATGCTTCTTTCGCCCCTTAACCGACCGCCTACCGAGATTGCTTCTGTATTGGAGAGTGGTCGTCGCAACAAACATACTTGCGTTTGTGTATTGTGTTGCCTGTAATTTCCTCGGTTGCTTAGGATCTAGTGATGATACTTGTGAGTGGTGGTGTCGATCTCAGAGACTCTCAGATAATATTGATTGATATGTAGTGCAATGTCTGACAGGCTCGAGCTCCCAAAGACTGGCTTTCATTATTGGATTCGCGATAGCACTCGACGTTCTGACTGACATCCTAAGTATGTGTAAATCTGCTTCATGACACAAGGCAAGGCTAATTGAGTATGGCTGCTTGCAGTAGTCAGTATCCCGGTGTACATTATCTGGAAGGTGAGAATGAAGCCGGGTCAGAAGTCGGGTATTGGAGCCTTCCTCTGTCTCAGCACCTGCATGATAACCGTTGCGTGTGTGCGATTTTCCGGTACTCACACTCATGCCAACATCCTTCAAAGCTGGGAGTATTTTTGGCTTGAGGTCGAGGCGTGTGTTGCCGTGTGTATGGTGTCTGTTTGTGCTTTTCGCTCAGTCTTCGCCTCGAGCGACCGGAGAGCCGGATCCAAGAAAGTCAGACCATGGTATTCCTCGACGGTGGCAAGACTGAGAAACCGGGATAAGCTGTCTGATGGTAATCATGACCTGAACGATCTTCCAACAGTCCCTTCAGCTACAATGTCTGGCATGCGAACATTTATTAGATCGAGTAAACTTGGCTCAGAAGCGGATGGGGATTACAAATTCGCTAACTACAAGTTCCTAAGCGGCAGTCAGGGTGATGCTTAAATGAAGCATACCTAGTATGTTGACAGTGTTGTGAAAGACAGAGTTTGTGTATTCTAATCTGGCGTTCACTCGATAATAATTTACGGTTTACGCTGCGCAACGGGGTGGGGAAGCTCGTGTGAATTTGAAAGGTTTCTTCGAAAAACCCCGACCATCTCAACCTTGAAGCGAGATTTGGAGATGTCATCTATTTTCTCGTTGATCTCGAAGAACAATGTGTTGAGTAGAATTCAATTGTCGAAACATTTGTGAAATAGATAGTCTCTATGATATGACTTTGAGACTTACATAATAAGAATCAGAGTCAGAAAGATCGTAGCATCAGCAGGGATCCCCTCTCGGACTCCTTAGCGCCCGTGCGGCGGTGTCTGGTAGCTTACTGTGTATTTGATGAGAAGCAAGATATCGTAATCAAGTGGTTTTAATGTTGGGTCGGCCGAAGATCACCCGAACCTATTCATGCTCTGATAACTTTCTTTTGGCTAGATCTTCAGGGATGATCCTGCTGTAAGACTTGTTCACGCGATCAAGTGCTACAGGTTTGGTATAGAAAGTTGTGTCACAGGTATTATTGCTGTTAAAAAAAAACCGGCTTGAGTATTGAATGATTCTTAGATCAAAGGAAGGTTGACTAGTGGAAATGAAAAGTGTATAAGAAGCGCCTTTTAGCTGCTAGTAAACATTAATGATTGCTACTGCGACGAACCTCAAGGATCTAGGTAGGAAATTTGAGGTTGAACTTGAAAATCGACTAAGAAAAAGGACAAATGATATCGCTGGATTTATCATCGGCTCGGTCAAGATTACCCTCCCTCCAAGCTCTCACCCTAGTGGTAGTAATCGTAATGGTGGGGTGAGTGCGAGGCTCACAAGCGACCATAATTTGGATCTCCAAGTGTCCAACATTCGAACTTACTTAGACTGCAACGCCAACGGAATTGACTTTCCCTTCCCGGCTTCCCCTGGCCGTTCCTAGAACATGCACAGTCCGTCATGAGCATGAGGCTTTGACTTTGGTGCCCCTTTTAGGCCATTACGGTATGCCTTCCGTCGAAGCTGCCCTTCTTTCCCCACAGAAACTTGCGACGACAGCATCCGGGGCATAATGTCTGGCGATGGCAGCAACAGCAATGTCTATGACCAGACTCGCGTGCCAGGCCTTTACGCTGCCACAATTACATTGGCAGTTCTGCAGACCATTGCTGTCGTAGCACGGTTCGCTGCCAGGAGGATCTCGGCCGCGACCTTCTGGTGGGATGACTATACCATTGTCCTTGCGCTGGTGAGATATACGAAATCGTCCCGCACAGTTACTCTCAGAGACAAGCTCCTGGCCTTACAGTGCCTCAGATTCTGGACTTCGGGCTCTGCGTCTGTTACTGGGTCCCAATCCGGATTTGCAACTTTGGCCGTCATACTCAGGCATATGGCGGTCCTGTTACCGAGGGCGACCTTATCATCTTTTTCAAAGTAAGCCCAGCTACTGGCCTAGAACTGTACAGAGATTTTCCATCTGACGTTCCTGCCCGAAAAGTCTCAATTAGCCCTCCAAATCCTATACTTCGCCACTGCCTGCGCCATCAAGACATCTCTCATCCTCCTATACTACCGGCTTTTCGGTGTGGTTCGATGGTTTCGGTCGATATTGGCGGTCATGTGGCTGATAGTGCTTGCCTACTTTGTTGCAGACACTCTTGTCGCAGTATTTGAGTGCAGTCCGATCGCATACTATTGGGATAAAGCGATAAAAGGAGGCAGTTGCATTGACCAAGACGCTTTCTACCGATGGAATGGAGTTGCGAACCTCCTTATCGACTTCTCGATTCTGGTATTGCCGATGATGATGGTCTGGCGGTTGAACTTGGATACCAGGTCGAAAATTACTCTCTCTGGCGTATTCCTGCTCGGTACACTGTATGTATCCTCTTACGTCCGTTGTCCCCCGCTTTTGAAAATATCAGACAGAAGTGAACTAAGCTGACATATCGTTCGACCCACAGCGCTTGTGTTGCTTCCATTGTTCGCGTCTGGGCCTTCAACCTGGCAAACTTCGACGATTTCGAGTATACCATTACGACCGCCGTAATCTGGACCGTAGTGGAGCAATCCGTTGGCATAATCTGCGCCTGCTTGCCTACGCTCCGGCCTCTTCTCTCCCGCTTTGGCCTTTTCACGATTAAATCCACCCACGTTTTCAACTCCAAAAACACAAATTCGCGCTCCGGTGCCGCCATTGGGCTTAGTCATTTAAGTTCGAGACCAGGATTCAGTCCATCAACGGACGTTAGCAACGCTGCGGGTTTTGCGAGGTTAGACGAGGAGAATGGAACGCTAGGGCATGGCAGTCTAACGACACATGCGGTGAGAATGCCCAGTGGCGATGTGCCGCAGGTATCAAGGGGGATCCTGAAGGGGCAGACTGTTGAGCAGCATTATGATGAGGCCGATAATTTTTGACGAGCGAGGCGCACCCAACCCGGGAACTAGGTGGGCCAGCAAAGGCGCTGCGGAGTCAAAGGCTGGATGTTCAGTGGGCACCTACGGATCCATGACGTCGGATGCCGTTGTCGTGATGTTGAGCTTCTCGAGTGTTATACGCTTGTTCTTTCTTCATTAGACACAGTATGGTTGGATGAAAAGCCTGTTCCAATAACAAGGCAGCTTCCCCGGATGAACATGTACGTGCGAGCTCTATATGTAGATATTAAACACTATTTACACTGTCTCAACCATGCTTTCAGACCTTTTCGCCTTCTTGGCCAACGCAGCCAAAATTTCACTCGCCAGCTTCTCCGCGACGGCGTAGATTGTAGCCTGCGGATGCCCCGGCGGCAAGAAGGGAAAACTGCTTGCATCCACCACTCTCAACCTCTGAATCCCATGCACCTTCATGTCATGTCCCACAACGGCCTTTGAGTCGCTCTGAGGGCCCATCTTGCATGTCGCAGCCGCATGCCATACCGGCGCCAATGCTTCTTTGATGAACTCCAATATCTCAGCATCGGTCTGCACAGACATGCCAGGGATCTTCTCCGGCCCAACAGTGATTTTACTAACATTGGCCCAAACCTGCCTCTGGCGCTTGAATGCTGCAATGGCCACCTCGACATCGCCGGGATGGCTGAGATAATTCGGGTTGATCAGGGGGGGATCGGCCATGCTGGTGCTATTGATTGTGACGTTGCCCCTGCTCAGGGGCGAAACGAGCGCCGTCGCCACCGTAGCGTAGTTATACCCATCTTCTGGGTCCTCGGTCGCATAGTTCCTCTGATATCCCAACACACCGCTGGCAGGGAGGAATTCGAGATCCGGCCAGTCAGCTGGGAAAGTGTCGTTGAGAGCTTTCTGAGTAGCGCGGGAAAGCTGGCTCCGATATTGCTCAGGTAGTTTCTCCCATCCCAGCACCTCAATGCCACCAATGGTGAGAGGACCAGCCTGCATGGTTTGATAGGCTTCAATGCCGGCAGCGGCGGCGGCAGGGCTGTTGAGACCCGCGGAGTTGGTGACTAAATTCACGGGGTAAGACGTGCCCCAGAAGATGTGGTCCCAGAGATTTTGACCGACGCCTGCGAGAGACTTGACTATAGGTATTCCCAAGCTTTTGAGTGTCTTTTGCGGCCCAATGCCCGAGACCATGAGGAGTTGCGGAGACTGGAAGACACCTGCTGAGATGATGACTTCATTTCGGGCGCTCAGTGTGTACGAGCTGCCATTAACCCCCGAAACACCTTCTGGGGCGACGAGGACACCTGTGGCCGTTGTTTTGTCGAAGAGGATCTTTTGTGCGAGGGTGTTGTTGTAGACCTTGAGAGTCGTGTTTTTCAGCGCAGATTGCAAGAAACTGGCCTCGGAAGATGATCTTGTCGCCGTTGTAGGGTCAATAGTGGAAGGAACGTAGGCAGAGCCTATCAATTTTCCACTTTGAAAGCCATCAATCGGCGCCTGCCCCACCGCTTGAAGTCCCACTTGCGCCCATGTTCCCCAAGGGTCATCATAGTCGCCGAAGGAGACCTGCAATGGACCACCGGTCGGGCTGAACACTGACGGATCTTGGACGTTGGAGCTGTTGGGATATGCAACCGAGCGGGCGGTAAAATTTACACTCTTTTCGTAGAAGGGTAGGAGGTTGGGGAAGGTGTAGCTGCTGTCGCCAGTCTCTTTTGCCCACTTCTCCGAGGACCCCAGTGTCTGCCTGTGGTAGTACATGAAATTCCGAGCAGAGGATCCTCCCAGTGTTTTGCCACGCGCGTAGTGCAGGCTTCGATTATTCGCACCCTGCATATGCGACTATCAGCGACGGTCATAGTTATGGCATTTCCCGAGTCTCATAGCCTACAGATTGTGGCGTGGTAACGAAGCCCCAGTCCACAAGGGGATCTGTGTCGTTAGGCGCTGTTCCCGCATACACGGTGCAATATCCGGGCACAACGCTGATGTTGCCATCGTCAGCTTCATAGAACCCGCCAGCTTCGATAACTGCGACGGTGATGTTGGGATTCTCGGCCAGCCGAGATGCGACAGCTAAGCCAGCCGTTCCTCCTCCGACGATTATGTAGTCGTAGGTCGCGTCAACGCCGGATGCACCGAACGATGTGCTTGGATCATTAGGGACATAAGAAGCAGGAGCTGCAAAGTGCTGCACCGCGAACAGAACAGGGCAGAGGAGTAAAGACAGAAGATGCATTCTGATGCAATTGGGTATGGTTCAAAATGGACCACGTCGTTCGACATTCGACATGTTATCAAGGAGCGGGAAACTGATTCTCAGGGTAGGTACTCGAATGTTAAGGTTTTTTGTTTGATTAGAAGTGCGGGGACTAGACAGGGTCGATAGCTGTTGGTAATTCGGATGCTGTCCGGTCCAGGCGAGCAAGCTTACCACCGCCATTATCATTTCATAATTAGCAGGAGTGTCATTCTTCCGCCAATCAGCATCTCTAAGTTACCAAGATCTAGATGTCTGCCCACCGTGCCGGGTTTGCTTTCAAATAGCAATGCGTTCGACTGAGAAAAGCATGAAATCTGACCGACAGTAGCACCATCTCCGCCTCAAAGCCACGTGCAGGTGTTTTATCGACCGGTGCATTGCACACGCTCGTTGATGCCGACTATCCGAACCGCCAACGTCCAGATCGTCAGGGATGTAGCTAGTCAGCGTATCCATGTAGCTCAGACCTCTCGGCCTGGTTGGGACAGCTTAGCTCCGAGCCGGAGCAATTGAAATCCTTTGAGCCAGCGCAACTGAAATCCTTCGAACCAGAGCAATTGCCATCCTTCGAACCGAAACAATTGGAATCATTCGAACCATGTCGTAATTCTCCGCGAGGCTCCAACCTGCCCGCTAAGAAGGCTTGTTATCAGCACCGGCATTAGGGAATACGGCCTGTTGCGAGCGCGATCTAATGTGGGGACCGTGTTAGACCAAGTCTTTTAATGGTGTGTCGCGAAGACAATGATGACAGAAAAGGAAGCATATACTGCGATATACGGTAAATATGAAGACCGCCGTGAATGTGCTAAGACACGTAAGTCCTGAAGCAGATCTAGGCGTAGATTATAGATTACAACCTAAATGTTACGATAACAAGAAATTCAATAAGAACCACTAGTCTTAGACTGCGCTACCCCATTAAGCAAAAGATACCTTAAGTATCGACAGAAGTTCACTTTCGAAACAGGGTATTAACAGACTTTCGAGAATCCTAATGTACATATAATTTTCAGGTGGATTATAACTTTACGATAACAAGGAGATTAACTAAGATACCTTTTAACCGCCCTAGTATTCTAACTACCTACCCACGTCCCCAAAAGTCATTTCACCGACTTAGCCCGCCACAAATGGTCTACCTATCGGAAGTTTTCGCGTAGGTAGCCTAAGGTATGTATTATAAGGGTGTGTTACCTCCATTTGATAACTATTAGGAGATTAACTACAGAGTGTTTTTGAACCAGCCGAGCCGGAAACCTCGGTGATTAAGACTTTTACAAACCGTACCCTACCCCTCTCCCTGTGCTTAATGGGTACACGCTGGCAGGGTTGAATGTATGGGATTATCATTTGGTCCAATCACTGCGGCTCACTGCGGCTCAAGGACTTGCTTACTCAGGGGCGCGGGCAAGCCAGATGTGACCAATGATAAGCCCTATATTTGACCCCTGCTAGCGCGTACTTATCAGAACACAGGGAAAGGGATGATCGTTTGTCAAGCACGAACTTACCTACACGCTAGATACGTAGTATATCTAGCAAGCGCCTAGCCCTAACTCATACATTGCCACACCTAGTCCTACACTACGCTCCTTTACTATCTTCATCCCTACAATCGGCTGCAAGCAGTTTCCCTCGCTCTATGTCACCTTTAACTATGGCATCTTTTACTCCAATCAATGGCCCGGGAAGGTGCTTCGAAGAGCAGACGCAATGCTTACATTTAGGGTCCTGAAGTTCCAACGTGGTAGCAGGTGAACAAGGTTAAGGAGATTCTCGAGAAGCTGGATGGGCCTGGACAGCTTGCACTGCAAGCTGCTTGAAAGCAAACGAGCGAGCAGACCTGGAATCTCTTTGCGGATCCTGGCTCCCCGCACGCGTTCGAGACGGATATAAAAGAGAAGGGCAAATGTGAGTAGCTCTGAGCGCTGATAAGGATCTTGATTGCTGACTGGGGGCCGGATGCAGTGAACAGCAGTTACTATATCACCGTCGAGGATACTGAAGACGAGTACGACACTGCAAGCGCCGCACGTGGAGATGAAACCTAGAAGAATCCATTTGCCTAGGATAACCATTCTGACATAAACGCTATAGGCAGTGGTGCGGAGGGAAGAGGCTTTATAGGCAATCGTTCTGAAGATGACTGGCCTGACTACCACCCCCGTGGCTACGAGGACACTGATCCGAACGCCACCTGGTCCCTCCACTGCACGCAACACTAATCGCCCCAGCACTCCGCCTCCGGTTGCTGCAGCAGGCGGTCGCCCGACTTACGCCCCCAAGCCCGCCACTTCTTAGAAACGCCGTCAGAAGCCAGTCCGAATTCTACTAGGAACCTGGCGCTACTCGGGACTAAGTGTAGTCCGAGCAAGCGCAATGTATGGAAGCCGCGATTCGCACAATCGCCTCACCCGACGCATCAGCAAGGAGTTCCTCTGGGGTTCACTTCCCTCGCGAGCAACTACAACTCTTCGAAGACTGCCTGCAAGTATAAGGATATTGACTACCTACCACAGTATGGGGGATAACTAAAAAGTAGGTCGACAGCTATATCAGACCCTTGCTTGCTGCAGTCTAGGGGAGTGTATAGACGAATGATGCCGGGATAACTGCGAGCAGTCAGAGGAGGGCGGCCGCCAATGCGTTTACCCCTTTCCAGGCTCGCGGAGCCTGGATCTACTGTGCGCCTAGCAATCTTGTCTAAGAGCTGTCAGCGAGGGAGGATGCGGTGCAAGGAGGGGGTGGAGTCTACATACAGCCCCGGGCTGGGTGCTGTGCGCGGATATGTGTGGTGTGGGGTGTGAGGTGCGTGCTGTCTGCTCTGTGGCTGCTGGAGCATTGTGTCTGTGCCCTACGGGGGTGACTGTATGTATGAGGGCATGCAGAGAGATGGAGCTGGCTGCTGCTGCTACGGCAGCATATGATAGGACTACTACGATGAGATGGATACATCTGACTGCAAGCTACCTGCCTATACCTGACATGTAACTATAACATTAATTGATTGATTGATTGCTGACTGCTTAGAATGCTTGGTATAAGCTAACCAGATGAATATCTAAGATTATAAACAGCCTGTAAGCTAAGGTCAGTAACCTCTTTCGTGTAATCGTATCTCCTCTTGATAAGAAATCAGGTAGAGGGGCAACGAGCTTCTATCACCCCATAAAAGCCTGACCCGACTGCATGCGGTGCTTCTGACGTTATGTCACCCAAGGCATCTAGCTGTCTCTAAGCTGCCTCCCACAGTTCGTACGCTATAATCTCCCCCCAACACTAACTCGATCGAACCCGAACCAAGTCCCACAATTTTTTTTTGAATTCCTCATGTGAAATCAGCGGTAAAACTTACCCTTTCTTTCCTGTATCTATATTATATAGGGTCGAGGGTCGAGGGAAAGAGGTAGGGACGGGTGGATAGCCAAAGGCAAACCTCTCCGCGACTCTACGCTGTCTCGTCTTTCTTTCTTTCTTTCCCGATTTTTTTCCCCATTGAATCTGAACGAGTTTCCTTCGCGAGCGGCGCGTTGGAATGCCCTCGTTTGAGGCCATAAAATGCACTCCTCCGATTCTTCGTAGTACGCAGTGGAGCTGGGCCGACTCGCACTGCAGACCGCTTCGCCAGACGGCTAGCGCCTGGGCCTCGGGATGTCTAATCGAATGGTGGAACTAAGAAGACTATCCGGGTCGTTTTGCGCTGCAAAGCGGCTGCGCCCTATCGTTAGGGCTAAGAGATAGATATAAGTAGATAGTTCAGGATGGAATCTCTTCGCGTCTCTATGCTATCTAGGTAGTCTTTTCTACTTTCATTCTTAATTTTTCCCGCTACGAAACCTTAACGAATTTCCTGTTGGGTATATATCTTGATGGTCTTATCCTGATTACATCTTTCACGGTACACATTAAGAATGGTCTGATTTCATTGCAATTGAAACAGCTGTATAAAATGTACAAGAACAGGACTTTCGGCATAGGTGCATTGACCTTTGATGCCAGCACATGAACAACGGATGCTTCAGACGTGAGATCTCCAAGAACATTGTCCAAGAGATCATATCATGTCGGCAACGGGATCGCTCACAAGCGCTTCAAGCTGAGTTTCTGTCAGCTCAGGCTCGGCTGAAGCACTATCTTCAACCGCCGCCTTCGCCAACGACACAGAGCCCGAGTCCTGGATCTGACTGGGAATTTGCTTGAACCTTTCTCCAACTGGAGAGCGTCGCGCCGGGACCCGAACCTCCACTCTGACGGCCGCTTTCGCTGTCTTCGCGGGACTTTTCTCCTCGATCTTCGTCTCGAGAAAAGTCTGCAAGTAGCGAGTGCTGACTTGGGTCAGATCGGCCAGGCGAAATTTCTGTACAAGTATTAGCGTAGCACACTTTGTGACTCGATCAACGACAACACTTACGCTTGGCTGTTTGAGCATTGTTCTCAGCTCCCCTTTTAGACCAGGCTCGTATTGCAGCCATCCGGTCCGCTCAAAAGACTTATACAGTGATTTATCCACCGCCGAGGCAGCAGTAAACTTCCGCATAATTTTTCGATCACACCGAGCCTCCCATTCGTCGGCAGCTTTGGCCACAGCGCTATCATCCTTTCGAGGATAATCGGCTCTGTGCTGAGCTTCCCAATCAGGACGGTGCAAAGCAGGTGACTGCGTAAGATCATCTCTGAAGGGGCCGATGCATTGAAGCTGCGAGCAAACCGAAATCTCGCTCACCCAGGCGCTGCTTCGACAGCCATATTTCACTTTGGAAAAGATATGGAAGCCCTGGAAATCGTGATCAATAAGCATAAGCCAGGGGAGATGCTGAAGCAAGGGATCTATGGATAGCATGTGAATCCACTCGCAAGTTGAATACCCAGGGTAACCCGAGAGGGTTATCACAATGCAGTTGTTCACATCAAATTGATCATCCATAAGCAGGCTACTCAAATTTGCATGCTCGGTGATGATCACTGCGCGAACGCTGCGCTTGTTTTGGATCCTAACCTTCAATCTCTCCACCAGCTGAGGAATGCTTGTCGAAGAACCCTGCTCATGCTTGAAGGTTTTCTTCTTAGCAAACTCAGCCGACACATCGGCCTTGTGGTAAGCAATGATATTTGATACTACTGTAGCATCAATCAAGGTGCCTTCTGGAAGATAAAACTTGCCTCTGTCTTCTGCAAGAAAGCCGAGCGCAAGAGGGTGCACTTTAATGGTCAAAGCAAGATCGGTAAGTATTCTCTTTACTTGATCCAATGTCATCGAAGTGTTTGGGAACACCTGTAGTACATTTTTAGTGTGTGATCTTACAAAGCGGAAGACCAAGTCGCTATGGGGTAACATCGAGGGGTCAGATGAGCGACAACCTACCTCTCTGTACTGGATGAACCTGATCTTGAGCATTTGCTCCTGTGCCTGCATATCCACTAGCGAAACAGCTATAGTATATGCCTCACTCCAGAACTTAACTTGACCATTGTATGCTTTGTGGCTCTATTACCAAGTCAACTCTGGACGAGTACGGAGACAAAGCCTCTATAGCATCAATCAAACAAGATGAGAAACGTACTGAATTGTCATGGCGCATCACGATGGGATGGCCATTCTTCTCCACCACAGAGTATGCTTTCTTTGCTGTAGACTGACTTAGGCGTAAAGTCGTCCCAGACTTGGTCTCATCATCAACATCTGTAAAGACCTGCTCGAGGCGATGAACAATCTCCTTTGGAGGAGGTCCATTCCGCCAATCTAAAGACAAGTAATTATTGGACATCTTGCGGAGTTGACTCACGATTTGAATGTCTGATATATGTGTATCGTCAAGTCTTCAATATGTAAATTATGCTCAATTGGATATTCTACGAGACTTGAGATGATGATAATGATGATGACGATTGTTCAGAGAGCGGAGAGAAGTATTTGCAAAGCGTAAGAGAATGATCTTCCATTAGCGCGTGCTCTAAATTTGCCACTTGACAGTCACGCAAAGATTTGCATCATCACCAAAAACCATCGTCAGGCTTCATAAAATGACTCTGCCAGAAAAAAGAAGAAGAGGTGAGCAATCTGACGAAGGCAATCAAGCTAAGAAACCATTGCATAGCTTCGAGAGTACGAGTCAACTTGGGCAGGCTAGCAGCATGTCAAGCAAAGAAGTGCAATTGCCTGACCTAGTTCCTTATGATGTGGTCGAGGACTTGACACTCGTGCTACCAAGTCAGCCACTCGATGTTAGTGCTGGCTTCTCCAAGCAGAGGTATGCGCGTGACTTGTGGACAATCTTCTCGGAAGAGGCATTCGTTGACCGAAGACTTGCCGACATGCACAAGGCATGGTTCGAGGTATGCCTTCCAGCTTCCCAACCCTGCTACCCGACTGATTGTAGCCTAGGTCCGAAAGCCTGATGCCCGAGAACTGTGGGAATCTAGATATCCGTCTGGTGAAGCCGCAGGGCCAAGCAACAAGGCTTCCAACAGACACGGAGTGCTGAGAACTGTCCGAACGCTTGAGCTAGTCATCGATCGAGTTTCTGCACGGCAAATGCCTGCGCTACACAAGAGCTTGTCAAGGCTACATCTTGACTACATTATGCTCATGTGCGTCGTGTGTAAGTCCCGCAGAATCCCTTGATTGTATACACACCGACACACTCTTTAGGTGAACGATCGAAGTATCTAGACAAGGCACGTCAGTATTTCCCGAGGTACGAAGAACAATTTGACGAGCTTGTGCAGCTGTTGCGGAGCTCTACACCTGAACTTCAAGGGTAGGCCAGCCAATTTAAATTCTTACGCCCCTACTGAGATTCCATCCCAGGAACTCTTCGGTTTCCTCTTCTAATGCCCCGAGCCTCTCATGGATACCCGCCGAGACGAAATCGATGATCGAAGGGCTCATTGTGGATCCAAAAACTGTCAAGACCTTGGACAAGATAGCTGGTTGCGAGGCTGCAAAGGCTGCCATAGAAGCTGCTGCCTATATTCCGTCCCAGTGGCCGCATCTTCTGAACGAGGGTTATGGCTGTAAGAACATGCTGTTCCATGGGTCACCGGGTACCGGCAAGTCAACTTTGGCTTTGGCTCTTGCGGCGGAGAGCAAACTCCCTGTCTACAATGTAAGCAGCAGCCATCTCGTTGACAAGTGGGTAGGCAGCTCGGAGAAAAATGCAAGAGCTTTGTTCGAGACTGCGGCTTCAAATGCTCCTTCGGTAATCGTCTTTGACGAGGCCGACGCGATCTGCAGGGCTCGGAGGTCGGGTAGCAACGACGGAGCTCAACGCATGATCAACGAGCTGCTAGCTTGCATGACAAAGTATCCTAAGGTTGTGGTGATAGGGATAACGAATCTGCCATGGACGCTTGACGTTGGCTTCGTTCGCCGCTTTCCAAAGCACGTCCATGTGGGGCTGCCTTTGGAGAAGGAGCGACGCGAGATATTCTGGATCGTACTTGGCAGATTCCCACACAGTCTTTCGCGAGAGCATGTTATTGGAGCCGCCACTCAAGCGGATGGTTTCACTGGCGATGCAATTCAGCGATGTATTGAATCGGCAGCGGAGACCATGGCAATGAAGCTTCGTGGCGTTACGCACTTTCAAATCACCGAGTTTCGTGGTCAGGAGTGTTACTCTCCTTGCGATGACGGTGGAATCCCCGTTGAAAATATTCCGGGGCGACACTTGGTCATTCCTGGACCTTTGAGCCCGCAAGATCTGTTCTCTGCCATCCAAAAGATGAAAAGTGAGCTAGATCTTATGGGTATAGAGGAAGAAAAGCATGTCAGATGGGGCAGGAATAAATTCCTAGACGCCAATTGAGCGTTGGTGATAGCTTTTTCCCGTCGCGACTTAGTCAAGTCACGTAGGGAAGAAGCGTCCCTGTCTTGTATTTATTTATTCGAGTAATGACGGAATATAATCAGCCAGACAGGCGATTATATTTCATGTGTTGTAGGTTGCAATCAAGCTCAATTTGCCCTGCAATATTTAATAGTCAATGTCTGTGAGCTTGTACCTGCCTTTTAACCCTGACATATTCAACTGCACTATGTGAATATAATCCTCCCATTGAACTGAGCAGTGACACTGCGGTAATGCGTCATTCCAGCACCTATCGCTGCCACGTCGTCCAAGGTGCATTGAAATGTGTTGAGCGGGCCCAGCTACCCACTTTAGAAACCTCGTCTTCTTTTCTCTTGACGCCCTTTCCTGCTACAGCAAGGTTGAGGCAGGTGAACACCTTACTTACAGCTGTTGTTTTAAGTGCTCAAGACCGAGAGGAAAAGATCGATCCCTAGTTTTGCGGCAAAGCAGCGCCCAGACGCCCGGACAACAGCCAATCCCTGAACGTTATCTCCCGCGGAGGCTAGTGACTAACTGGAAGATTACGCACTATGCCTCAGCAGGCGCAATATATTTATACCATTGATGAAGGGAACATCTGAAGGACTCGCTGCCGATTCTGGGGGCCTGAAGTTCTACAGAATTCGACATGAAGGTCTGAAGAAGTCCCGCACTACGAAAGTACTTCTATAACGAAGGGCGCTTGACCATCGCGCGATTATTAGTGGCCTGCGCTGTCCGGGATTTTCCTATCAACCACGCTTCGAAATCTAGTGTTTTTTCTGCCATGCTTGAGCGGCTTCAAAGATTTGGTATCCTAGACTGAGACTAAGTTCACCCCAAGCTGGCCTTTGCCTTCATAGCAGACATGACAATTCCGCTATGGTACTAGTTCTAATTGGCCATATTGTTTGTCTCTCTGTCTGACTGTGCCAAGAGTCAAACGTATCTTGCCGATCGGTATGTAGAGCTGACTCTATAGCACTTCTCAAAGTCAAGGCAATTACAGCGAGTCCAATCATGTTTCTCACTCAAAGCTCACGGTCACGTCGTCCAGAAAGACTAAATGTGATCGTGAAGAAGTCTATTACGGATGTGGTCATCTCGTAGACTTCGAGAAGACCTAGTTTACGCTAAGATATCCTAACGTCTTTCTCACGAGAGAAACGGTGCGGCTGAATACATTTGTGTAGAATGAAGATAGGTAGCCGGGCTCGAGACAAAGGTTTAAGGAGATAGCGATCTAATTGGGCTTTCGTCTCTGTACGATTTGAACCAGTGATCATATTAATGTACCCTATGTGGCTGTGACAAACGGTGGATCGAATCAAGAGACTTTCCATACTTTCTTTTCATGATCTACGTCTGTACGTTTCTTGTCGCCTTTTTGAAGTCTTGTCACGCATACTGCCGTCAAACGCATCAGCTATCACGTGAAAATGGGTTTAGTAGCCTTGCCTTGGCTTGCTAGTCCTGCAAAATCCACCACCTTAGGCTTTGGCCAACCCAAGTCCCTGGAACCCAGTACTTGACCTTTGCGGATCGTAAATGCCGCAGCTACTATGCATTTCATAATTCGTGATGATGGTGACAGAGTGTGCGCCAATGGTCAACAAGATGTAGACAAATTCGCGTGTAGACAGGGGATCGTCCTTCGCAATTGCGCGGTATGAGCGCGTAAGAGACTGGAATCTCAGGATGAAAATGTCAAGGGAGAGGAAGCTATTTCCAGTCTTACACGAATCTTTATTGATTCCACTTTCATGCTATCGCGGATCAAGTTTAGACAGAGTAGCTGCAGCGAAATGACCCTCAGTGGCTACTGATAATTCGAGCTCATTCGCAAGATTTGCGATATATATCTTAATAGGCAAGTCATTCCACGGGCGGGGCTTAGCCAACGGTGAAGGTCACAAGATTCAGTTCGAGTGCGGACGATCAACACGTCCAGCCCCGTCCATCATCTTTTTATGGCGAATTCTTTTGAGGGTTCGAGGTTCGAAACTCATGGTCGTCAACTTGAGTCACTTTCTGGATTGGTCACGATCTAATTATATTCTGAGGCATATGCGGTCTTGATTCAAGGAATGAGAAGCAGCGGGGCTCGGACTCAACAGGCGGTCGAATACTACTTGGGTGAAATGTCACTTAGCTCTACAATTATAGGGAAGGCCTGTTCTTCTGCTCATGGCGTCTCTTTCTACTTGTTCCAAAGACAATCAACAGTCTGCTCGACCAAGCATTGGAAGTAATGAGTGTCGGCCCTCATCATAATCATTTACATAGACTGGATCACTGATCTTGAATCACATCTTCGCCAGAACTCGCTACTCTCCATAAACTAAGGCCTTGGCCCTCCTTCTTACACGCATATCCAAGGTGGCTAAGCTTCTTCGTTCTCGGCAATGGTCCCCAACGATGCCCGCTACCCGCAGTTCGGATGTGCCAGCAACGTGCCAGCGATTATGGCAGAACCTCGAACCCTGTCCATGGGCTATAATCAGAGGAATACTGATGGCAGGAGGTCTAGGAGGTCTAGGAGGACCCGAACATTGCATGGCGGCCTCTGCCGGGCTCCTGATTTTTTTAGAAGACCTCTGATCGCGAAGGTCTACTGGCTGGAGCAGTACAGGTCAGAAGCGGCTTCAGTGACGTTCACCGTATTGGACGGATCGTGTGCAGTCCCATCTGGCTTCTAAGCTGCTTCGGCCTAGTCATATCGTTTGGAGTCAATTGGCATCGTCTGACTTGGCCAGCTCAGTCTTTTCAAGGCAGAACCCTCCCCGAGAGCGATTTGTAGGTATCAATCTTCTTGTGAACACTCTAGACGTGCAAATAAACACAAATCTCAAGGCACTTGACAACATTCGGCACGATAGCTCGGGAGGTCGGCATAGGCGGTGACGACATGGGCCGATTGATTCAATGGTGGGAGCTGCGTAGACGCTCTCGGTGGCCAGGAGCATCAGGAAGTGTATGGGGAGGGCGGCTCAGTCGTTCTCAGCCCTGGACAGGAACTTGACCATCCTTGCAGGCATCACGACCGAGTGACCTGGACTAAGAAGCCCAGTCAGATAGGCCATATCATTTCTTCCGCTCCACAACGCCGGATCCTTTTGATAATGGGCTCAGTGGCCAGCGCCACCAGTCTGAATGCTTGCCCCTATTGGTATCCCATATTCGGCCGGCCTTCCTTCCCAACTCTTTCCACGATATTCCAATCTTCAGACTTCATACGGCACGATGAGTGTGTAAAGGCGCCTAGGAGTCTGGATTGAAAGAGCAGCTAGGGTGCTGTCAAGCCTGGGCAGCGGGCTGCTAGGAAAGTCGAGCTGGGACGGGCGCTGCGAGGAGGGAGGAAGTAGAAGATGAACACCAGCCTGCGCTGCAGTCAGCAAAGATCAAGCTCATGCATTAGGCAACGTCTGGTGACCTGGACTCACGCTGTGTTGCCCCTATTGTGGACTCAGTTCGGGGATCCGCAAGTCTTGAGGCTAGGCTGCCCTTATTCATAGACCCTAAAGAGTGGGCCACCGTTGCCTCCATAGACTCTCATTAACATTAGCTCTCATTGCCGTAAGGTTTCATAGTAGAGGCGAGGTTGGGCTGAGAGGACTGACCGCTGTAGAGTTCTGCCCTTGCACGTCTCGACTCTCGTTACCTCGGAGTCAACGCCGTAGGAGAAAAGTTCTTCCGGTACCAAGGTCTTGGCAACTCTCTCAACTCAAGGTCACCACAGCAAGGCGACACCAGCGTAGCGCCGTCATTGCTGGTAATACGGCTATAACATAGCGCGATCGACGTCTGACTACTTACCGTCTCTTCTCTATTCAATCTTTCTCTCCATGTGACGCCGTATCCGATGTCGTAGGCTGTCGCCGCCTCGGAATCCTCGAAATTAGTCAACGACTCCTGCCATGACAGCAACAGTTCACGTTCCCTTCCAAGCCTCGTCATCTTGCATCTACTATTCTCGCTAGGGACTGATGGGGGTTGCCACACAAGTACGCTCACCACAGAGCAAAGGAGCAAGCGATCACTGGCCTCGAGAGAAGTCCTACTTCCCCGGCTCCACCCCTCTAGCTAGAAGTCGACTGACAAGTCTCCCACGACCAGATACACTCAAGTCATGCACCCTCCGCACTGTCTACCTCATCAGAGCCTTCTCCTCGAGCCACCTGACCTATTCTTGCAGTCGCACAGCTACATGACCCTATACCTTCCACCATGCACCCTTTGTTCTAGCAGAAAGATGGTCCCGACTGATAAGAGGGGTTCATCGATACCATGAGTTACAGGAAGCCTCCCACCTGCTGCCTATAGAACTGCAAACACTGTGGTCAATACCAGGAGGACAATCGTGGAAAGTACTCGCCATTCACCAAGTCCGGAGGGATCATAATTGCCATGAGTTGTGGCAATACGATTTTGGTGATCAGGGCTAGAAGGGTATCAGTGGGGATTTGAGATGCTGGTCTGAGACCGCGTCGTCGTACACCGGTGTCAAAGGAAGTCTGTTGGTCGGCTATCTATATGCATCTCATATAGGTCTGGGAATTCTTTCGGCCGTCCAATGTCTCTGGCGACCTCCGATGCCTCCTTGTCCAAATCTGTCAAGAATGATGATCAACACCCTTTTCTCTACAGCTTTTTTCCTTATAATAGGCGGCCAGGTCACATATCAAGGCCAAAAGTAGCTTGTAATGCGATCCTGGAGTAGCCGTAGTCCGCTGTCAAGTTGAGGAAGAGGCTTTGGTATCTGGAAGCTTTACCGCAAAGAGGAACTTCCATGGGTCCTAGATACACTGTCAGGGTACTACCATACGGAAAAGTACTAAGACTTGTAGAGTCTCGGCTCTTGGCACGTGGGCGGCTCTCCGTATTGTTTACCGTAATTTACGTTTCGGCGCTCTGGCACGGCCGTCCCCGCTTTCATCCAACCTTCATCTTCATCACGTCAGTCTCATAATCAGCTTATTGCCCTCATAACGGTTGCTTCGTGCACCTCCAACATGTTCGCAGGCCTCATTCAAGACCAGAGAAGCATCTCTGTTCTCCACCTACCTCCGGGTTTGCGTGGCTGTTTGACTATGCCAATGTCTTCGGACAGAACATTTATCATGCTCGCCCTTCCTTTTTCATTTATCTGTTTCGTTAGCATTCTCATAGGAATAGAGAAACATCTCTAGACCGCCGTGATAGCTATGAACAGCCTCCGCTCCGACCTACCTCACTTTCTCTCTCTTTACTCTGTCCCGTTGGCCATCACATAGGAATAGAGAAGCACCTCTAGACCGCCGTGATAGCTGCGAACAGCCTCTGATCTCCTGTACCTCATCTGCATCCAAAATCTCAACGACAACACCTACTGGTGTTTCATTGGCTATCACATAGGAATAGAGAAGCACCTCTAGACCGCCGTGCCAATTTCAATTGGTTTCCACTCTCTACGCTCTAGTCAAGTCATGAAATTTTGGTCTCTGTGTGCTACTCTGACATCTAGACCCCAAGTAACCTCTGTGATGCTCTCGAATGTAGCACCTCGGCTCGACTTTGCTCTCGACATGTCGCTGCCTCATTCAGGATCAGAGAAGCACCTCTGCTCCCCACCTACCTTCGGGTTTGGTGGCTGTTTGACTTGGCAAACGTCGTACGACGTGACACATACAGGCACATCACAACAGCTCAACATCAAATCGATTCCACATCCTAAGACCACTGCGGAGCAGATCCCGGCCCGTCTACCCTAAGGAGCAGAGAAACCCCTCTGTCATCGCTTGCGTTCGAAATCGACAAGATTCCATTGACGCACTAACATGATCTGTCGCTTCTTCGGTTCTGCAGTGCCTACCCCATCCTCAGAACCTGTTGGGTCCTGTTGGAGATCTGGAACTTCCATCTCCCTCTTGTCCAACTTTTCCTGATTCTGGCTACCTTACTGATCATCTACCGCCAATAGATCCGACTGCCTCCGATTCTTTTTCTCTGGCTGTGGACTGTTTGATAGGCATCTAGAGAGGCTAAGTATAGGGATCCAGAAAATGGTAACTCTATTGCTGATCCTACGAAAGTTCTTGCTGACAGCTAACACGAATGGAAAAGTAGCGGCCAATGTCGTGTTTTTCATCAATAATGGCACATACATACCTTGGGTCGCCCGTCATCATTGCAAACCCACGCCGACGGGTCTTGGGTGCCGTTGCTGCCGCCTCTATCATCATACACAGACTCTGAAAATAGTGACAGAAATCGTCGCCTCCGCTTCCATCATTCCCACCCTACTTAGGAGAGGAGCTGCTAGACTTCTCGAAAGACATGGCTGCTTGGCCGTGCGCGCATGTTTAGCGAAAATCACCCTGCTTCTCTTGGCCGCGTCAACAGTACCTAGTAAATGACCATGATCTGGAGCTTTGGTCATCGGTGCCCATTATCGGACGAGCTATGGCGCTCTAAACCTGCATTGCACTTTTATCAGAGGTCTGTCGCCACCCTGCTGATACAAGATCGTAGCTAATTATTCGCAGTAATGACTCGCCAGTGTGTTCAAGGCCATAGTGTCTCTATCTTTATCCTCGACCTATCCTACATATGATTGGCCTGTTATGTAAGAGTGGATTTACTTGCTATTGGTTGAGGTGCCGGCAATCGCCCACAGCGTAAACGTGGCTTCCCTCGAGCTCACTGCAACCAGCTCTATCACAAAGAATCACGCGTATGACAGTATTGATCCTCGCGACAACAAGTGATCGTATGTCCCCAGAACCTATACAGTCTACACGTGAATAGTAGTATGACTCAGGCCGAGCTTGGCTCAAAGTAGCTCTCGCAATGCGTCCATAGCGTGCGTTCGGAAACTCATTTCCTTCTACACCGAGCTCCACACGAGCTTTGGGATTGCCACTCCCTAATCCTAATCAACCTCCTCAAAAAGATTCACATCGCTCGCCGATCAAGATTCGAAATTCAGCATCCGAAGTTTGAACGAGACCACGCGCTACCTGTCAAGCCTAGGCATAACCTTGCATAAGGTTTTAGTGGTCACTGCAAGGTCGCTAAGATGCTTCGTATGGTTTCACTTAATGTTATCTCACCACCGAGTAATCCGATTCTCGGACTTGCATACCATTGCGATGTGCCTGAGGGTCTTTCCGATCAGCCAATAGAGTTTGGTCTATTTTTTGGAAAGGCTTCTGGTCCTTGGCCTACCTATTCTTGATTTGACCTCGCGCCAGACCGTGTTTTGGACCGTCGTCCTGAGTTTCCCCATCGCCAAAGTCGCCAGGCTCCTCGGCGAAATGGCACCTCAGAACTGGCCACTTGTAGCAGGTGCGGCTCCTCCGAAAACCCTGAGCGGTCTCGTAGAGTCGCCATATCGTGTCTTGCTTCTAATGAAATCATCGGTCCAGGGAGACGGAGTTCCGAGAAGAATAGTCGCCTGCACGCTAGCCGAATGCAACCCACAAGAAGTCAGAAGTCTTGCACTTTCTGAGGGCGTAGGCCGCGGCGTTTTGACTACCAGCTTCCCTGCGGCAGAGAGAGAAGATGAATCATAATTTGTCTACTGAGCAAGCTTGGCTATGAGCTGGGTTCGGGAGAGGGACAGCGGATCACATACAACACCAAAACTGTCCTACCGGCTTGTTCGCAGCGAAATGGACTTGTGGCTAGGTAGGTGTTGTGGTCGCCTATAATAAGGCCACGGAGTATGCTAATCCTTTTCGGATTGAGGTTAAGCTCAAGGCACAGCTCTTCCAGAGGGCACTAACCTGGAGGCACATCAAACTCCAACCTTTTCCCGTCCAAATTCCCGGAAGGACGTTGCCAGCCGACCAGTCCTACCATACTACCTCTCAACTCTGCATGACTTTGAATACCCCGCCACTCGGCGAGTTCAGCATCTGTCAATGCCAATGTGTTGTTTGCAGCAGCCATATTCAACCGAGGTTCGTTTGAACAACCCTCAATCGCTTCAGCATCTTTGCTATACACTCTTACCCTTGGACCCGCTCACCTTTTGCGTCACTCGCAACCTCAGCTGAGCTTCCCCAAATGCGATGTATGTACTGAGCTCTTCTCGGCACGCCCCTTAACGCCCATCGTTGGATAGAGATAGTCGCGGTACTGTACAGATGCGATGCACAATCCTTACGCCGACTGCAGAATAATCTGCTTTCTGTCATCCATCTAGCAACTGCTCGGATCGAAGACGTCGCATCAGTCATTTTTGTATTTGCCCGAAAGTTCTAGGGTAGTCCAAGTCGGTCGTCGTTCGGGTTGGGTGCTACATGGTGAGATAGCCCAGGACGTCGAGCTATGCTTCATCTCCACGTAAAGCCTCGCTAACGCCGAAGATCCGAAACAGATCGAATTTTGCATCTACGACGCCTCCCGGAGCCATTTCTGCACGCAACATCATCAATGCACATATTTGCCGAGGCTTCCATCATCCTAACCCGCGATTGATACGACGCACCGCACGATGCCGTTTCTTTTGCAGACCTGTCGAGGGAATACCGGGCTGAGGGGTGGACGATGTAACGGCGACTGATTTTACTGACCTTGGTCCATAGCCGGGAGGCCGGCAATGAGCCCGTCGGCACTCTAACAGGAAAATGGGTCACATCATACCTTTCGTATGAGTGTACTGGAAGCTAAAGTATCTTTAGACAGTGATCGCGTCGACATTCGAAACAGAGAGATCAAGATGAGCTACTTTCAAAGGCCATCAGGTCGACGACCATCCATTTGTCATGTATATAAGATGGTAATCGACCTACTTCTGCCACCAGTCACTATCTCTACTGCCATGCTTGCTTCTTGTTCTACGTTGTCTGTCCAAATATATGATTGATTTGCCGTGTACCCCCACGCTCCTTGACACTTATCTGTGAACGAAGCCCTTCGAGGTCTGATGCAGCAGAACCTGCAGGTCTCGCAAGCCAAATGAAAGCTACTCAAATCACTCCCACGCGATAGCTAATTCATTTGATGGCATTTTGTACTGCAACGCTTCGAAACAGCGACAGAACACTTCGAAAGCAAAAGCAATCAACCTGCAACAGAATTGTATGCGTGAACAGAAAGCTGTTTTGCAATCGACAGCACCTGTCCTCTCGAGGAGGGTAGCGAACTCGATTTGGCGGTAAAATCGGCTGATGGTGGGGCAATCGCCGGAGAGTTGCCTTTCCGGCTTGGCATTCCCAGCATCGGAAAATCGTCCTGACGGATGTTTTCCTCCCCAACAACATCACTGCACCCGGGAACAAGCTCAAAATATCTCACAAAGATATTGAAGATGCCTAAATCCGGTGAGAAATCTCCTGCGAAAGGAAGGCTAACGTCCTCAGGCTTGCACCCAATGCGTGGCTTCCCGCCGCCAGAACGTTTGGTCACGAAGAGATCAAAGGCTGGAGCGGCGCGAATGCTGGGGGACTCTGCCTTGCCTAAAGAATGGCAAGCAGGCGTTAGCAAAGTCGAGGCGTGTTCTTTGGCCGAGTACGATGGCGGTAGAGGCCTCGAGACAATCTTCCCAAAGAAGGAAGACCCTAAGAGACGCTGCAACATCCTGTGCATTGGCAGTACAAATGAGCTCACAATTTCTTTAGAGCTCGCAGAGAGACATCAAGATCGGTACGCTCACGTTCTTCACCGTTTTGACCTCCCTAACGACGATGATCGTATTGGTCTACGCTTGTACGACGTCGACGTGAGCATAGAGATTCGGGAACATCCCCGTAATCCAAAGCAACGTAAGTCGAAGAGGAGAGCCGAAACGGCAAGTGGAGAATGCTGGGTGATACACTTGGAGACCTCTTTGAAGGAGCAGGTCTTAGTAAAAGCGAAGACAATGCTTCGAAGGTTAGAATCAGTCACGAATGCAATGCCTTCCGACTGCTTCAGCTATCGAAACTGCTTCGTAAAGCACACGTCGGGTGAACCTGCTAACGACAGTAATGTCGAGTTCGGTGACGGCGTCTTTACGCAGACCTTCGTGGGCGGGTTTACTTGGCGTTTTGCCGGCAATCTTGCCAGTAAAGAATTTCGAGAGGCATTGGCGGGGAAACTCGCTGATGAAAAAGCTCGAGAAGAGGTGCCGACGAGACTGCAGCCCTACAGGACTGCAAAAGGAAAGAAGGCTGCCAAGAAAACTCCTGGCAAGCAACGAAGGCTGGAGAGGGTTCAGCAACGGTCAATGGCAGCGGATGAGTCTCCCAAAGAGACTCCCGAGCCAGTGGTTGAGCAGGAAGATGAGATTGAGCAGCCTGCGCCATCTAGCCCTGCTGCTTTTTCCTCGGAACCTGAGCTTGATGATCAAGAGTCCGGTGAATCCGACGTGGCCCTCATTGAAGGTCTTCTTGATAAGAGGACAAGAGATGGTGAGGTCGAGTACGAGGTTCAATGGACCGGTCCCTACAAGCCAACCTGGGAGCCAGCGGCCAATGTAACCGCCGAGTCTATTGCAGAGTTCGAGAAGAACAAAGCGGGCAAGGCGAAAAAGCGCAAGGCTAGGCCTCCCAAGAGCAAGCAGACGACTACGACTACGGCCAATGCGCCTAAGACGAGATCTGCGGGCAACGCAGCGAGGAAGTCGGCCAAGTAGGGAGCAGCCTCATAGGCGCACCCACTAGATCGATTTCTCGCTTCTGCCTTTTTGCTCTGTTTCGCTCGTGTGTCATGTATTAGCCAGTAGGCATGCTTGATTTGATAGCGCATTTCTTTCTAGCTTAGAGTGCTAAAGAGAATCCAATTGGTCCTTTCTATCAAAGCGACCGACTGAATCGTGCTTCTTCTTAACCAGCCGAGCACGTTTCCTCTGCCCCTTGCTCAACTTTCCAATTTCTGGAGACGCAGAACCATCGCCAACGGGGCTAAGTGCTGGCTCCGTTTTGATTACAGGCATCTTGAAACCGTCCTCGGCATCTTGATGCTCCGATTGGACGCCAACCTTCATCTTCATTGGGTAGGCTCTTCTTGTACGATCGTATTGAGCTTCTTATCCTCTTCTTCCACCGTTCCCTTTTTCCTTTCGCTCTTCCTCTTTCTATTCATGCCACTGCCACGCGTAACACGATGTCTAAGCCTGTCAGTGCGAACGGGTTGGGGCTGCATTCCGTACGGCGAGACCCACTGTCCTGCCTAAGAAAAGGGCTTTTTTCATAGGCATCCTTGAACCGTCCTCGTCATCTTGATGCTCCTTTTTGACGCCAACTTTCATCTTCAACTGGGCAGGCTCTTCTTGCACGGTTGCATTGAGCTCCATCCTCTTCTTCCACCGTTCCCCTCCTCCTCTTTTTGTTAATGTTGGTGCCACGCGTAAATCTGAGCCTGTTGTTGATGGGTAATGAATTGACTGATTTTATGGAGTGGCGTTTGTATATAGAAATAGTAGCAAAGGCCTGTGGCAAAGGAACGCTAGTACCTCGACACACATATGATATGACTATGTGTACCAATCATCTATCCATCTGATCATTGCCGCCTCTCCGTGCGTATGACACACCTCGAACACATGTCAGCCTGAACGAGATTGGACTGCATTTCGTACGGCGAAATCCACTACCTTGGCTGCGGATGGAGATGGTATGTCGGCTGAGAGAGTGGAGGTGGCGTATGGAAGGCGTAAGAAAGGAGATGTTATGCCGGCTGAGTGAGTAGAGTGGCGCATGGGAAGGCGTGAGAAAGAAGATGGTATGCCGGTTGAGTGAGTAGAGTGGCGTATGGGAAGGCGTGAGAAAGAAGATGGTATGCCGGCTGAGTAGAGGTGGCGTATGGAAGGCGTGAGTATGGCGATGGTATGTCGGCTGAGTGAGTAGAGGTGGCGTATGGGAAGGCATGAGTATGGCGATGGTATGTCGGCTGGGTGAGTAGAGGTGGCGTAAGAAAGGTGTGGGAGCTGAGATAGTATGCCGGCTGAATGAGTAGAGTTGGCGTATGGAAGGTGTGAGAATAGTGAGGTGGTATGTATATATGCCTCGTAAGGTACGAGTAGGGCTGTCGTGGAGGAGGTGGGTATTGAAACGCGTAGGGATCTTGAGGAGATGGAAGTGGTGTGAAGAGAGGCGGGGGGTGCTGGTAAGGAGGAGGTTACGTTGGATTGATGTGGGTGCTTGTGAGTGTATGGTGTGGATTGCGCACGCTCTACGCGGCGTTAAGTTCACCGAGTGAACCTCGGGTTGTCGTTGATTGGATCCTTCCGATTGTAGTGATTATCCTAAAGCTTTCAGTGAATATCAAGATTGCCGGGAACTTGGATTTCACCAATAAGAGAGTTGGGAGTGAATAATGCTGAAGCAAGGCTGGGCTCGATACTGCGAGATTCACGTTATGTGGAAAACACTGAGTCGGTTAGACGCAGTCACTAGTTGCGACTGCATAAATTAATGCGACGAGATGCGTATTGGCTCTCGAGACGTAACTTTTGGTCCCAATAGCCCTGTTTTGATTTGGTCCAGGTTTATCGCCAGCCTCTTCACGCCTTTAAGGCTGAGGTGGTACGTGCTCTTCAACATAACCCTGTCCGGTGAGAGTCATACTAACATGTGGGTTCCTTGGCGTATGCTACTTGGGGCATTCTCGTTGAACAGATATCGACGGTGGTGACGTCACGGTTGATTCGATAAAGACTTGAAGACCTCGGGGGTGGGTCAGGCGGGAAACCTCCAGAAGGCTAGAACCTAGGCTTTTGAAGTTGCGGGGTTGACCCCTCGGTCAATGATTCTCACAAGACGAGCCGTTAGAAGGACTGCCCCCTTTCTTGGCACCCTCGGGGGCGTCGCGTATAGCGAACACCCCCGTGAGCGACTCTGAATGTATTTAAATAGCGGCTGTAAACCTGATAGTAACCTGATTGGCGGTAGTACTCAGAGGAGTCTTCGGGTTGAGAGAAATCTTCTCGAGGGTGCCACGACAGGGAGCTTTCTCAAGTCTGCCAGCGAGCTTGATAGGCGTTTAGCACTCAGAAGTGGCTCTAGGACCGAGAAATAGGCCCCGGGGTGGCACCCGAGGCCGGAATTCTCCTAGAGGGGCATAGCCTTCGGCTGGGACCCTGATGTTGCCTTCGGGCTTCATCCATGAATAACTACTACTACTACTGAACCCCCTGTCAGTATGGGTTGCCGTATTCGTCCCGTTAGCGCGACTTGTTAGCGCGACTTGTCAGCGCGATGTATGAAAACTGAGGTTAGGTAGGTACCTTACCCAGTATCGATCGTCGCACAAACAACTCGTACATTCAAGAAGCACATCGCGATCAGCAAGGATCTGAATCAACATATCAGCGCTTTCTTGATCAATCAATCATGTCTCCAATCTCTTTGACTCATCTACCACTGGGCAACGTCCCTAAGATTGTGAGTACTGACCCCCCCTCGATGACAGCCTGGGATTCCATCAATGCATGGTACCAAAAGGTCGTTGACAACAAAGGAGAGAAGAAGACACTTTTGACTGCAGCATCGTTCATCATGATGGCATGCAGATTCATTAATCTGCGTGTCCAGAAGATGACCATGGACGAGTCGGCTCCGCGCTTGGCGGCCGGCTTAGTTATTAAAAAGATGCAAGAAGTCTCGGGTGAGTTCAAGAAGATGCAGGCTGTCACTGATTGGCTTGGCCAGAGAAGCTCACTAAAGGCATCGTTTGATGTTGGCACCGTAATGTATAACACTGTGTATCAACAGAAACATCATTATGGGGCAACTCAACCTTTATCAAAAGGGATATTGCTCCCAATCCACCGAGTCTGGACTTTGATCTCTCTCATGATTGAGATCGCGCCAGAGCCTCTGATTGTGAAGAGCAGGGATGTCAAGGACAAGCTGGCTTGGCTTCAAGCGCAATTGGACGAGTCGTCAAAGCGGCTCGGTCAAGATACCGAGGATGACAAGAAGAGCAAGAAGGTGAAGACGGCGATCGGCGAGATCTTAAAGCGCATCGAGGTCATCCATCCTGATGACCTTGAGATCATCAAGCGCTACGACAACAACATCGGTGTCGTTCCAACCGAAGGTTCTGTCAAGAACCGCTCGGTCGTTACGGCATATGATGTGTCGACGCTATCTCAAGGTCAGTGGGTTAATGATGTTGCCATCGATGCGCATTTGACGTTGGTCTGCCATACCTTCAATGGCCTTTTTCAAGGGGGTGACGAGCTTCCAAAGTCCCCCAAGTATCATGCATGGAGCGTTACAATGAGTGATTACCTGAAAGGAAGGGTAGAAGCGTTTGAGGAGAAACATCTCCGACGAGAATGGCCTCCTGCACGTTTCCCTGACGCGGCGTTGGAAGATGTCTCTTGCCACATTTTCCCGATCCACGTCCGAAAGAACCATTGGATCTTGATGGTGCTTCAGAAGATGGGAGATGGGCAATGGACCCTTTTTCATTACTCAAGCTTGCCTGGGTATGACAAAGACTTTGAGGAGCCTTGGCAGGTCATTTCCTCCTGGTTGCTCTTCAAGTCCAAGGGCACCCTCAACGTGACAAGAACTCGAGTCATTGTGCCTAACCCGCAACCAACCCAGGACAATGACAGAGATTGCGGGGTTTTCGTGTGCGGGATAGTACGCTGGTCTCTTGCGGACTGGGACTTGTCGACGCTGACCCCAAGCATCATCCCAGAGTATCGTCGTCGCATGATGCTTGAGCTTGAGAATTGGAGACTTAGTACCAACAGACTTTAATTCTCTTGCCAGCATCTAGGACTCTAATTCGATCTCATTCGATGCACAGTCATGTTTTCACGTGGACCCAATGATGGTCCACTTTCATTTCTTGTATTTAGGACTCAATGATACTCAGTTTTCACCTCTTGTACTTCGGACTGAATGTCAGTTCAATCTCGTTTGCTACTTGATAGGCTTGATGTTAGTTCGTCTTTATATAATCAAAATCTCAAAAAAAGGAGCGCTACCTGAGTGAATCTTCGTAATAACGGTATCCGATTTGACTTAGTAGACCCCACGATATCTGTAAGATATTGAAGTTCCTGTTGGGCGGGCACCAGGAGCTGAATTAGGGTTCTCCATCCATTGTTACGGCGACTCTCTCAATCATCTCCATCACTTATAAAGTCTAGCTACTTCTGTCAATACTTGCCTGTGATACGTATGATCTAGCCGAATCTTCACGAGTGATAGGCTTTGAGGGTGGTGCGATAATACGATAGAGACGTGCTTGGACTACTTAAGACAGCACGAACATAGCTTGTCATCTCGCAATGATAGGTCCAGTAGTTTAGTAGCTTGGCATATTGAGGTAATATGTCGGAATGTATATGTAAGCCTCCAAAAGAAGCAGTAAAGATCGCGGCGGACAAAAGCTTCCGTTTGGCAAAGCTTCTACGTTGAGTTTCAGGATAATCGGATGTGTGCACTGGCATTGCGTCAATGTTCTATGAGCTGAAATCTTTAGGTCATAACGTGAAATTTGGAATTTGAAAGGTCATAAAAATTCCGTGAATCTCGTCCATGAAGTCGCGGCGTTAGGAAGTTCAACAAAGTTTAGGGGTTTTTGGCAGAGAAATCGATATAAGAAAGATCTTAATAATTGAGATGGAGAAGAGAGGATGAAGTTGGAATTGGGAAGGTCCGTGCGTTCGCCAGCGCTTGCGGAGATCCGCGACGAGCTTGCGTGTGGCGCAGCACTCGCCTCTCCGCATTGACTTTTCTTTCCCAAAAGGATCTTGGAGCACAGTTGTCTTGTCATCGTCTGGACAGTAGCTGGGTACCTGTGTCAACACCTCTCTTGACTTGAAAACGTACACTCTTCCTTGGTCTTTCGATTGCTGTCAGATAACAGAAATTTCTAATTATCGAAAGCGAATACAGACACTCCTTGATCTAATAGAAAAAGCTATCGCCATGTGCATTATTATGCCTAGCTATCAAAGTTGAAAAAAGAAAAAAACTCTCTCATCATTCCTATGCCCGCAGGCGCAGGTTGATGAAAGGGAAGAACCTGGCGGCATAATTATGCCGGGATATACACTGACAAAGCCGATCTTCAGTGGTCATTTTTATACCCGCATGAATCGCAGCAACAAGTTGAGTCGCAGCAACCAGATGCTCTAAGAACTCTTGTTGATACCAGAGTTCGAAAGAGGCATCCCGGCTACGACAACAGCGATTTGCTCTTTGAATAAATCTTGCTGGAATGCTTCCCAAACAATGGTGGTGCCGTTCATCGCAGCAGACTCGGAGAGATCCAGCATGCGCTCCTGACCGAATTGTTCTAACAAGCCAGCCATAATTCCCACGCGAGTCTGATCTTGAGGGAATTGAAACCCCGAAGGCGTTTCAAACACTTCATCGATTAAGCTCTGCGCGTCGATATTGCCAACTTCGATCACAATATCCTCCGGTGAGGGAGCTACACTTTCCATCCTTTCGTCGGTAAGAGGAGCTGCTTCGACAGTCTCCGCATTCTCGACGTTTCCCGCGTTCTCGAACCTAGACTCATCCCAAAGGCTGACGAGTTCGAGATCGGCTGGGCCCGTCAATGGGTCTTGTGCAGGCTCCTCTTCCTCTTTTTTCATTTCTTCTTCCTTCTTCTTTTGGCTGGCCCGCTTGTTGGCCCGTTGCCTCGCACTCTTTGTGATCGGCTTTTCGATACTAGCATCCTTGACTGCTAGAGGACCCTTCTCCTTTTTCTTGTCCTTGGAATGTTCTTTGCATCGTGGCTTTCGGTTGTCCCTAGGCCCACGGATCTGCTTTTGCATCTCCTGCCACTTAGCGGTGCCTTGCTCGTGGCCGCCGTAGCTGCTGGTGGGAAGACTAACGTTGCCGAAGGAGCCGACAGTACCTTGTCCCATTGATGGGGTTGGAAAGCTGCCGTAACCCTGACCGAAATGACCAGGGATCTGGTTGCTCCAGCCCTGGTTTCCCCAGCCTTGGTTGCCCCAGCTTTGATAGCCCCAGCCTGGGCTGCTCAAACCGCCATAGCCGCCGTACTCTCCAGAGTATGGGCCACCGAAGCCGCTCACAGGACCGAACATCTGACCGCCCACGCCTGGTACCATGCCTGGTTCCATGCCCGGCGATCGTATCGCATTGTAGGGCTGATGGTAGCCTACTTGCTGAGCATTGAAACCCGCGGTCAATCCTACCTGTGATGACCCCCGGCCAGCATTCCCAGGTACAGTATTAGGTACGGGATTTGAGAACCTACAAGTTCCCTTGTGAACTTTTCCACAAGTGCAACATTTCGGCCAGCACGCCCCCTCATGGCGATTGCCACATTTTTCACACCTTGAAGCTTTATCAAGCTTCTTATCATCACCGCCTGCACTGCCTGATGCTTGAGCTGACATCTATGCAAACGCGACTTGGTCAGTATCAGATTGCCTCATACGCCCGTTGATACGTAGGGGGCAATTGCGACTACCTTTGTTGCTTCTTGGTTGAGCTGCTTGAAGGACTGTATTATCCGTACAAGCATCAAGAATCAGATAATGTTGTGCTTTTGTGTGTAATGTCTGTGCGTGATGTTCCTGTGTGCTTGTTGATGACGACTTTTGTGTACCCCGGATATCGCGCTAGCCTCCCGCGAGATTTGTCCTGATTGGCCGAGTGCGTTATGGATAGTGCGCGCGTAATTTACTTGCAGACGGACTTGCTTTGTAAAAATCCTCTTGGGAATAAGACATGTCCTGGCCATCAAGCCTCCAATACTCATGTCTTTAAGTATCGTTGGAGCATATTGGGTCACACTTTTCTCTGCTAGGCAGCCTTTAGCCCAATCATGACTGCATTCGTGTTCCCAGCTTTAAAAGAAGCTTCTGCGTAGCTACGAGATATTTGACTACTTTTACGGCTCGCTCTGCTTTGGATATCTTTCTCCAATTTGGTCCAGTGATAAGTCTCTTGACAGACTCGAACGCCGACCTAATCCGTCAGTAGCAAAGCCTTACCATAAACTTCCAGTGGCCCAATTCATGACCACAATGCCGTGGAAAAGAGTGTCGCAAGGCCTGGACTAGTGACACACATACTACCAACTAAGAAATTCAAAAATCTTGAGAAATTTGAGAAGCCAATTGTGCGGATGTAGATTTTGGCCTTGCGGATGCTAGTGTCCGGTCAATATCGCATACTCTTTACAAGAATGTGTCTGTTGAGAGCAGTGCCTGCTGCTATTGCGTTAGTTTTGTAACATCACTCTTCGTTATAGGTGTACTGCAGTAGGTCCGAAGGGACCACTTGACTGTCCATCCTCCTGGATCTCTTCAGAGCTTCCAGTAGTTTCAATCCGATCAAGTCCCCAATAGTATTTCTCCTCAGCAGTAGGTAAAGCTATTGTAATGATGATATGCCTGTAGCACTATGGAACCGTGAGACTTTTATAGAGGCAGTTCAAAGGCCTAGCTGTTGAGGCATCTAGATACGCGCTTGCCGCGCTTGCATGAGCTAGTGGATGAGGATCATCACAAAACGAAGTCCTCGCATTTCAACTTCTTCTGCAGCACAGCTACACACGCGACTTAAGTCATCATCTTTGCACACATAGTCAACAGACTTGGAAACGTACGAAGATTTCATTGAGAGACTTGAATCCGCACACGGTATGCATACCTTCCCTTGCATCCCTGAAATTCCGCCTCCCAAGACGCGACAATAGTCGCACCGCGAACAAAGCTGCTTTCTTCTGTTCCAGCACCACACCCTTTGCTAATGAATAATTATAGATGTCTCAAACCAACGATACCGTCATGACCGCCGACGGCAACGCCGGTGGTAATGCTGGTAGCAATGGCAATGAGAACAACGGTGGCAGTGGTGGTGCCCCTGGTGGCCAATGGCCGTCGTGCAGCCAATGTCAGGGTAGACATCGCCCTGGAGTGCCTTGCTGGCAGCCGTGTCCACGGTGCGGCATACGGCACCACAGGCGCAGTGTTTGCCCGACGGCGGATGCGCACCAGCAGCAGATTTCAGTGCTGCAGCAACAAAACGCGCAAATGGTTGCCGAAATGCAGCAATTGCGTGTTGAGGTGCAGGCGAGATCTGCACATGCTGCTGCCTACAGCTACGGCGGCCCTCCCCTCCCTCCTCACCCTCCTCAGCCCTTCTACCCCTCCTATCCCTCCTACCCCTCCTCACCCTGGCAGCCGCAGCAGGTCATGCCGCCCATGGGCATGGGCCGCTTCCCCTACCAAGGCGCGCAGTATCCGCCGTCGATGCCGCCTCCCGGTCCTTACGTTGGAGGTTCAGCAGTCGGTGTGCCGCAAGGCATGCCTTCTGATGCCTTCAATTGGTTCGGCGGTGGTTCTGAGCAGGCTTCCCGTAGGGGTGGCTTGCCCTGGAACAACCGAGGCCGGGGAGGTAGACGCCCGGGGAGGAAGGCCAATGAGAAGGATAAGAAGAAGAAGAAGGAAGATGAGAAGGAGAAGGAGAAGGAGAAAGAGAAGGAGAAAGAGAAGGAGAAGGAGAAAGAGAGAGATCCCTTGGCGCCTGAGCCATCAGGTGTTCAGAAGCCAGGGAAGAGCGCGGTGAGAAACGCGAGACGCCGCCAAAAGTTAAGGGCGAGGAAGGAGAAGAAGGACAATGTTGACGATGGTCGCGAGAGAGAGGAAGAAGGTGAGATCTCTGGGGTCGAGAACTCGACCTCAGGAACTCAACCTTCAGGCCCCTCTCAAAACCAGGAGTCAGACCAGCAGATTGCCGTAGTCGGCACCGCCTCGGCTAAT